GCAACTGTTATCCGACTTCCGTGGTCTGTGGTAGGTCGACCTTCTGTTGGTCGACTTCCATTACCGAGGGTTGGTCGACCATTTGTTGGTCGACTTCCCTTGCCGGTTGTTGTTGACCGATTTCCACAGAGGTCGGACGAAAATCGCCGACCTTTATGGTTGGCGACCTCCGACCGACTTCCTTGGTTGGCGTGTCTATGTGGGACGAGATCGACTTCGGCGTTCCTTCCGTCCTGTTGGGCGAATGCCCTCCGAGCTCGGTGGTTTTTGTAACCGTTACCGAGCTCTGAGCTCTGTGTGAGCTCGACTCCTGATCGGCATGGGACAATGTGGTCCCAGCCTGCAGCTGTTCCACATCCCCCCCCCCCGGTCGGGTGGGACGGGGCTGCTATGTCAGCTTGGGTATCCAGGAACGTTCTGTCCCTGGCGTCCTCGAAACTGTCATCCGAAGTTGGATTCGAGTCGGCAAGGAGGATCCGCTCGTTGCGTCTTTCCCTTGCCTCTGCCGACTTAGTCGAGTCGGTTGAGGACGGCTGACTTCGGTCTTGACCGGCGTATCTGAGTGAGTACGCAGTGGTCGATGTCGCACGCCGGGAGTAATCCTTGTTGTACTCCTTGGCGTACTCGTTCTTCTTGGAATTCGACATTGTTGTCAAATCGGGTCGGCTCTGATGGAGCCTTAAAGGTCTTATCGGTTAGAAACAGAAAGTCGAACAATCTCCTGTGTGCAGATGTTCGATATAATCGAGAACGTCTTTGGGTTCAGGAACTTCCGAGTGTCAGGTTCTTCCGACTTGTTGTTGTTGATGATGTTGTGTCTGTTGATGACTCAGTACACAGGGTTAATATACGGTACAATGGTACAGTACAGTACGTAATAGTAGTACGGTGTGGTACGTCCCATACTACTGTGCTGACCAGTGTGACGTCACAGGGTTAAGTGGTCTTGCACTTATCTGTCTACGTCACAGATAGCGAGCCGCGTGCAAAAGTTACAAAAAATGATGACAGCCTATGTTAAGCTATGGGAACTTTCCCCTGCACGCTGATTGGCTGCCCTCAAAGTACTGAAAGTCGGTCGTTCTGACGTGACAAGGAAATACGAGAATTTTGGCGCTATTTTCCACCAGAAAAACAAATTAATTTAGGTCGGCTAGAAAGTTTATCTAGTCGGATTTTTAATTTCTAAGTCGTTAGAAATTAGTTTTAGTAATTAAAGAATTTTTCTGGTGGTCGAAACACCGTTAAAAATCGAAAAGAAAGGAAATTTCCGACCTGTTGCCGGTTAGTCTTTGTCTGACTGTCTAGACAGGTTCGTTGACCTAGCAGGTCGGTTCTCGACCAAAAGCAAAATTCCGAGTCGGTTTCTCCGTCAGAAATTACTTTTTCACCGTTGAAAATTTTAGATTAACCGCTAGAAGTTGTTTTCTACGGTCAGAAAGTTAAAAGCCGACCTAGTTACGGCTAAAATCGACCTACAACCGTGACTTTACCAGTGTCGGTGTCGGTTCTGGTCGGTTTCCTCCGTCCGAGGTAGGAAATCCGTCGTTTCCGAGCTGAAATCCGCGAGTAAAGTTGCGGGTCGGTGTTCAAACCGATGGTCCCCGTATTATGGAGTAATCCTGCGCGCTGCAGACTCTCGTTCGAGTCCGTTCCGTCCGTTGGGAGAAGAAAATTCCGTGCTGTTGGGAAGTTGACCGTTCTTCCTGTGTCGAAGAAACGGTAACTGTGCTCACCAGCTGGGCAAGAATCACTTCAGTGATCCCTGTTTATCCTCAGCTGTAAGACGATGCGATCTGTGTGATCGACAGTCAAGGCAGCGACTGCTTCAGCAGTCGATCTGACAGTGACTGAAAAGGTTCCCGTCGAGTTCTCCGAAAGTGAAGCCTTCACCGTCTCCTCAAAGGTTCCGTCGAAGGAAAACCAGCAAAAATGCTGCTACCATGTAACAGACTATGGCGAGGAGATCACGAGTGTGCTTTATTGACAAATAAAGGGGGAACAATGCTGCGTATAGCAGGGAAGCAAGAACAAAGGCGCGTCTGGCCAAATCTAGCGTAAGTGGTTGCTAAAAAGTTCTTGAGCGTCTTTCCAGGCGTTGAAGAAAGAACTGCTGGCGGCAACCACGTGCTTGGTGCAGGCCAGATATCAGCTGTGTGATGCGCAGACTGGACTCGATCCAACGCGAGCGTATGAACGCTGATTGGTGCTGCGAGAGAGGGACGAGAGAGCAGTCCACTCAGTGTATGCGCTGCGTATATCCGCTTCAGCGGATGAGTCAGTGCAGCAGCACACATACGTACAAGTGAGAGAGGCGGTATACGGCATGCAAGTGGGTGCAAGTACGTCCTGTGTGGACCGTACTCACCACGCGCAGGCTGTTGCCTTTGACAATATTTAGTAATATAATATGTTCCCAAAAGTTTTTGCCAGACTTCATTGCGCTGTATGAGGAATCTAAGATCACAACGTAGTTTTCTAGAAAATCTACGGCAACTGATTCCGTACTAAACACTTACAAATTTACGTAGTAGTAACAGAGTACTGTACTATTCAATTTGGCTAAGATTATTTTGCCGCCCTTACTACGGTAATTAATAGCCAAAGGCTATTGTAACGCAGTGTGCGGCTAAATAGTGAATGGCTATTTTGCCGGCCATAGTGGGGTAAAATAGCTAAAGGCTATTTTGCCGCAAATACTGCGACAAAATAGCCACTTCGATTCAGGTTATATTCAATTTTCAGTTCGCGAAATAATTACTGTAAAATAAGTAAAATAATAAGTAAAGGAATAACGTACAAATTTACAGTTACGAGTAAAACGTTAACCGATGAGTGGCAGAGTGTGATTTTAACAGGATTTTATTATAATTATAAAGTAACAGGATTAAAGGATTTGGCCCGGTACATAGCACCAAATATCTGTACTTTAACAGCAAATAAACAGCCGTATAACATTCGTAGATGATTGTCTGTTGCTCGAAATCAATAAGTGAATGAACAGGTCTACAAAATCCCATCCTACCGGTATAGATCCTACCGGTATCATCCCATTTCGCCTACGGGACATTTCGCCTAAAAATTCGATTCGAATCATAAATAACGCCAATACCAAAACGTTTTCTTCTGGTTTCTTATTTTTACTTATTTTTCCATGCTTTCTTAGGTTGTCTCAGGTTTTTTTAGGTTTTCCTTTGTTGTCTGTTTTCTCATTTTTTCCTACGTTTTCTTCTGAAATTTTCATATGTTTTCTTAGCCGCATTTGTACACTCTCAATACGGAAATTAAATCCAGCACCGCCCGTTTACAGTGTTATTTATGAATTATGATTCAAATCAAACTGTTAGGCAAAACGTCCCGTAGGCGAAATGTCCCGTAGGCTAAATATCCCGTAGGCGAAATGGGTGGCAGCCCAAAAACCAGACTGTGAAGACTTTTGTAAGGGCGGGACGCCCCGCCCTCCTGAGTAGCTATTCGCTGTTTTTGGGGATTTCCACCCCGCACATTTCTGCGCTGTTTTGACGGATCTGCAGTACAGTTGCACTGGCTGCAGGATCCTTCCTCGTTAGTCTGGTGTTGCTGCGCCACGGTGCGCATTAGATTCGGCAATAAAGCCTCATCCGGGTTCACCGCTGTTCGCTGTCGAGGATACGCGTGGCGCCCATACGGCCCCGCGTTATATGGTAGCAGATCTGGCTATCGTTTCCAGCTGCGCGCGCTCGTCGCGCCCGCAGCACCTCTGAGTTATGAACCCCATTTAACCCCGGGGTGTGGAGCTACATTCCCACCCCACCACGCGGAACGTGATGGATCCTCTCCCAACTGACGGAGATGGACGCCTCCCCGCGACGGATGCCTCCCAAACTGGACGGAGATGCCGCGGAGCGAGAAACGCCTCCTGCGATGCCGTGGAGCGAGAATTGCCTCCTGCGATGCCGACGGCGAACGCGACCCGGACCAGCGGGAAACCAGAACGGATACACCGCCAACAGCAGCACCAACTCCGATCCCAACGGCACGGATCGACCACCAGCATCACGCCGAAGAATTCCCCCACCATAACACTGCCCGAACTTCCTGGGACGGCGACCTCCCCCGGACGGAGCAGTGGAATTCACCGCGGATTTGCGTGCTTTGTTTTTTTGCAGGGGTCACGGGCCACATAGACCCCAAACCCCTGCCCAAATTTCCCCAGAACGTGACCTTTCCCTTGCTGAAGAAACAACGGAATTTACCCGTTTCCGGGTTGGACCCTGGATCTGGCGCGACAGTGCGTTGACCCAGACGGTTGACTCGGACCGAACCGGAGACGACCTGACCCGGAACCCAACCTGAGCCGAACCGGATTTGAGCCGACCAAACTGGAACCGAGCCGACCGGATTAACCGCCCGAACCGGACCGGCGGGGGGGTGCGGATCCTCCGAATCCTGGGAGATTTCGCTCCGAGGACGTAGCGATGCCTGCAAAAGGGGTGTAAGGGCGGGACGCCCCGCCCTCCTGAGTAGCTATTCGCTGTTTTTGGGGATTTCCACCCCGCACATTTCTGCGCTGTTTTGACGGATCTGCAGTACAGTTGCACTGGCTGCAGGATCCTTCCTCGTTAGTCTGGTGTTGCTGCGCCACGGTGCGCATTAGATTCGGCAATAAAGCCTCATCCGGGTTCACCGCTGTTCGCTGTCGAGGATACGCGTGGCGCCCATACGGCCCCGCGTTATACTTTCGGTAGTGTTGGTTGATCTAATTTTATATAGTAATGCCCATCCATTTGAGTTCGTTACCACTTACAGTCAGTGGCAACAGACAGCAGGTATTTTTTGCATGTTTTTTTCTGTCCAAAGGTCACTGCCGATTCATAGCGGATGTTTCTGTTTTTTTTTTATTCGTATAAGTATCTTGTTTTTCGATAAGGTTTCGTTGATAGCAGGGCCGCTCGATGACCCAGCCACCAAATGGATGATCACACAACAATTTCATTTTTGGCTGTACATGTAATCAGCACAACGGCATCCCGTTTTGGGATAGCCACACGCAGTGTTCCGGCGCCTACCTGCTACAAACAGTGTTCTCGTCTTCCTAGAGTACAGATAGTTGTACAAAAACAGTTTAACTTTATTCGGTTAGAGCGCAATACCGTCCGCGAGTTGCTAACGAAAGCTCAAAAAAGCAGTTGGTAAAAGGAAATACATGTAGCATGTAAAATACTTTTTTATAATCTACCGGAAGTACGCTGATCACCTGTGCGACTAATTTTGTTGTGGACTAATTTTCTTCAACAACACTATTATGTACAGCCATCTATTTCTGGGTCGTGTTTAGATTTTACTATTATACTGCGAGATTATGATGGTTTGTGATGACTTTTCCTGAAGTATCATTAACAACATACTAACCGCATCACTATATGCACATAAAGCTAAAGTGCAACTGGCACGATGATCTTTGGTCTCAGTGCTTTGATATGGATCACTTCGGTAAGATTTTCTAAATTTTGTGCCAGTGACCTCCTACGCTAGACTCCGCTTGCATTTGTCAAAACTTTTATGCCAGCTCCTTTTGTAATAAACCTATGTTTTAAAACAATTTGCTATACAGCCGTGCGTTTAACTTGCTTTATTTTAAAAAAAAACTTCAGCTTGACCTGTCATACTGTGTTATCGTTTACTTAATCTTATTTCTTGGGGTAAATTGCGTGAAATTTTCGTCAGTTCCAAATTTAAAATTTTAATAAATTCGGCTTAGCGCAATATTCGAGGAGACTGTTTGTTTTTATCGCAGGTGTGGCAGGTGAACGGCCAATACCGATCCCGTTCATACAACTATAACAGTAATAACTACCGGTACGCTAATCTTCCGAAGCACACCGTCTGTTCTGCAATAATATTGCTTCGTAAAATTATTTCTGTTAACTAGAACACCTGAATACGAGGAAAGGGACACCTTCTCGCTTGATCCGCGGAGTTACCGCTATAGTAACCGTTCCAGTGGGAGTTATGGCGATCGCGACGGTCGAAGTTATTCCCCATACCGCAAATCCTCCACCTATTTAACCACCTACACCAGCAACAACTGCCCCATCAACCTGGAATGCCCGGAACTACCCTACATCCCACCCTGTCCAGAACAGCCCGCCACGCCCGCCTGCCCCGTTCCGCCGGCCTGTCCAGAGGTCACCTGCCCCAACTGTCCAGCCTGCCCCAAGTGCACCTGTCCAGCGTGCCCGGCATGTCCGAAATGCGATTGTGATGGGGATTACAAGGATGATGTCGGAGACATGTTATGTAAGCAACAGGTTTTATTATCAAGTGTTTATCGCGCTGTTGCAATGAAGGCGCCAAATTTACCATAGCGTGTACTGCTATGAAAAGTTAACTCTACGGGTAATTTTGGTGTTCACAAAGCGCCATCGTTATTAAAATAGATTATTAATTCAACTGGTAGTGCAAATAATTGTTTACTTACACTTTTATGTACACAGAGTGATGTTTTTATTGATACTGATGGTAAGTAAGTGATACTACTGTACTAACATTGTGCTACAGTAAATGTCGCGCACACGCGCGTCTGTTCGATAATAATAATTATTAGGATTTTCAGTCAAATTGGTGAGCGTACAACAATTGCAGGCGCCGTATGGAGTCCATTGATCCTGTCAAAATTTTGCTGGCATCACTGGGGAGGCGGAGGCAGTTGCGGTGGCTTTGCCACGGAGGTCGAAAGGTCGTCCTGTCTCAATGCGCTTGGTCAAACTGGACAGGTTACCTTAACCAGTCCAGCTGCAGCTGCACCTCCGCTGGCAGGATCGCAAGGCTCTTCCATTTTAGACCTATTGAACAGTTTCTTTTTGACCGGCGGGAGTGGTACTAATCCCGCTTTGCTGGATTTGGCGCAGAAAATATCTGCAGGGGGAACCGCAAGTGCAGACCTACAAAGTTTGACAAGTGCAAACTTGCAAAGTTTGCAAAGTTTACTAGGAACATCCCAGTCGGGAGCATCCCTGTTAAGCGCTCTACCAGGAAACCCTCGCTCGATTCTGCCATCAGCGCAGGGCACGACGTCTGGTCTTCTCACGGTAAGAAAGGCACAACAATACCATGTAATCATTAAATATATGAAATTAATAGGTGCGATTCATTTATTTAAAACTGGCTGTTGTTTAGGGCTTCGGTTATTTTTTATCGACGTATTCTTATACGCAGATGATTATTATGAGTCTCAAGTTCTTCGTTGTTTTGTTTATTACAGGGAGCTACAAGCCCGCGCAAGAAGTTTTTCAGACGGGTAATACAATTATAAATGTAATACAATTATAAATTTTCTAATGCAACTGGTTTAATTAAGACGTAAGCATTCGGGTTTTTAAGATACATTTATTGAATGTATTTATTGTCGACTATTTATTATCAATTTTAAGATATACTGTATTAATTTCCAGAACTTATATTAAATTTTATTTTTCTTTCAAAAACGTGAATTATAAAGCTGAAAAAAATACTAATCCACTATATCGTAATTTTTTGTAAGAGATACTTATCATGTTGAAATAAACTCGAAGCGCAAGTGGAAATTGTTCCAGCTTATTGCTTCAATATCTTTCTGGACATGTACACAATAGATTCATCGGCTAATTTTGCAGCCTAATCCTGGTCAAGTATGCCCTAAGGATATCGTGGTGCTAGGTGGTCAAACGTTCTGCCTGGGCGATACGGCGCAGGAGACTTCCGGAGCCACGGTCACCGCGCAAGCTACAAACTCCACGGTATATAAGATTACAAAATTTTCAGTCCCACGTTTCATGCATGTGGTTCATTTAAGCAATACATTTATTCAGGATTCTGGAAATCCGCCAGCAACGGGAGTCGCTTTAGTGGCCAACACCACTTCTGTTTAATTAACAGAAATATATTCTTGTGGCGACAGTAATTCTTCCTGCTCATAATACTGGAAATCTCCGCAAATCAGTATCCATACTACGGCCGGCATTCGAATGATACGCACCTAAACTCTTTTATAATGCCTGGCTCTACCATACTGCCGGTGGATTTTATTTCGAACTTTACTTTCTTGTACATATTGTGAAGAGTATTTATTTATCTTACGTGTGTTCGTTTTTATTATTACTCGTTGATATTGCCTTTTGGACGTGGCCGATCTGCCGCTACTTGTTAGTAAAGCCATAAAACCGCAACAATTTACAATCTTCGTACGGTCCGTGGTGTATTATACTAATATTCTCCAGACATATTTGAAGTTGATTTTCTAAGCATAATGATTTCCATCACGAAACATAATAATCTCCATCAAAACATAATAATCTCCATCACGATAAAGGCAAGATTTAACGTAGTAGCAGTTGTCCAGATTCAAATAAATATATGCAGTACGTAGAAAAAACCATAGATGCCAGCCGAATTCTTTTGGCACTTGCAAATTAATCATTTCCATTTGCTCAAAACCATTAATAATCATTATAATGATTATTTCTTCAAAATAATTTATTTTATTTATCTTCTACTCGGAGCGTGCATCTTGCTGCACAAGCAAATTAATATCTAGAATTAAATAAATAAATGCTTAACAGCAAAGAACAAAATCGGTATTGTGAAAATGTGGGAATGAGGGTCAGGCCCGCGCTGGGGTTTTTTGGTAGGGGGGGGCGGAATGCCGCCGGGGGGCGGCGTTTTGGCTAAAATCCGCCGGGGTGGCGGCCAGAAACTGGTGGGGGCGGAGGGGTGCGGAAGGGGGGCGCCATACTTTAAATTCGCCCCCCGGCGGTCAAAAACCGAAAAATCGCCGCCCCCACGGCGGCCAAAAATCGAGAAAGGGGGGGGCGGCCGCCCCCACCGCCCCCCCCTCCAACGCGGGCCTGATGAGGGTGAAATGTATATTCTTTTACATTGCGTATTCTGTGAACGAAAGAGTGAAGCAGCATAACTTTTTTTCCTGGTATAAGTAACTGCCATACTGCAAAATCGAAGCGCATTAGACGTATCCCCGGGATTGTTTCGCTTCCGGCACGCTAGTCCAGATATGCGCGGCCAATATGGAGCGCTCACTGTATTACTCGTATTATTGTCTGATGACACGAACGATCAAGGCTGTCAACATTGGTTTTTTTTTCTCAAAGAAACTTTCAACGTTCGATAGGGATACATTGATTGTACATTGCCGTATCTGTGAACTGCACATGTTTTTTTGTTGTGTTCGAGTTCTTCCAAACCCACGTACTGTACAGAAAGTTGTTATGGATCACTACGTCGACTTCCATGGTTGGTGCTTAGGAATGTCTACAACGTAACTGTACTTTGCACATAGAAACTGCGAAAATGAACATTAAGAAAGGAGCATATTGTGGTTTACTATTGCTGCTAACAGTAAGTGAGATCTAAATCATGACCTTTTCATTAGGTGATAGCTGAAAAGCGCCAATCATTAAGCCGGTATTTTATAAATTTACAACCATTTAAAATTATTAAGAAGACAAAATAAGTTATTCTCAACTGCCACTTTGAAACATAAAAGCAAAATTTGATTTTTTTATCATGATTATAAAAATTTCATAATTGCTTCATACACAGATCGAAGCCGTAATCGGTGGACATCCATCTGCCCCGGTTTCCCGGAATCGCTGGAAACGAAACTTGAACTACGGTGCTGCCAGGCCTTCCTCATGCAGTCCCATCAATCTGTCTTGTCCCCGTATGGCCGACGTCCCGGAATGCCCCACTCCGACCCCGCCCACCGCCTGCCTGGCTCCGCCCGCCTGTAAGGATGTCAGCTGCACAGCGTGTACACCGTGCAGAAACTGTACCTGTACGGCGTGCACGAAGTGTCCCGATTGTAAATGCGACATCGCCATCGACATTCTGGAGACCCTGCTCCTGCAGTACACGTACGGTTGGTGAAACATATAACGATCGTTTACGTGTATGGTTAGCCTCTGCCAGTGTCTTACTTTAAGCTTGGAACGTTACAGCAGAAGATTCGTGGATTTTTGAAGTTATTATTAAAATACTGCTGGGCGGGATAAAATTTCCTGGCCGGAAAAAGCGGAGCGCTGAGGATATTTTTTCAATCAGCAACTTTTCCAGCCCGATAACTCGTCACGATAGGAAACAGGCAGGAACATCACACAAAGTAATTCCTCATTGATAAACAAGTCCGTTTTAAGGTGAAATGGAGAAAAATATGAATAATTAATATTTGCGATTTGGTAATTCGAATCGTGATCGTGACTAAATGGTTGAATATCCGAGGCCTGACGATGCATATTGATTTGAGCACGAAGTTTGTTTATCGATTAAATTTGTTTAATTTCGCTCCACCGCTTTATAGGACAGAATCCAGCCATATTACATGGAGCCGGTATGAAATACTGCTTCGTCTTGAAATTGCCAGCGTTTTCAGTTTACGTATTACCGGCGCCGTTTATGCCCAATTATACAGGTCTCCAGTAGGAACTCCTGCGCTGGAGATTACTTGGTATCTGATGGAGTTACTTACTGCATTATCGCGGCTACTTCGGCTGCCGGAGCTAATACAGAGGTCAGAACCGTAATTAACATATATATAGTACTGTAATAACCGAATAACTAGTGAAAACGTAAACGCTACGTTCCGTAATCAAGCGTATACGAATACAGAATATATACATGAAATTACGGTAGAAATGGCGGGAAGTACTGATGGTATGTGAAAGAGCCAATAAATTAATACGTTTTATTTCCAGGCTGCCTTAAAAAACCCCGTTTTAATGATAAGCTCGCTTGACAAACCATTTGGACAACTAGTGTACGGACGGGCATATTGATATAAAACAGTTAACTCGCGAGGCCTTTTAAGTATTGGATAATATACAGTACTCTTACTAATTTTGTACTCGTGCGTATGCTTCATTTTTCCATGCCTTCTGGTGGCCACCATGGTGGAGTCGTGCGGCTGTTATTCATTTGCTTGGACATGAAATCAATGTCCATTGTGTAAAGCGTCTGTACCGTGCTTTATATTTATTGTTTTTCTGTTTTTATGGTCATTCAGAGCGCGGCGTTCTACGGTACATAACTGTAACAATAAATAACACCAGGCTTGTTAACAAGAATTCTATGGTCTCAAGTCTACTGAATCGCTTTCGTCACATTAACAAATGCAAATATAGTTCTAACTTCCGCCGTAGTCACAAATACAACTTTCTCATAAATCACAGTCACGCGCCATCCAGACGGGATCGAACAAGTACATGATCGAACGACGTTTTTTCTGAGTAAAATGCCGTATTGGCAAACATGTTAATGCACTGTTAATATTTAATGGTCGAATATCCAAAATTCAGCTACGTACAAGTACATGCTACGTACAAGTAAATGTATTACGTAAACCAATGCGCATCGTCTTCATTATTTGAGGCACATCAGATACACCGAAATGCAACGAACAAAAAGTGTGATATTAAGATGAACGATATGGTACGTAAGCGCCCGGGTAAACGAACTCAACAGTCTTTTGTACTATCCAGGAATGTTCACAAAATATTAGCGTACAACACTCCCACAACAAGTTGTGCAAAGCCTTTAGGGAGTGATGCGCACTGGTAGACTAATGAATAATTATATGAATACTGATTATCTGTGCCAGGACTTCGGCCCTGTCCTTTGAGGCAAAGGATCTCGGCTTCTACTTCACCAATTTTGTTGCTTTAAAGTACATCAAAACTCTCTAGGTGTAGCGGTGGATTGTTGACTTTTTGCCCAAATCATTTGTCTAGGTCCAGTGGTCAATCATAAGCTTGTTACCATGGACGCGATAAGAAATGCACACTGTTCTAACACAACTTGACCCAGAACAGTAGCAATATCTGAGCTGCTACTTAACAATAAGTACGAGTACAATACAAAGTAAAAAATTTATGTAAGTAACTTAACACGTCAGTCATCACTGCGTTAGTCATCATTGGAAGTTATGTACTGTATGTACAAGAAGGCAGTCCGTGTTTCGATTAACTTATGTAAAGTGTATCATAATATTACTAAACATACGTACGGGTTCATTAATATTATGACAGTCTGTAAGCGACTGCAAAGCAACACATCCTTAGAATTACTTATTTTTTAATAGTCATCGGCCAATATTCATCCGTGCTGGGCTTGTAATTAATACAGATTATTACGGACTTGCATAGTTTCCTTCAACTCCAGCAGCGTACGCATTTGTGGCACAACCCAAACTGTTTTGATTGCAATCACTATGGGAATACAATCGGATTACTTAATTATTATTATACTGGGCAATATCAATACTGGTATAGCAAAACTGTCTCGGAATATTCAGTTTAAACCCACACTACATGTGATCAGTTTCCTAGTAACTGAAATCCTTAAAAAAAATCGGATTTACGCTGCAATCATCACGCTATCAGTAAGTTCATGAAGGACATTGTCGTTTGATCGTATAATATTATCAGTAACAGTATTAACTGTATTATTATTACTAGTAATCTTAGTTTTCACCTTGTCCACCAGTTAAATAATCCGACAGCAAAACATCCTGTCAGATTAGTTTATTCAACCAGGCATGACCTTAAGGTTCTTTCGTACGTAGGCATCCGCATGTGCGTCTCCCTCGGTCAATTGAGTACGGCCATTCGCCAATTGCCCTCGAACCGCACGCCATGACAGCGCTTGCTCATCTTGAAATCCCGTCAATCCCTAGTGTATCCGGTTTTCCGACATCGTGGACCTGTCCTACTCCGACGCCGCTGCCGACACACCGCCGGCATGTTTTCAAAGATCTCAGCTGTTATCCGTTTACTGCACGTGTGCACCGCATGCAATAATTATACTTATACCCCGAATGCAAATGCGGCAACGCTACGGACATCTTGGAAACACGGCTCTGCTCGGCACTTTAATTTAACGCCGGTAAAAAGCAATAAATCTAATTAAGCCCGATTAGACTGTAAAGTGTAAAACTGTAAACCGCTAAACCTATAATCACCGCTTGATTCTATTTAAAACAATTATTTCAAGAAACAGCGTTTTTATGCTAGCCGTAACTTACCAAAATACTGTAAGTACGAAACTGCTTAAAACTGTTCAGAGCAAAAAAATACGCTTGCTAAGTAAGAAATACATATAATATTTACTACGTAATATTTGTTAAGGAAGATGCAGGTACTCATCAGCTGCGTGTGGAATCCCTGATATGTGGGTTGTAAAACACAAAGTAATTGCTAGCACTGATCGAATAAATTAAAAAGAACTCGTATGAAAAGGGCATACAGGGTTAAACCGATCGTTAACGAAAAAATTCAGTATTCTTTCAGTAAAGGTTGTAGCGTAGCGTAGGCGCTTTTCAGGACAGCTAATTAAGGAGAGAAAAATCCAAACTATATCATTTGAAGCTATCGTGGCGTACTTCATTTAACTTTCAGTTAGCGTGATTTAACATTTTGCAAGCGTAATTTCCTCTTTCTGTAAAGATAAGCCAAAATATGTTTATTCCATGGCTCATAAAATTATAAGCACTAGACTAACAACTTCAGAAGGTTGATTGGTTAGTGACTGCATGATTATGTGATTTTATTAGAAATGTAATTAATGCAATCAGTTATTACTGTAAAAGTTGATGAATAATAGATTCGGGCTTTTCGTCTAATCATGCTCCGTTTCAATTCGTTATTCGTTCCTTTACTCTTATTGGCAGTAGCACGCACGCCATTTTCGCCGATTTTTTCCTGTCTAAAGGTTTGTCGACCCAAAGCAAAAAGCTTTTTTTTTAAATATTGCGTTATCCGATACGCATTCCTTGATAGCCCGGCCGCTCGATGACCCATGTACAAAACTGATGATTGGCGAAATGCGAAACAGTTTTGTTTCCACTGTAATGAAAACAACGGCATCCCGCCCTTGGGTGGATGTATTCCATTTTACCGCGGTTGAACAGAATTTCCAGAACATCTAATGGCAGCAAGATATGCTTCGTAAATCGCTACCGGAAGTTCACGAAAGCAGTTGGTAAAGCCGGAATGGTGATTCATTGGTAGTGTAAAATGCTTCTTCATCATCTAAAAGTGCGCTAATTCGATGGCAACAGTGACTTTTTAACACAGTATATTCTTTAAGTCAGTGACTGTCCGGGTTCCAAGGCGTTCCTGAATTCATTACTACAGATATAATGTTCTGATAGTTTCTGTATTGGATTGATACTTTCCCCGTATTATCATCCCCCATAACCGCATACAGTATTGTATAATATAAACCAAAGGAAGGTGGTAAGATGATCTTTGGTCTCGGTGTTTTGATATGGATCACTTCGGTAAGATTTAAAACTTCGTGTTAATGACCTCTTGCACCGTGCTCGGTCTGCGTCTGTCAACGCCTGAATTTAACAACATAAAGTACGTTAGGAGGAAACATTTGAGTATACGAGCACTTGTACATATTTCTTAAAAAATGCCCACCGCATTTTCCCTTGATTAATTGATAGTTGATAGCAGTTGTAAGCTATTAAGCAAATGTTTGCCATACTGGTGCAGTCTTAATCGTATTACCAAAAACTTAAAACACAGATTTTATTCGTCCGTTTTATGTTTAGCGTTTATTGAATTCTGCATAGCTCGACTTTTAACACATTGGCGGCTATCCCGTCAGCGGGTGTTGTTATTTTATCGTAGGTGTGGCAGGTGAACTGTCAATACAGATCCCGTCAGAATAATTATAACAACAATTTATATCGGTAAGCTAATGTGGCTGTCGGTACTCGCTATGTACTCGTAGAAGCATCTCCCGGCTGCAACAATTTACTTTGTTGGATAGTGTGCAAAAATGTTGATTAGGTCACCTGAATACGATGAGCGGGACTCGTTCTCGCTTGACCCGCGGAGTTACCGCTACAGTAACCGCTCCAGTGGGGTTTATGGCGATCGCGACGGTCGAAGTTATTCGTCATACCGCAAATCATCCACCTATTTAACCACCTACACCAGCAACAACTGCCCCATCAACCTGGAATGCCCGGAACTACCCTACATCCCACCCTGTCCCGAACAGCCCGCCACGCCCGCCTGCCCCGTTCCGCCGGCCTGTCCAGAGGTCACCTGCCCCAACTGTCCAGCCTGTCCCAAGTGCATATGTCCAGCGTGCCCGGCATGTCCGAAATGCAATTGCGATGGAGATTATAAGGATGATGTTGGCGACATGTTGTGTAAGCCATACTATATTCTGTTCGTTTATTTAAAAAAATTGGTTTGTTTTATTTGTTTATGTATATATTATTTATTTATTTATTGTGGTTTACTTATTTACAAAATTACATATAATGTGTCACGCTCTTGCACAGATTAGGTCAAATTCACCATAGCGTGTCTATAGAAGCAATACTTACATATATACTGCCGTGAATTTAATGCAGTATGAGTCCATGGTCAGTTTAGTCACACAGTGCACACGTGAATTTGTCTGTAGTTAGTTGTATTCCAATTTTAAATCAAATCCGTGAGCGTAAAACAATTACAGGCGCTGTGTGGAGTCCATTGATTCTGTCAAAATTTTGCTGGCACCACTGGGGAGGCGGAGGCTGCACTATGGCCGAAGACGGCCTGACGCGTAGCTGTTCAACCACCTTTGGTAAAATCGGACAGGATACCTTGAGCAGTCAAGCTGCAGTCGCATCTCCGCTGGCAGGAGCTGCACAAGGATCCCCCATTTTAGCCTTAGCAAACAGCCTCTCTACAAACGGCGGGAGTGGTCCTAATCTATCTGGTTTACTGCAGAAATTAGGAGGAACCACAAGTGCAAACCTGCAAAGTTTGCTAGGATCATCCTCATCTGCAACATCCTTGTTAAACGCTCTGGGGGGTACTCGCTCGATTCTCCCCTCAGCGCAGGGCAGGACTGCCGGTTTTCTCACTGTAAGAAAAAAGCACAACAGCACCATACAATCACTGGGCGAAATTAACACCAGAAAACTACAATTTGTTTATGCACTACTGCTAAAATTACCCGTTTAGAATATTTATAACAAATTGACCGTCAACGTCAAAATATTCAAAACAACTGACTCTCTGTTTTCCGTTGTTTCGTTTTTTTACAGGGAGCTAAACCAAGTCCACGGAAAAAATTCTTCTGGCAGGTAATGCAATTATACAGGTAGATCTAGATCGTTACCGTAATTATTTTAATGTCTTTTGTGTGAGATGCATTAATCAGGCGGTTGACCGCAAGGTAACGTATCCTTTTGTCCTGCTACCAAGATAAATATTGTATTCATGTGCTTCCGATTTTTGCCTAAAGATTAATGGCAAGATTAACAATACTGTAGCATGTAACAGTTAGGCAGTTCTTTTTTAGCCACACCCTATTGAGTTTTGCAGATATAAATATTTTCAAGTATACTAGTGTAGCATTCTCACTTCCTACAAGAAATTAGATTTTTCTGATTTTGAAGCCTCCCTATTTGCCCTGGTAAGTCACAGAACGTGCCACTTAATACACAGTTTTTCGCAGCAAGAATGTGATAAGTAATTTAAACTGAAATGCCGAAACTTTTTACCCCTACTCGTGTACACAGCAAAACTTAACTCATCTTCTAATTTTGCAGGCCACTGCTGGTCAAGCATGCCCTAACGGGTTCGCGGTGTTTAGCGGTAAAACGTTCTGCCTGGGTGACTCCGCGCAAGAGGCTCCCGGAGCCACGTCCACCGCACAAGCTACAAATTCCACGGTAAGGTTGCGAAAAGGACAATAATGTTCCTTTGTTTTAAGGAGAGTATAGCCCTATGCACTATGTTATTCAGTAGTGCACTGTGTTATTCAGGATTCCGGCACGGGAATCGGCCAGTAACGGGAGTTGCTGGAGTGACCAATGGGGCTGCCGCAAAATGAATGTTGTCCTCTCGAGTCTCGACTACAGTAGACAATTGTTTATATTACATATTATATCGGATACCCCGCAAACTAGCTCTCATATTTTCGCTTTCGAATAATTTATGTTTACACTCTTTTATCATGTCCCTTTAGTTTCCGCCGTAATGCCGATGGGTTCTATCAAGAATCTTATTATTGTTGTACAGCATATCTGGAGTATTTATTTCTGTTGCGGGTGCCCTATTGCGCCATTAACTCAGTTATTTTGTATTTGGAAAAGTGCTGATTTGGATGCTGTTTGCTGACTGCTTAGGCAAAAACTGCGACCATTGCTCAATGCACATACTGAACTAAAGACGGTCTAAACTGTACTTTCTTTTCTGGAATTACTGATCAGTGGCTGCTGACAGACATTTAAGACTCATTTTTTCACATCATAATCAAAAAGGTCAAATCGTTCGAAATGCTTTTACATTATTGTTTGTACTCGGAAGTTGTGTGTATGTGAAAACGAATTTTGAATAAGCACTCTATGCAACTATTAACACGAAAAGAGAACGGAAATGCAGAAGCAACATAACTTTTTTTGAGTGTCTGCAAGTATACGTTATTGCCCTATTAATAGCGGTCTTTCTCCCAACATGGAGCGTGTACGTATTATTAATTGTCTGATGACACGAATGATCGAGCCCAGCCCATTCATTCTTCATGCCGCTACCGGTTTTTTCCCCGAAACCATAGGGATACTATGATAACTGCATTGCTACTACAAAGAAACCGTATCTCTGCACTGAATGCATTTTTTGTGTAGATTCAGTTTTCTCCCAGACCAACTGTACTTTGTACCAAAAGTGGAGTTACCAATGAATTTCTGTTAACATCCAAACTGACGAATGTGGGTTTTACTATGCAGAGTAGCTACTTACTTATGCCAGCGTTGTGTAACTGCTGAATGTGCTGTACTTAATTCACACATGGCAGATTAAAAATGTAATCAAGACAGGAGTTAGACTAACTCCTGTTTACGGTTTACTACTCTTTCTAACAGTACGTGAGATTCATAACATGACCTTTTTGCTAGCCGACAGGCTTAGAAACGGTGACGTCGGCATTTTTAAATTGTACACTTGTTGGGCAGAAATTCAATGATCACTTTTTATTGGCGTAAGCCTAACGCACAACAAAATAATTTTATTTTTTTATCAATGGAGCGTTAATTATTTGGGTGACACTACAGGCATCGCTTTTAACCCCGTACGCCCCCTTTTGCAACTCGCTTTATTACAGACAGACATTACAGGCTTTATTTAATTATTCAGACAGAAACCGTAATCCTTGGGCATCCTTCAGCCCTGTTTCCCTCACCCATCGGAGAGACGTCCCCCACCGAAACCATTAAGTGACTTGTACGGCGCTGCCAGACCTCAATCATGTAACCCTATTAATCTGTCCTGTCCCCGCCTGGCGGAGATCCCGAAATGCCCCTACCCGACCCCGCCCACTGCCTGCCTGGCTCCGCCCGCCTGTAAGGATGCTATCTGTCCGGCCTGCACACCATGCGGCAACTGCGTCTGCACGGCGTGTACCAAGTGTCCCGGTTGTAAATGCGGCATCGCCATCGACATTCTAGAGACCCTGCTCCTGAAATTTTCTATCGGTTTGCGAATACATGCCAATCTTGTTACATTCAAGAGCTGGTAGTCTGTAGCATGCGAACGTTTCAGCTGAAGATTCATGGCCGATTGAATTGATCCATCCGGCCAATGACCCACCACCACCACCGACTAGAGGAAGTGCACCAGTACCACCACCACCACCGACTGGAGGAGATAGTCCACCACCAGCGCCGACACCGACTGGAGGAGATAGTCCGCCACCGGCGCCGACACCGACTGGAGGAGGAGGTAGTCCACCACCGGCGCCGATACCAACAGGAGGAGATAGTCCACCACCGGCGCCGATACCAACGGGAGGAGATAGTCCACCACCGGCGCCGACACCGACTGGAGGAGGAGGTAGTCCGCCACCGGCGCCGACACCGACTGGAGGAGAAGGTACTCCGCCACCGGCGCCGATACCAACGGGAGGAGATAGTCCACCACCGGCGCCGACACCGACTGGAGGAGGAGGTAGTCCGCCACCGGCGCCGACACCGACTGGAGGAGAAGGTACTCCGCCACCGGCGCCGATACCAACGGGAGGAGATAGTCCACCACCGGCGCCGACACCGACTGGAGGAGGAGGTAGTCCGCCACCGGCGCCGACACCGACTGGAGGAGAAGGTACTCCGCCACCGGCGCCGATACCAACGGGAGGAGATAGTCCACCACCAGCGCCGACACCGACTGGAGGAGAAGGTACTCCGCCACCGGCGCCGATACCAACGGGAGGAGATAGTCCACCACCAGCGCCGACACCGACTGGAGGAGATAGTCCGCCACCGGCGCCGACACCGACTGGAGGAGAAGGTACTCCGCCACCGGCGCCGATACCAACGGGAGGAGATAGTCCACCACCGGCGCCGACACCGACAGGAGGAGATAGTCCACCACCGGCGCCGACACCGACTGAAGGAGATAGTCCGCCACCAGCACCCGGTCGGAAAAAGCGGGGTGCTGACAATATTTTGAGAACCGGAAACTTTGTCAACCCTGTAGCTGGTTACAGAAAGAAAACGAAAGGACAAAATTTGATACGCAAGGTGAGATTTACCTGACACCGTCTTTATAGAGGGAAAGCACTTTCGAAACGTTTCGGTACAGAACCCACGCGGTGACGTTCGAATTGATTAGAAAAGTAGGTAACTAGTATCTCAATTGCTGGGCGGGATTTGAGTTCAACCGGGGAGAATTCCGCGTAACTGCATTAGGTCCCAAATAATGTATAACGCCACGTGAAGATTTTGCCATCATATATAGAAGATTATTTAATAATACCATTATCGAAGAATATTACGAAAAAATATTGCTGTTCGGAAAAAATGGGCCATAAATCTACATAGGTCATAAATGGTTCGAAGACATGCAGGCGTTGAGCTTTGTACCGAGCACATAAGGCATTTCTGGCCCATTGTTCTGAATTCGTTTTTTCTTTGTTTAGGCCAAAATACGTCCATACTGTATGGAACCGGTATGAACAATGATTTTCTCGAATTATCAGCGTTTTCAGCGCTATTACAAAATACAATTATACAGGTATCCAGTAGGGACTTGTGTATCCAGTAGGGACTACATGGTAACAAATGGACTTATTTTTTGCGTTACCGTGGCAAATCCAGCTGTGGAAACTATTGCAACAAATGTCAGTAGTATACCGTAAACAGTTACGCACACTTCAACTGTCAAGGACACTGCGCAGCCAATCAACGGAAACAGGAAACGCGTTGTTCTATAATTAAGATGCAACTGTACAGAGTCTATACATGGAATGAAATTGTATGACTGTAAAGAAGTTCTGTATAATGATAGCATTTGGGTGACATTTAATGTATAACGTTTTCATGTGCAGACCGGGGTCCTGATGATAAGCTCCCTTGACGAACCACTTGGGCAATTAGTTTACGGTCTGCAGCCTTGACACAAAGCAGTGCGCTCATTTATTGGATAATGCGAATGTACTGCTATAGGCAAAATGTGGATTTTCTGCACCGAGACTGCCGGTAGCATTCAGTCTTTCTAATGGTATTCCTTCCCTTGTATGCACATGCTGACATGCGTGATACACTTACTATGAGTTTGTTTGTTTTTTAAGATTGAGGTTTTGTTTTTTATAGTCGACGACATACCAAATGTTGGTCAGCTCGAAGCAATACTTTGTTTTGTAATTAAAGCCTACGGGTAGAGACGGACGTTGACAGTACACCGTTACAGTGACGATAGCCATACACGAACTGTTTAATTACATACGTGTTGTCGAAGTCAATAATAAAAACTTAAGAAGCCATTTCCATCTGAAAATTTGTTGCAAAATTGCCAAAGACGGTCCATACTCGCCCTCTCGTACACTGTACTTATCGTTAATCAACACAATACGCGTGACCTTCGATATTAAATGTACGATACAACCGCACAACTGATATACCAAAGAGATTAAAAAAGGGGAGCGCGATAGAATTACTGATAATTGGTAAACGAACGGGGTTAACAAACTCGACAGTATGTATGTTTTTTTCTAATCTGAACAATTTGGAAATTAACATGTACCAGACGGTTCACAAGAAACTGTACAAAGCGTTAGCACGTGGAAATGGGTAACCGCTTATCAGATCTTTGAATAATTAGTATAGCAAAAATAGAATTTACAACTTTCGTGACACGACCCTAACCTTGTTGAATGCATGCTGCAGAAAGCGGAATGCGTACCTTAATTAATTCGGTTACGGATGATTTTGTCGTATGACGTATGTTACACCTATAATTATCGAATATCTAATTTAATCCCTGCTATCATTCTCTCAGGTTTTAACTGTTACCATTTCTTCTGAATAAATGGAGATACACTGGCACGGTGCGCTTGATTTATTGTTCCTGTTATCAGTAAGTTAATGAGGATTGAAAATTGTGTTGATCGTATCAGAATGCGTATTATTTGTCATTTTAATTTTATATCGTGGTTCAGTAATGCATACATATCGAATATCGCCGGCTAATTAATCAATCTGAGAAAGAAAGCAGAAATACAGGCGTGACCTTTAAGATGATTTCGTAGATAGCCGCGTGTGCGTGTGCCCGCGCAGCTGAAGAGTACGGCCGTTCGCCAACCGCCCGCTATGATAGCGCCTGTTCATCCTGCAACCCCCTCAATCTGGCCTGTCCCCGGCTATCCGACATCCCGGCCTGCCCCACTCCGACACCACCGACCGCCTGCTTGGCACCGCCGGCGTGTAAGGATCTTACCTGCAATCCGTGTACACCCTGTCTGAACTGCACATGTACCGCCTGCGTTAAATGCCCCGATTGTAAATGCGACATCGCTATGGACATACTGGAAACACTTCTCATCGGAAGTTATGGTACGTGCCAGTAGCAAACAATAAATCTAATCCCCGGTTAGAATATTGTATATACCGTATATACGTAGCTGGAATTAGCTTACATAAACAACAGTAGTACTTTTATACGTAAGTTTGTATTGTGTGATGACGGAATTAATATGAATCAAAATTTCTAGCTTTCGTTAAAATGGTGCAGGCATATATAGTAAACAGGCCATAAACCTATAATCACCGCTTCTCCAGCTTTTTCGATTAAGAACATAATGCACTAGCTGCAGCCCAAAACAAATACTGAAAATATGTAATAATTATTTACAGAAGTAATTTACAGTATGTATGTCTCGGCAAGTGGGCCGGTACATGGTACCAAATTCGTGTACATGCAAAAAAACTTTCACTTTCCCGCACTCCAAAAACATTTTGGTTTTATTTTATGACATTCTAGCCAGATGATTTGTATATACACGGGCGTGAAAACCGTTTGTGCGCGCAACATCCGGTTCGGGAGTTATGGCTGTTAGAAATTCCAAAAAGTTTAACTAAATGCATTTCGGTGTACCAAAAGTCTCATTATGCACCGATCTCCCTCAAATTTTGCACATAAATGCACACGGTCATGAAAATCGCTTCTACACCGATCCAGACTTTCATGATCTTTTTAAATTTTAAAATGAATTTTAAAAGTTTTGAAATTCATTTTGAAATTCGAAAAACATGCTAGAACAGTGGATCGGTGTTAAAACGATCTTCATGGCCAGGTGAATTTACGTGCAAAATTTGAAAGAGATCGGTCCATAATGAGACTTTTGCAACACCGGAATGCATTTAAACTTTTTGGAATTTTTTAACAGCCATAACTTCCGAACCGGCTGTTGCGCGCACAAACGGTTTTCACGCCAGTGTATACAGTACAAATCATCTGGCTACAGAATGGCATAAAACGAAACAAAAAATGTGTTTGGGAATGCGCGAAAGTGAACTTTTCGTGCATGTCCACGAATTTGGTACCATGTACCGGCCCACTTCCCTTAAATTATTAAACATACTTCGAAGTAGTCGTAACTTTCTTCAAGCATTTCAAGGTGTCTTGTACATGTGTTTGCGGTCACTGGTAACCCTTTCCTATGTAATAAAAACGTTTAAGAAATTCGTCAGCCTGAACACATCGAATACTACGTAATACACTATACACTACGTAATACATATAGTACAATAGAAACTACCAAAAGTATACTATAGTATACCGGTACATATAAAACTTTAGTAGAAACTACGTGCCAATCATATAGCTAGTAGGAACTATCAATCATACTATCAAGGTGGCTAAGGGATCCACCTTGATTTTATAAAAACGCTTGACTATCATCATCTTTCTGCTGTAAACTCTTGCCCAAAATTTTTTAGGCACATTACTTAAGCGCAAAAAACGCGACGTAGATGATGTGTCCCCGGAAATAAGCATTGCTAGTCTGAAGGATCTTCGCCGCAAAGGAAAGGTATGCAGAATTAATTTGCAAGGATACATCGTGCAAGCTTAAGGGCTGCTGTACTCCTGCACGTTAAAAGTTAATATGGGTAATTATGTAAATGTGGCCCTGTAGCTTGTTGTTACGTATTAGGCCACCGCACTGTGCACTGTTTTTCCGAAAATGTTAGGATAAAATATAGATATATTTATATACTTTGTATATAATATGTTGGACTGTATAATTATCGCCGCTAAGCATGCAGTGACCGCGACTTTGGGTTGTTGCAGGAATACGGAATTATGTTTTGCTAAACATTCATTTTGTGCTAATTTTTTATGCCCTTCTTATTCAGGATATTTTGTTTCTCAAATAAATGTAAGTGCTTTCTTAATTCTTGCAGCCTACATTCCAAAGATTCCAGACGCAACCGGTACGTACTTGCAAGTTACTTACCAAATCCCATAAATTTTATTGCTCAGTAAGCACCTTAACTGCAGCAAATTGTGCAAAATTATTACAATTGTAAAACTACCTTACTATAAAATCCGCAACAAACTAAGATAACCATAATCTGATAGTATATTAAATCTTTTTCTAACAGTTTTTCATAGTTAATTTAGATTAGTGGTTGTAATTGTCCAGCGTATTCGTCTTATTAACAGGTGAACAGTAGTGAGTTGTGCCACGGGGATTACATGATGACCGACGGTCAAGTGTACTGCGTCACCGCGGGTTCGGCTGCCAAGGTGTCCGTAAACGAAACAACGGTTCGTTATTACGCAGTATATAAATCAAGTTGATCAACATAGTGCAGAGATTCCTTCTGTTACGCAGCGGGCCAGCAGCTCCGCAACAGATTTTCACGTTTAAATTTAATTTTTCGACTGATTTATTGTTACAGGGAATGCTGACAAATGCGATGTTCTTAGTATCTTTCCAAAATGATCCAATTGGACAAATTGTATACTCCGCACCTGCGTGAGATCAAAGCCAGAAATTTCGTCATCAACGGAAATTATTTAATGCACGATTATTCTTGCACGATTTCGCTGTTAATAAACTTACTGTTAGTACTTAGTGCACAGATACACTTACAGATATATCGTGCGACGGTGCGAGTTTACTTGTATATCATATGTACGAGTATATCAATTTTACTCCTTTTGAGCCATTGTGTGCAAGCGTAGTTAATGTGTTAAAACGTAGTTTTCTATCTGTAGAAGAAAAAGCGATTTATTTTTGTGTATTGCTGGCATTTATTTATTATTTGTTTTGTTTATTGTACGCGAATCAGTGCGTCTCAAGTTCCCAATGCATTCGCAATAAAAATAGGGAATCAAATAAAAGTTTTATTTATCCATTTTATCTTCAGTTTCAGCTTTGTCAGCTTCGCCTGAAATAGCACATGTTTCATTCAATTCATCAGGCATCCCACAATAATTGCGAATAACTTAATAGAACCAAATAAAATCGGTACAGTATAATATTGCATCAAATGCGAATTCCAAAACACCGCAATGATTATGTTTTCCGTTCAGAAGCTGCATACAAATCAAAAACCCACAAGCAAAAAATTAGTCATTTGGTGTCGAACTACATTTACAACCGGGCTTCCGTGATATCTGGCGGGGCTTCCAAGTCCAGTTTGCGTTTAAGGATGGCCTGGATGAGGCGCTTACGGGGTCCCAGCGGGAAGCCGATCTTCTCCAGTTCACTCTCACTGACCATCTCTAGATTGGCCACACTGTCCACCTTCTCCTTTTGCAGGAGGGGGTAGTAGTTGTTCAGATTGTTACCGGCCAGGAACAGCTGCAGTTCATTCACTTCATCACTGTCCTCCTCGTCGTCCTCATCGCCGCTGAACTCCATCCCGCCGTCCGAATCCTGGGGTTTGTTGCGGTGGGCGAAACTTCCGGCACTGCCGACACTACCCACCTGGGTACACAATTTCGTTAGTGCGCAATTAATCGCAATATGAGCTACAGCGTGCGCTTAACCGAAAACATGCACCTGCAATACGCACGACAGAAACTTTACTATATCTATATTTTATCAACTGAAATTACGATTATGTAATATTAATTAGCAATAGGGTCGGCCGAAAGTGTCGGTCGTTTTTGCAGATAAGTGTACAAGTATCAAATGAAAATACATGTTTACTGAAAACTCCTAATAAGAAATTATGGAAGCTATATTTTAGAAATTAAGATAACTGAGCGAAACTGATACATATCTGAAATTGAGTGAAAAACATGAATCAAAAATTTTACTGATGCCGCCGATACATGCGATCAGCGTAATCCTGCGATGACTAAGACACAGAGTTATCTATAATTAAAAACGTGAGAAATTCTTTAATGTGGTGACGTTATAGTTGTTTAGCGAAAGTACGGGAAAACCGATGAAAAGCTGGAACCTTGAACCTTTTTTCAGCCCTTGCACTACTATACTGCCACTATCCAGAACAACTCTGTGAACGCACTAGTATAGTATTTTTATCCTTATTGTTAGTATATATCCATAATCAGTTAAAATTACCTTAATCAATCTGACTGTCGGTCAACCAATATGCACACAAAACACAGGCTTAAACGCCTTACCGAGACACTTCCCGGTCGTGGTCCGTCCTCCTCATCCTCCTGAATAGCCTCGGTATCGCGGCGAACGCGCGACGTCAGATTGTACAGCGACTCGGTGTTGATGGGGCGGGGCTTCTGGAAAATCGCCCGGTTCATCCCACCAAAACCGTTCAACGGGAACTGCCCGGTGGCCGGCGGGCGATCCGTCTCCCCGTAGAATCCCGAATCCTCCGTCCCCACCGTCAGCACACTGACCGTATCCCCACGTTCCACATACACCGTCTGCTGGCGGTCATTAACCAGCGCTTTCTTCCCGCTATCCGTTGTCGTCACCCGCCGATTGTTCTCTTTGGAACTGGATAGCGGGATTAAATTCTTGATGGTCTTATATAAGCCTTTATTCTTCGGAGCTGCGCTGGGTATTTCCGCCGTCTGCTGTTTCTCCATCTTCTTCTGGAGGAGACGCTGGCGTTTGTCGAATTCCTTCTTGCGTTTATCGGCCTCCAGAACGGCGTTCTCCTGCTCTTTGCGGGCGGTGTCGGGATGGGAGCGCAGCTGGCGGGCGCACGCGTCATCGAGCAGCCGGACAATGTCCAGACGGCCGTGCAGACTAGCCACGTCCATGGCCGTGTGCCGGTCGTTGTCCATGGCGAAGACGTTGCAGCCGAAATTAATTAGGAACGACACGCAGTCCAGGTGACCGCGGGCCGCGGCGGAGTGTAGCGGGGTGTTGCCAAGGTAGTCGCATTTGTTGGGTTTACCTCTGCAAGTAATATATAGCTGCGGATTCTGATCGGTGATGCGGTTGTGAGTAAGTAATAAACTGCAGACTAATCGTGAACCTGGACAGTTAACTAATTTTACGACGCAGAAGTGTAATACCGTAGATATCGGTATTATTATTAAATAGTTACACGCTCAGGAAAACAACGAATTAAAAAGTAATTTTTTTCCAAGTTTTAATAGTAGGTATGCACTATGCAACACATTTTTCACAAGCGGATTGTGTGTAGTACTTTAGCCGTTTGGGCTGTTTCGACAACACTCCATTGCACTACGCTATGCGACAATTTTTTTAAGGTGCAGATGGCAGTTGCCATCTCTCTCGTAGTACGACATACAGTTACAGTTGCTGAATTTTAAGGACCGGTAACAGCATTCCACTGGCCTATTCCCCATTTTTCGAATTCAATAAAGGGAATCAATTATAAACATTAAACCACAACGAAATAATTTCCCCGATTTAAATTTCGGCAAGGGCACCGTGGGGCTTAATTGCCGCCCACACGAGAATTCCTAGTTAGATATTTTACATACCTATGTTCGCAATATAATTTTAGTACTATCTTTTACTAATTTACTATTATAACTTTTCCAGGAAAAATCGAAGAATTGTTTTTCCTCAGCGCTGACTAATGAAGGAATATCCAAAACGTATTCTTTCTTGCATGCGACGTAATCGGTAACTATATTCGGCTTCCGCTGACGGTGCCGACAATGCAGCGCCGACTCGTTAGTTAATTTACACTTTACCACAATGCTAAATTTTACATCACAAAAAAAATTAGAAAAAAACAGCAAAATTACGGCAATTTTTAACTGTTGCGCTTCGACAGCAGACATGTGAGACTACTAGACAAGCGTCACTCTCCTTTCATTACGAGTACATCAGATAAGTTGGTAATGCAATTCTCTCCCAACCACACAATGCCCAACTGTTCCCAGCGAACGAAACATCCAGTTAGCAACATTAGTGGCAGCCGGATCGCTCTCAACGTCAACCGGGATCAACCACTTGACGCCGCACAATACAGCGTACTTGTTTGTACCGGCTGCAGTAGCCAGTATGCTTCTATATATCGCGTCGGCTCCCGCGCGCACTTGATCGGCTAAGCAGCCCGTCCAACCGGCATGTCGTTGTCCGATTTCGCACGGGCAGACAAAGACCGCACTGACAACAATTTATATCTGTACAACAGATGCCGGAAAGTCACCCGGTGTACATCGTAGGTGTCCGTGAATGGCCCAAGCCGATTAAGCTACAAACTGGGCGTTGGACACTTGTGCAACGGTGCATTCTCAATTAATTCCTTCATAGTATTACATATTTAATCGGGTAAATATTATTTCGGCTCCCTCGCGCGATTGCCGCGTCATTTTTCAACGACGGACGATTCAAGCGTATTACCGCGCACATTTGCATTTGTTTTTCGCTGGTCGATGGTATCAAGGTTGACTGCACTTGAACGAGCTGGTCCACATTATTTCGATTTAGGGAATTATTTAGGCATTTATTTTAATTTTGGTGTGTAATTGAACAATAAAGGAAACTTGATAAAAAATTGGAAACAGTGTTGACTTATGAATTAATTTTTAAAATCTTATTACTTATGTTTAATAGCATTTTTCAGTTCAATTCGTATTGCAGGTTTTACCTTGCCACGCCACTGGCCATTACACTACGCTTTCCGTTATTTTGAATTAACGGGATTCTTTTAAAGTTCGCAAGTACAACTTTTTCTTGCTAATGAAAATTTATTTGAGAAAAATGGACAAGCGATAAGCACGGCAAAAATTCTAAGAGGAATTTTCTCGAGATTTTCTCACAATCTGAACGATGCGAGTTGACTTAAAGAATCCGTGTTAACAAGCCGGTAATTTAATTTCCTCGTTAAGTGAGTAAATACAGCCAGCTTACAATGTGCTACTGCTGACTCCTCCTAATAACCAATTAACAACATGGCAAATTTACTTATCAGTACAATATGAGCAAAAGATTCGGCATGTTTCAGAAACAGTTTCCTGCTGTACGAATTATGTCAACAAAAATTGTCAAAAGGCATTCCCATGCAATGAATAAACTCCCGTCAGTAGCGCAGTTCACTGCAGGTCAAAGGAGAAATCTCCGCACAATTGGCCTAATCAAATACACATAGTGCTGCCGGTGCGCGCGTGCACCGCCGGCAAACACGGCGCTGATTGAGGGTCCACTTGAAAAGTTGACCAAGGTGAAATTCCGAGTATTGTTTCTGGCATAAAATGTAGAGCACTGTGGACATACTCACTGCCTCAAGACAAAACCTCGTTCGACCCACAACACTGAGAATTTATCAATGTAATTGTGTGCAAATTTTCTAATAAAATAGAAAGAAAACGAAAAAAAACAATACGGGCGTTTCTAAGGCAGTTCCCAATAAAAATTCTGTATTTTCAGTTCCTGTCCAGTTTCACTGGATGAATCGCAAGCGTTTCTGACTGGCTGGGGATAATTAAAATTAAATACAGTTATAAATATCACAGTTTTATGTAGCACAGCAACAGTTTTTATACTGCACAGGTACATAAGTTAAGAAAGTAAGGGATGGCTGGGATGCCGACATTATTAATGCTGCTTGTACGCCGCATAATAAGCATTAGTGAAATCTAACGGAAGCAACGAGAAACACCGTAGAACAGTGGTTTATGGTTCGTTACATTTCCGTTTAAAACTTTGCAAACTTGCGTTAAACAATGAAATTATGAGGGTGTAGAATTTTTGGACAGCAGAAAAGGTTGTTTCGAACTTTTGAAGTTTACGCTGCTGTTATTTTCATCGAAAATGATTTCGAACGGCTTCAAATTAAACATGATATGGAAGTGGTTTCTAGCTACGTGCTGGTTTCAACTGATTGCAACAGGTTTGAACTAAATACAAATCTCAAAAGATATGTATTACTGTATGTAAGTGTAACTGTGTATTAATAAAGTTAAAAATTATAACAAGCTAAGATTTAAACAAGCTCTTGTACGTTGAAGTAGGTTGCAAATTTTTATCACAATAAACTGAGGTAAAAAACAGTGTATAGTACATACTTATGTTTATATTCTTATTAATTACCCTCGTCCTGTGATGACCCTGAGCGCGGCTAAATTCCCATACAGCGCCGCATAGTTGGTCGGCGTCATGCCGTCCTCATCCTGCTGATTGAGGTCCTTATTATTGGCCGTCTGCAGGATATCCAGATTCCCGTCTTTTGCGGCATGATGGAAACGGTCCGTCCATTTCGCACTGGATCCCATCGCTGCAGTAATTATTTATGGAAAGCAACAATTAACGAAAAATTCCACAAAACTGGCAATCCATACAAAGCCAACCGGAAGCGACAATGTCAATGATTATCCAACACAGTGGAATATTAATCCACTAGGATGTCGAGGGAAATCATTATTAATCAGGTGATATGAATTCATAATTTATGATGACCGTTGTGTACAAGGTTATCGGCAAACACGTATCGATAAGGATAAGACGCGAGCTAAGTTATCAGCTTATGATGATTCCGTAGACTGTCAATTCATGTAAACGCATACCGTGCACGCCGCATTCGACTGCCGATTGAGGGACAACAGTGAAAAGCGAGCTGCATCGTCAGGGACAAGCTGATGATGCTTTGCACCGCCTATCGTCCATCGGCGAAAGGTAGCCGTAACCGCGTTATATATATCGTAAGCATCTGTAGCTACTGCGGTGTACTTTGTACGATAGATGTACCTATCTATGTATATTTAGCGGAGGAAGGAAACAAAATAATTTCACCTTAAATTACTATATTCGACAAAAAACGGAAAGAGCACCACGACCTCTTAAAAAATTCACCTGAAAAATTCTAAAAAAATTTACCTGAATTATTACGTAGAAAGTGCAATGAAAGATGGATATACGCAATTATTTTTAAGGAATGTGATCTGCAGACGGCAAACGTATATTATAGGATTTAAATTCATCCCCAATTATATCAGATATTCTGGAGGCACTTTTGACCAGAAAGAAAATTTTCTGTAACCTTAAAGATTTTACACGCAAAAGATTCCGTTCAAAATTAAAATATGTAGTTACAGTGCAAAAAACTAACAAAAGATTTTCTTTATGAACCGCTTGATAATGATTGCGGCATTTATCCAAATCAAAAACAAAAAGAATGATTTCTAATTGGTTTTAAAAAAAAGAAAAGCCATATTTTAGATGATTTCAGTCTTCAACCACAGTTAGCCTTGATGAACAACTGCTCAGACAACATATGACTCTTATTCGCTGCATTCAAAATTCGACGCATGCGTTTGTGCATGGACGGCAGAATCTAATCCGCTCAGGCATTGAACGCTGTCATATTTGTTGACTAATAAGCTTCTCCGGCTGGACATCGTCAGAAAAAAATGTTAACTGCCGTTAATCCGAACAACCACAATCGCTGCGAAATTTCTCCACTTGCACTGCTTACCCTCCACGATTATCACAGTAGTGGAGTATTATTTGAATTATTTCTCCATATACTGGCAACCGTAAAATAAAAGCGATCGGCTTTCGGCAGTGACCGAATCGGTACACTGGAATACGGTTTATTTAATGTGTTGACGTTATGCAAAACTGACCGATTCGCAATATTATTAGATTTACATAAACGTCATGCACAAGAGGTCACAAAACAATATACAACTTCAAGAAGCAAAAAAGCCGCCATTAAATCGAGTTTGAAAACTGCAAAAGCAGTATAAAATGATGAAAATAAATAAATGATATAACTAAGCATGACAAAATTGCAAAAACCCAAAAATGTTTCACAAGTTAATCTGACAGCCGAGCATTTCATAGTGTTTCTCCATTCTGACGGGGTTCATCCGCGTTTTCGGCAGTTCATAATCGGACCAATTTTGGTTTTGACTGGCATACAATCGCGCCCTGCACCACAAAATGAAAGTTAATAAATTTAATTTTCCTGGGCTAGAGTTGCCGGCTCTTGTACCATGAGCTACCATCCTGATACATGTAAATATAAATCATTATGATGTAATCAGAACAGAAAACATAACTGAAAAGAATTTTCAATATTAAAAATAGGTAAATACCATAAATTCTATAATTATCAGCGCAGCCCTATGGAGGAACATATGTGCGTTATACATTCCAATGAATATACCTGTACTTTGGCCTCAGAGCTTCTGTGTGCCATTTCACTACAGCGCTCGACATTTGTGCAGCGTTTAGCTTCTTTTCGTGCTTAGTGTTTCACCTGCATTTCGACGTTCTATATATTCGTTTATTATTTACATTTTTAATTTTTTTATTTTTATATTTACATTTTTTATATTTTAATTTTAAGTTACAAGTTTCAAGTTACAAGTTTTAAGTTACAAGTTTTAAGTTACAAGTTTAATTTGAAGTTACAAGTTTTAAGTTGCAAGTACAGTAATTAATTATGGCAAACGAGAAGGCCAAATAATGGAGTGCGACACGTACAGATTAGCGAAGCTGAGCATCTCCATGCCGATGGGCTCCTGGAAGACCAGATCGGACTTCATGCACATGACCAGCTCGTCGGTGCTCATCAGCGCGAAACGGATACAGCCCATAATCGTCTGGAAGTGCGGCAGACGAGCCAGTCGGTCGTGCTTCATCCAGTTGATGGCCGCTTCAAATACTTCATACTCGCTCTGCAAAATTAATTACACACACTGTCCGGCCCAGTTTCACCACATTAGTAATATAACGTAATTTTCATTTGCTAACGCAAAATCCAACGCTACCGCTGATTTCACTGAATGAGCTTTAAGTACTTACTGTAAGATACTGTCAGCAGTGGGCTGCAATATACGCAACGTGACAACGTCGCATCGGTGAATTTGCTCTCCTTGCTTTTATTTCATTACCGGTTAGTTTTATTAAAATCAGAAAAAACTATTACCAACAACAAAATTTCGCTCTATAGAGTATTCCTTGACAAAACTGGTAAAAGCAGAACAATGCATACGATCTCGTATGATACGAGGTCAGTTCAGCCCGTACCGTGACTTTCAGCTCGTTTTGCTTGAGGAACCACAGCAGATCCTCCGCGTCCATCTCCAGAAAATCCCTGGTCTTACTCAGCTCCACGAACATGGTGGCCAGCTTCGTCCAGGCGATATCGAAGAGGGCGCAGGCGGTGGAGCGGGTGGCGCTGACGGTGCTCCACAGGTTGTGCTCCTGCAGCAGGACATTGGCGAAGGCTTCGGCCATCTTGGCCAGGTAGTGCAAGCGCAAGGCCCGGGCCGCATCGAAAATCTCTACACAATTGCTGTAACCCACCTGGAAAATCAATTAATTATCAACCAGTTAATTATCAATGCCCGTGCGAACTTTGTAAACGTAATATTTTGCTTGCTTGCTTGACCATTCCATACCAGTATGAAACAAAATTTAAGTGCTGACATTTGCGTGAACTAAAATAAACACCAGTCCCAACTCGAAACCACATTGTTAGCGGAAACGATAATATAGAGAAAAAAGGGCATATTAGTGTGATATTATCAGACATCTCGACTGACTACGAGTAATTTCGTATCGAACTAATGTGGTTAAGAGCCAGATCTAAAGGGTGCTTTGGTGCTAACAGCACTATAGACATACAATGCGACAACAATATTGCGCAAATTCTTGAAATGAGTCAATTTTTACTCGTTTACATACACAAATCTTTAAAGTTTAAACCGGTAGTTTCTCTAAAGTAACATGTTTCAAGATATATTATTTATTACTCTGTAGAAGTATATATAATTAATAAAAGAAACAATAAACTATCGTACGTACATAGTACCGCAGTTAGATGGCCGTCGCAGGATCAGTATTTTTGGCATTAGTGTATTACTAAAAAAAATTTCCCCAAAATTTTATGAGTTACACTTAGTGAAAGCGTAACCGATAAGAGCTTACAGACTCGCCTTGATTCTACCAACGTACAAATAATTGACGACATTGCGCAGTCCCAGCAGCGTCACCGCCGAGCCGAAGTCGATGAGGATGGGACTGTGCTTGTACAGACTGCAGCCGCGCTGGTAGCAGAAATCCGTCCAGACGTCGCTGTGCGCGGATAGGAGCGGCAGATGGATGGGCACAATCCCCTCCAGACACTTCAGCTCCACGTCCAACAGGAACTTCCGGTGCCATAAACCCAGAAACAGCGACTGTATGCTGCAACAATCACACTTACAATCAGCCATTCGTAATTAGCGACAGATGAACTGTGTCCACATTAATCTCGATTTGCTCGAAAAAAAGCTCGAATATGCATTAACCGATGCCTGGCACAACCAGCTACGTGTTACTCGTAATAGGAAATTAAACGAAATTTGCTGTTGTGAATATAATCTTTTTGTTTATTTTACTATAAGTGTGTAATGCGAATTTCGAAATAAAGTTACGCACAGTTTAATAGTAAAATAAGCTACTGGAAAGTGGTGAAATTATTTTGTTACATCTAAGTACTAACATGAGGAAGTGTTTTTTGTTCTCATGGCACATTTTTCGTTGGAGTCGGAGAAATGGATCCTCGAATTCCCGGCTGATTCGCGGAACGTCTTGCTGCATCTTACAGCGAGCATGCGCCGCTTTTGCTGCTTCGATAACTTTTAACAGTCGCAAAAAACCTGAAAGTAGAAGTAATTGTATATGTAATCATTATATTTTAACGGCGCCATCTGTCTGCACATCTCGTTACTCAAGCAACTTTTTAGCACAGTGGCAACATGATCTGAAGAGTATCCTTTAAAACTTTGTTTGTTGTATCTTTGATGACGGTGATGTGATTAGAGTGCAAGTAGCTTATCCAATTTTCCAGAGAAAATTTTTTACGCACAATCAATTTAAAAAAAATCGGGTTTTGTTGAACACAGAGTGCGTTGCTTCGCGCATACGCATACCGTACTGTAAAAATGTCTATGAGGCTGATTCTGCTGCGCTATTTTATCACACGGTAAGCGAATCGCACTCAGTGTCGCATGGCAGACTAGAAAATAAAACAAAAACACCCTAAAGATGCTACAAATTTTGTAGCCTCAACGCATGGTTACACACAGTGTTAATCAAGGCTTTTCACTACTAGGTACACCACGTACGATTAGCAGCCAGTCCTTTGCGGTACTTGGTTCTCACGGCCGCTTTGGTGATGGTAGGGAATTCTTGGCCGTCCGCATCGCGATTGATCCCGACGGACGTCAGACGACGCTGGACCGCGTCCGGTGGCAGATTAATGGGCACGGGCACATCGGCTTCGGGATCGATGACGGGGCGGTCCATTTCAAAGGTCACTTCCTACAGTGTGCAATAATCCAGCCTAACCATGGGGGAACTGAATTTACCCTGCCGTATGTTCATAATTACATGCGCATGACAGATTCTGACGTGCAAAAAGCCATTATGATTTGAAATTTAACAAGACTACTCAAGCAAGTATCGCATGTTTAACAAGCAGCTAGTTCCGTACATATACACTGCTGCAAAATCAATAACAACAGCCAAAATTCATACAGATATATACTGTATACTCGAACATTGCTGCTTCTCTGCTTTCTATACTGCTAATGTTGCCACAGTTTTCACTTTACAGCGTCTTACTTTGTGCACGCATTACCAAATCATTACACACCATTCTTTTTTAAACTAATAATGCAGTACCAATACTATTGGTTAGTATATCAGGATTTGTATACAAATTTAAAACGTAATTATGCACTGAAAATTTCAGATGAATTTATGAAAATTTAAGAAAAAACGATTAAAGGATATCAAATATTGAGATAAAAGATTGACATTACGATTAAAAGAAAAACACATTTGCGCTCGAAAAAACACCAGCGTACGAAAAAAAGCTGTTATCAATTCTGACAGAAAATGTTCAGAGAATCCAATCTGTATATTAATAAATAAGAATATATTTTGCGCTCGATACTAGCCTATATTTAAATAAGTGTAATTTTCTTAAAAGTTGAACCTATCAGTTTTACCTTCATGTATTTACATGCACGTGGCAGGGCCCCGATGGGCATCACAGGTGGATTGCGCAGAGACGCCCTCAGCCTTTTAACCTCGGTCAACGTGGACTTCCGGCTCAGCTTGGGGACTGCTGCGACTTCGGGCGAGTCCGTGGCCACCACGCTGGCCGAGCGCGTGATACGCGACGGCCGAGATGGGTACAGGCGCGCGGTGGACCGCGGCAAACTGCTCCATGGCACGGATTTATCAGTAAGGGTGTCGCCATGGGTCTTCCGTAACGACATGATGATCGGATAATAAAAATTGATCTGGAATGCACAAATTCCTTCACTAATGTAATTATGCGTCTCTCGTTCTGGTTAACTCATATTTGGTACTTATTGGAACTTTAGCATATACTGGTACTGCAAGCTGGCATGTTTAAATAACTGTGCCACCTGCAATGCGCTGTGCTTTTGTTCCTAGGCGATTCTAACAGCGGAAACTTTCACTTTAGCCTTTAACCAATATCATTAACGTACTACCCAGCAAAATTTAGAGCACAATAGTAAACACCGAAATCTAAGATTTTTACTGAAGTTACCTTTACAAATAACAAACCGGTTCCGGCGATCGTCGGCGTCAGGGAGAAAAAGTTGTCTTGCTGATGATTTAAAAATCCTGGCAGTCCGATTTGTGCAACATTAATTACAACAAAAAAGGCAGTTGAGAAAAAAATGAAATTTAAATTCGAAGAATTCAAATTTAATTAAAAAACTTCCATTTAAATTCTGAAATCGTCACGACGCTAGAGTTACATAAGTAAAAAATACAGTAAGTGCAAACTGCTAAAAAATGAATTTATGTATAAACTCGAAAAAATATCAACCTTGAAAATTCTAATTAAATAAAATAAATAAATTATAAAAAGATAAAAAAGGTGGTTAATAAAACTTTTTTTCCTGCTTTCCATCCACATGCTCCATCGTACTGTGCTGCAGCCGCGACGGTGCACTAACCCGCCGGCGCGAGGCTTTCGACGAAGAAAAATTCCGGAACACCGATGAGGAAATCGATGCCACTTCGGGGCAGGCCTCCGGGCAGTCGGACGTGCAGCGGTGTGCCCCGGAAGCGCCGTTGGAGGTGGTGCTATCCGCTGAGGCGCGCCTACTTCCCGACCGGGAACTGGCGAACACCGGCAGATAATCCAGAACATGACTGGAGATACTCCAGCGCCGGTGTGACACGCCGGACTGGGAACTGGTGACTGATGCGCGCCGGAACGTGGACCGGAAGACGGAACGGATGTCGGCGCGGATACTGCGGTTCAGGCCGCCGTATACGTAGGGGTAGGCGGCGAAGCTGACGAAGTTGCAGCAATAGCCAAACGCTTTCAGCCAGGACTTTTGACTAACAACAAAAAATCAAGCACAGCATAATTACTCGTACTATTGAGCATATATAAACGAGATCAGACACAAGCGGATACTTTTATGAATACAATTTCACTTTAAAAATAAAGCGAAAATAATCCGAGGCTTATGTCATGTATTTAAGCGAGATTACGGCATCGGGTAAAGGTCGATCGATATATTCAGTTTAATAAATTTACAATAAAAAGTTTATGCAAGGTTGTAGGTTGTCCATCTTTGCGCAATCTAGCTGGCATCAACTTTCCAGTATAGAACGGATTTCGTAGTGTAAAGGCTTAGAATTAAAGCTATCTCTCCGTCATTTGCCCTGTTCGTATACATCTTTAATCTGACAGAAATACGTATAACAGATAAATAACAGATATCCACGTTTAATTTGTGGTTCTTTTTAAATTCTCCAATTTAAGTCATCATAAATAGTGTCCAATCGCGTGTTTTCGCGCTCTTAAACTACTCTAGCTGTTATCGAAAAGCAAGTATGAGTTATGGATAAATTTCGGCGAGAGTTTAAACAACAGTACCTTAACTACAGATAGCTGTTAATATCATTTCCTAAAATAATAAAATATACAACTTTGATTTGTAGTAACTCCCTCGGTTCTAAACCATTCGTCATCTAAAAGTATTTTTCTATATAAAAACCCATTTAATTTAACAGTATCATTTAAACGTCATTTCATTTCTATGCAAAGGAATTCTACTCACAATGGCGCATAAGCGTATACAGTAAACAAAAATAACCGAATTGTTAAATGATATTCACTATTCAAGATATCCTTTGAATTTTTATCATACATAGCGTAAGCAACATGGCGTCGTATCATAGCGACTTGTGACATGTAAAAATACACAACAGGTTCTATGATTTAAAACTTACAATGCGGGAACGGTCAAGCTGGATGATTCCAGTTCGGCGGCCGGCACCGTCGAAAACGATTCCATCAGCGTGACTACGACATACGCTCCCGACGTCACCAAATGAGATCCGAGAATGACCGCCGCCACACCGATGGCCTTATAACTGGTGTTATACACCACCGTCGTCGAGGACTTTCGGGGCGTACTGTGCGCCGACATATGGCTGGCGATGGAATCCCGGCTGAAACTCCACCGAAACATCCCGGTCGGCCTCCCGTTAGCCTCTTCCGCTGCCGGGGCATCCGCCGGTCTAGCCGGCACGATGGTTCCCAGTGTCACGCGCAGTGTCTTCTGCAGCGCTTTCACCGCAATATGTCCCCAACAGACGATCATGGTGATGCAGGGGAGGAAATAGGTCAGGGTGAACTCCACCGCCAGGTGGAGTGTATAGCCAGTCTGGCTGCGGGTGCAAAAGAATTTGTACGCCGGGTACTGGTCGCCGCGGAGGAACACATCGCCCATGAGGGCCACGACGAACACGCAGACGAGGGAGAGCATTATGAGGCTGCTGGCGCGGCTGCGGCGCATGTGTTTCCGGTTATCCATCGGGTGCCAGATGATGGCGATATAGCGCTCGACGGCGATCAGGGCGATTAAGATCCAGCTGAAGCGCATCGACACATCCAAGAAGAAATCGAAAGCTGTGCATTAATGCAAAAATTATTAATAACGTAGGTATGTACAGTGCGTATTACCGATTAAGTACATTGGTATTACCGATTATGTACCGATTATGTACAGTGGTATTACCGATTAAAACGACGCACAGTAATAATTAAATTAAAGGTTACATAAAGACAAGTATTAATTAAATATTAAAAACTTAAAATAATTACTGCTAACATGCAGATTTCATTAATTTTTAGAAAATCTCAGTTATACTTGAAGGGGTCATATAAGACCTCATATTTATTTATTATGCGAGGTACGCCGTACGGACTGTTCTCGTACTCGTACTGTTTATAAATTTTCCAAACTTGAAAAAAAACCTTTACATAAACCCGAGGGCGGTAGCTTTTAGGTCATACAACTGTGTGCGATAGCGATTAAAGCGAGCAAAATGTTAAAAGTGAAGGACACGGTAACTACATAATCAATGAAATCTAAACTAACTGTAACAATTAATCACTGAAACAATTATTCAGATTTCTGGTTTGTAAAGCAGAATTAGTTATTAAGACATTATTTAATTGACAGTTAAATTAATTATTGAAAGCCAAACTAAATCCTTGAAGCAATTATTTAAGTTTATTGTTTACAAAGCGGAATTAATTGCTGAAAAAGCGTTAATCAACGACAAACGTAGTTAACGAAAATTATACTAAATGCTTAAAATCAACATGCAAATTTATGGCTTTAAATTTGAAGTTTCGGAAATCATCCGCAAAGTACTGTAACAATTTCAGAAATAATATTAGTAATATTTGCTTCACTTGTATCAGTTGAATGCATAATCTCCCTGTTCAACAGGTGTTTAAAAATGCCATGAATTACCTGACTGCTACAAAAAGAATACATGCATGCATTTGTACGTTTTCCTGATTCACAATAACGACTGATATAATAAACTTTCACCTGAACATGGCCGAACCGGATGATTGGCAAACCACACACCCAAACTATGGTTCGCGATTTTATTCGCAATATGTAGTGGCTGGATGAACAGGGTTTGTAGCAGACTGGTAATCGACAGAAACAGCAGGAACTGCTCTCCGGGCTTCCCTCTGAAGCCGTGTTTTTTGATGATGGTGTAGGTCAGCACAAAGTTGCCCACCAGGGAAAACACGAAACTGATGCACAGAACGCACGTGACAACGATGTCCACTTCATCAAAGGGATCCAGCTCGAAATTGGAAGAAGGGGCCGAAGAGTTACTGGATCCATTACTAGAGTCCGTAGACCAGTTGGACTCCGGTGTTCGGTTGGACTTTAAGGCATTATGCAGGGCATTCAGGCGACGGGCCCTGTCAGAGCTGTTATATTTCGCCATTTTGAAGCTAGAATTTGTACACTACAAAAAAATGAAATTCCATTTGTTGGTAGGTTTCGCTCATCTAACTATCTTTCCCTGTTCCTTTCATCAACCACAATGATCCTCTTGCTGTTAGACAAGAAGGAATGTACAGTAGCGCCGCGAGCACGTGCAGGCATTTCTGCCTGCCCAGTGTCCAAACCTCCACGCATGACCCACTTGGCCATTTTGCTAACTTCGACGTTGGCTCCATCTGCGGGGCGTAAATATGTATAAAATTTAATGAGCCTGTGTACGTAGTTCCTGATTCGCGTCCAACTGCGCGCCTTACTTCTGATTGTGAGCAAAATGTCGACGAGCCTTTCGCATTGCTGATTACCACTGCACATATATTAATCATCGAACAAAGAGATATTTAATAAAGCATATGGAGGGAAGTTGGGAACCTATATTTTATGGAGGGAAGTTGGGAACCTATATTTTATGTATAATAAATCGCCCGAATTCGTACTGTGTTGTAGCAGTACCATAATATTTAATTCTGTATACTTCAAGTACTGTATTTCCAAAAGAATACAGTAGTTAGATGCGTTCATATAAGCACTATTTACGGGGCCATCAAATCAAATATGCATTAATTTTTAACTCGTATTATTTTACTAGTAGCGTGAAATTTACCGCATTCGCCAAAGTGGTCGAAAAAAAGGGAAGCCAGCAGCAGAGAAATGCCGATGCATTTGAAATCGGTCAGTGTACAGCGCTTTATGCATGCCGTTTTGTATAGGCAACCGGTTTAACAATTAAACGACAATACAATTTTCACAGGAGTTGCAATTTTAACATGCCGGCAACATAGCAATGAAGCAGCACATTTTATTACTGTATATAACGTATTAAAAAATTCAAACCTGTACAACACAATCCAAATCCAAAATAACATGATTATCATAATAACTACTATTAATTTCCAACATGTAGAATCGAGCAACTATTTCATAAAAACCCCGGCGGCGCCCACACACACTTCAAAGGCGGCCACGACGGTGAGGATGACGTTGGCGGCCAGGACGAACTGCGTGGAGATGTAGGTGGGCACCGGACTGAACCACACCGCACTGCTCTTGGCCAGGTAGGACCCGGCACCGAACAGGCACATGGAGGCCAGCGCCGTGGCCCCGTTGAGGACGTTGAAGAGCCACAGGCGCTCCTTGAGGACGTCAAAGGGCAGGGTGAAGATGTTCTGCGACATGTACAGGCCGTACAGGCCCAGGCAGATGTAGATGCAGCCGGCGATGATGCCGATGGAGGCTTTGGCCAGCGTCTGGGCTTGGGAGGAATTATCGTGGAATACTGGATGTTTGGGATGGTTGAGGTTTACTACAACGCCGGTCACTGCAAATACAGGGTAACACTTTAATAAAAAATTGAACTGAATAAGTCTGCACATTTAATTGCACACTTGCTGTCTATAGAATAAAAATAGCGTAGTACTGTATGTACTTGAAGCACGCATTTTGTCATCCGGTAGAGAAGTGATTCAATGCAAGATACAGTAATTTCACACTCGTATGAACACAAGTGCAGTAGGATTATATCGTAGCTGAATGGCTGCTATTTGGTTGCGAATGCACTTATGCACTGCAGCTGCAATAAATGATCCCTTTCATAATTTCATAACAAAGGTAAACTGCATATTTAGTTAATGTTGTCCATAAAATGACAAATTTTTTTCTGATTTTAAGACGGGCAAGCAAAACACTTTTATCGCTCCGCTTTGGTTGATTTCTGTTGGACTAAAGGTCATGCATTGGCGTAATGCACGTTTGATGCAAATCACATGAAGTAGAGCAAAATCTTAGGATTTAAAACTGAAGTGAAACGTGTCGATGAATTTTTCGTTTTGGCGGTTTGAATGGCGATAGTCGACTACATATACTAGTACTTCATCAGTCTTCATGCCATGGAACATCTAGCACGGCACCCGCCCGGTGTATCGGCAATCCACCCGCCCACGGCAGCGGTAGGCAGCAATAGCGATTGGCCAGAAAGTTTCATTCATGAATGAAAAGGATGGATTTCCCCTCCCTCTTCATTCACTGATTTTTTGGATGAATTCACGTGATCGTCATCCAGATTTTCGTTTCCTACATACTTTGAATTCATTCGATGCATGATGATTTCTACACATAGTTGCTGCTGAATGATAAATTTGAATGAAAAAACGTGCATTCATTCAATGCATGTGGACACCTTAAGGCAGCAGTCGCAATAGCTTGTCTGATTCTGTAGTGATGATGATCGTATTGACAATTTTTTAAACAACTGAATTATCTGAAAAACAACAGATGTGAAGAGAACACTTTTATACTTTGTATTATTTCTATAGAAGTTGCACCAGGAATAGAAGGAACTGAATGTCTGTAAAAGGGCATATAATTAGATCGGAATGCGGTGCTGACACAAAAAGAGACTGAAAATGCAACTAAATCACTGGTATTTTTGATATGTAATTGTAGAACGTCTACGGGTAATTTAGTGGGATAAAATTCTGTAATACCGTGTATGCATATACCGCTATAAATACATCTGCTAGCTAATAATGCTTTTGGACAGGTTCCAAAACCGATTTGCTAGTATGACACATGATGCTCTGTAATAAATTCTGCGTGAAAATGTTTCAAAAATATTGCACAATTTTCAAAAGATTTTTCCAATGGTTCATATCAGCACAACATGTGCAGTACTATAATAATTAGGCAATGTTGAATTAGGAAATTAATTTTTCTGATTGCTCAAATCTGCCTGTATACTCTGTGTTTGAAACAAATCCAAACACAATTTTACATATTTCTAAATACAAAAGCACCGGCGAGATCGATTCAGCTCACGAATTGCCAAGAAGAATAAAAAAAGAATAAAAAAATCAAAATAAATGCAAAAGGGTAAAATTCGAGAACAGCCTCGGTTAAACTTTTTCTAGCACAAACTGAAGCTCGGCCTGCTTTCTCGTTGTAAAATTAAGTAGGTACATTCTGCATATTATGCATGCATGCACTGCATTCATTTTGTCTTTGGTGAGGTGTTTTTTACTTGGAGATGTGTGTACACATGAACTAATTCCAAAAGTTAAGAAATTAACGAAAACGCTGTAATTACTTCCTTATCAGCTAAACAGCTGTAATTTTTTAACAGTGGTTTGATTTAATAATATGTCCTCCACGCAAAAGAATTAACCTAAAAGCAGCAACCGTGTACATACCAATAGCTTGGAAGACGATGGCCAGTATCCCCGAACAAATATGAAATACCGCCAACCGGCGGAAGGATTCGGGACTCCGGGAGATAACCGGCCGTCGGGGATGATAGCCGGCGAGCAACGAATGATCCGCTTGTGTGTCGGTAGTCCGTGTACTCCGTGTGCTTCCGGTGGATTTTGTCTTACTAACAGCGCCGCCGCCGGCATCCTGCTGTGGCCTGTTCATAATTATATTACATCAATAACAATATCATTAGCGTACGCTGCTCTGTATACAACTGCGGCACATGTGCGTTCGCCGACGGGTGATGGACGGGATTTGCTCAAGACTCCGACACATCAGTTGTGCAGAGCGTTGAAGAAATGTCTAATAAGTAGCCCTTGCGATCGTTCCGTTCCGTCAGCTCATATAAAAGTGATTATTTTTAGAATTATTTTAACCTTCGTGGCGGTGCGCTTTTTCGCACTCTCGTATCTGTTCATGTACAGTACAGATGCCGATTCACCGGACAGCGCAAGCCGTATGCCGAGAGCATTGTGTAAATAAAACACTATATAGCATTTTTTTATCGAAGGTCCATTACATTACTCATCGGAATGTATATTATTTCCCGCTAATTCACGGACACGATAGTTATTATAACGTTTCGCTGATGATGTGCAAAAGTATAACTTTTTTAAGAATAACTGTATGCGGCGCCCGGGAGGATGTTTATAAACATTGAATAACAGTCCAGCGCATCGGTGCTGCATATCGCCCCTATCGATGCTTGAGTCAACACGTTTGTTGAATTTCTCTTTTAACACATCCCCGCATCGCGAAAGATATCCGCGTCAGCCAATTTCCTCTGGTTTACTTTGATGTTTCCATAAACTGATCTTTCACCTGCTGCGATTTTAAACGGAGTCATCCACCGCTCTAAAGGATAAGAAAAACATTTCGTCGTACAGTGTCAGCGAAAATTAAAATTAGCCCGAAAAGTGCCTGTTTGATTTCCGATTGGCAGAGCGGAAAGAGATTTAATATGGGGGTGCGCTTAATGAATAATATCGCGCTTTTGGATGACACGGACAATTTAGCAAAGCGCAATCAGCGTCATAAGGGTGTATGCTGATTAATACTGCAATGATGCGTACAAGTATACGGTTTCGTGCGTAAAAGTATAATTTCGCAGCCGCAGGTACTGCAACAAACCGCTACGATCCAATCAGTGTTATATTTAAAAAGTAAACTTGGATGCGCTATACGTACGCCTTTAGGTAGAGTTCCGTAACCAAAAATATAACGAAGCCGGTTTGTCTATGCAACTGCTTATCAACAGTGAACATCGACATTGATAGCCTTCCATGCATTGCCCTTAAGTTGTAACCAAAAACTAGGACTTTTTTCATCTAAAAAGTATTATCACAGCTAAAGGAGTAAACCGATAAACCGAGCCAACGTAATCAAGGTGGTGCCTGGTATCTGTCGGGATCGTGCCGGTACATAAATGGCGGCCGGTGTGGTTCGTAATAAGCCGGATGACCCGGATGCTCCGGATGCTCCACCGGCAGAGGGGGAGGCATGTTGTACTGGTTGCTTTGATAGAATACATCCTCTTCATGATGGGGATGGTGATGCGCATGACGGTCACTCTGATCAACAAAATTATGTATGTATACTGGTTTCCACTGTAAATACTGCGACTGCACTGAAAACTGAGATACCTTTTCCACAGATTTGGCTTCTTTAAAAAATATCGCCAAATTCATCTCCGGCACTAATTTACAAGGCATCAGTGCATTCCTGTCAAAATACGTAATAAACCAATTACGTAAAAAAATCATGTATGTAAGTAATATCTGATTTCGTTACCGGTCCGATACGACAGCAAAGGCATTGGATGGGACATGTCTCAGAGCCGTTGTCTGGCAGATAATCTCCGCCATGGTAACTTGTCGTAATTGATCCAGCTGATCTACAGCCAAAACAGATCGTTGCAAGTACAATCTGCGTCCATTTAATTGCTGCGATTAGTTTCCCGTGCAACCGTGCACGGAAAAGATTCCGTGACCTTTCTTACCCGATGTAAACTGATCGGGATTTTCATGCCAGTACCGGTCACTGACCCGCCGATTGTGAAACTCCATCGTGATGATGCAGGCAAATGTCGGACCGACATCAGAATCCGGTGAGGTGGGTGTTTCCAGTACGCCACCTACCATGAGATCCTGAAACGCATATACGAGTATCTACAGCGTTGCTGGATTAGGTTAGCCGTGCCTGGATTTTGTCCTTACAATATCATCCACTGACCTAAAATCAAAAAGATGCATTGGTATAACAATTTGTTTCAAGTTTATTCTGAGCTTTGTGCGTAAGTGCGCATTAAATATAATATACTAATATTTTATCGACGTGTACTTACATGTACAGTTTATGGAGCAGAGCCACACTGGGCTCCGGTATCATATCCTCCAACTCGGCAAACTCACTGGCGCGGCCGAATCCACAGGCTTCTCGCAGATCGTTGTAGGTACCGATTCCTTGCAAATTACGAACTCGTTATTTAGTTGAAATATTTTTTGTAAGAGCATAGTCAAACAGGTACCGTGGTCGCGTCCACGTTGAATGTCAATGGCAAACAGATCCAAGCCGAACGGTAAATCGCCTCGAAATAACCGTCCGCGAATTTCCTCACTATGATGTCCGTCAAATACCATGGAACTTTCTTCCAACATGCCGCTCAAAATACTATCCGCACTGCCATCTGCAAAATCAGCATTTGTGCTACTGATTATTTTGGTTACGAAAATGTGGGCGACCTTCATAAAGCAATGTCTGATTGTTAAACTGTGAGGATAATGTCGTGGATGTTTCTTCTGGGTCGCCGGTAACGAACAGCAAACGAGGCACATTTGGTCCCAAAAGCGTGTGCAGTCTGGAAAAGACTAACGTATTAGAAATAAGGAGCGCTATGCATCAAACTGGTTTGCTACAGCCGTTTTTACAGACAGGATAGAGGCCCATAATTTAAATTTATTGCAACTACAAAATCACCTGCTAAAAATTATCTAACGAGTTAAAAAATGTAATGGTAGTGAATACCGAAAGGCTGCTGTAGTAAATTCGTTTAACACGTGCGGATCGGAAGTTTCATCGTATCCACTAAAGAATCCATCCTGAAGTAACTGCAGCGGATGCTCGCGTCCTTCGCTACTGCGTAGCTCCCCCAATATTGCCGGCAGGAACTCCTTATAAATCACCACCTGATACACCGCTACGACAAACTTCCTCGCTTCTTGATAAATCAGTTCATCCGACCACGACGGTAAATAATTCGCCAAAAAGGAGGCAATGGCATTGTGGTAACGGACAAGGATAGTGTGAATGGTCAGCAGGGGCGGCTGCTGGTTGACCCGATCGTCACCGGCAAAGAAACACGTCCGGTGTAGATCGAGCGGCCGACAGGACGAAGGCATCCCATCCGGAAGCGACGGGAGAATCTGTTTGTGAATGGCGGTGGACGGGTCATTCTCGATGCCGGTCTCCACATCGCGGAAACGAAGGAGGCCGCTTTCAAAGACACGCAGCTGGTCGCTGCGCTCTTCGTGCAGTCCGTATAAGGGAGAAAGGTCCAGCCAGTGTGACACCATGGAGAATTGTTCTCGTATGCCTAAAGATGCAGCGTATGTGGCAATCAGCAAGCAGTTAACATATAACAAAACTTTACCGGTTTTGCACCGCTTAAATTTGGATGCCAATGTCCGGGCAAACTGGTGGCATGTGATGTTAAAGCGCGAGTAAAAGGGATCGAAGTGCGGAACGGAAAATTGTAGACATTCCGGAACAGCGCATTCCGCGTTCAAAATGCAGCAGTCTGGTTGCTTGTTGTTGATTTGAAAGGTTGGGGCTGTAACAACAGACAACAGTATTGCATAATCTTTTTTCTGGGTATCACGCATCAGCATACAGAAAGGCCATGCGCCTTACTTAACGCCAGATCGTGTGCTACAAACTGTCCAAAGAACGATAAGACAGCATTGGCCGTCGGATGTTCAACCGGCGGTGTTTGGCTTAAAGCCACACTGAGCGCGCGCGGATTGGGCAGAGCAATGGGGCGACCGCCTTTTTCGTCGTGCACCAATGAGAACATTCGTGGATCGTCCGCCCCTGTTGTAAATATACGATTTTCACAAAATGTGTACAACTACCACGAAAGCTTTTAACGTTAACTGACCATCCATGTATGTTCGCGGCGACATTCTAATGTACGCCTGCGTAGCGTTTCCCCAGTGCGGTTGAGCCAGATTATTGCACAGACCGGAATGTGAACGATATGTTAGGAATGGCCGGCAATCCGGTTCCCTGTGGGCCATTCGTTCCTCCATTTCGCAATCATCCCTATAGGTAGACAGAGAACTTCTTAATAAACGATTAGTCTTGGCTAGAATTGTCGAATTTACATCTCATGTTGGTGTGGATGGTAACTCCTCGTTCGGACACTGCGCGGGTAACCGCTTCTAAGAAGAATATCAGCGGAAGGCCGGCTGTAATCCGAATACGCTGGGATAGCTGCCGAAATGCTGTAAGATTTTTATTAATCAGGTTTTAATAGAATCATTTTAAGTTTTTGTAAATTACGATTCAGAACGACATACCACACAATTCCACGGCCTGTCGGAGATGTACGTGTTTCGCGATACGACTGTCGATCCGATGGAGATGCAAAGCCCGCGCGATTCTCGTGGCCGTGCGGGAGAGTCGCTAATAAATCTGGAATTACTGCAAGAAAAATCGCACATGTTACTACTATGTATTGTACTCTGCACAGCCACATACCTAGGTAACATTTTGTATACTACTTGCATTATAATTGTTTTACGTTAATCCTTCCTACATCGATATGTATAATCACTGTAATGCTTCATCATTTTATAATATGAGGGTAGGCATAAAGAAATGTGGGTGAATGGGACTACGGTTAAGTGCTTACTGCAGTGTCGCGACGGATGTGGATGTACATCCGTGTATTCCGGTCTCCAGCTGTTGTCCATTTGACGAGGGAAGAACTGGTGTCGGACATCTTTTTCATGGGGAGCAGGCCGCCGGCTACTGTAATCCGCTCGCCGGTTTAGCTCCCCAAACTGTAGCCGGACCCGGCTGGTGAGGTTAACATGGCGGATAGGCGGCACCCAGCCCATATGCCCGGCAATTTTCACTGTACGCCGCGGACGGGAAACGACGGTAATGTTGCGGGTGGTCCCATCCAAAAACCCGTTTTTGGTAAGTTTGTCTAAGTGAACTACCGATCGGCGAACAATTTTAGCACTTCCAGGGAGAATGATGGAAAAAAATAAAGGTAAAATGACAATATTTAGTGGCTGCGGATAGGGTAACATTTTTGATTATCCTGATCGAATGTTACGAAATTGCCAAACGGACTGTTTGTGCATGATGTCACATTTATTTGCGAATTCAAAGCTACTGCTGCGCACTTTGGTTTAATTACTGGCACAGCGGATGCTAAAGAGTATATGCGCGCGTGTGTTTGATATGTGGTGGCGACCTTGTGATCGGTGTAGTGTAAGCCGGTGATATAATCCCGCTGACAATGGGCTAAGACGATTTAGGCGCTTTGATTGTCACTCATACGCGACGGGTTTGTGAGCGTCTATGTCCGGATTCCACCGGGTGATACAGTTACAAACAGGTTCACGGTGGTAGGCAACCAACCTGACGACCTGTTACAGAAACTACAGAAACTTTCTCGGAGGAAAAACGAGAGCAACAATACGTCATGTAATTTTGCGTTTTAATCAATCGTATAAACATAATAATGTAAGTATACGAGTACAGAGTTTCATAACATGCTCACTGTGAACAACATAAATCGGTAAGCTACTATAACAAAATGAAACAAACAAAATAAATTAAATTCAGCGCACTAATGCAATGCGCACTACAAGCTGCTGTGTATCTGAATACAGTGATTTAATTAATGGAGATTCTTCAAAGAACTGTTGTCCGTCAAATAGTGTCGTTTTTTCCACGGGCAGTACCTCTTCGAAGCAGGCCCACCTCTCCTGTGACGATAGATGTAATGGTATTTTTAAATATTTAAATAATTGAAAACGGATACGGCCACGAGGTAGTGCGATTGCCCCTTATGTAATTGAAAGCGGAAAAAAAATGCATCCAACAACAGCATCGAAAAGTCACTGTAATAAGACAGACTTACGAATTGCAGTAATTGCATACGCAGATCGTCCATTTTCCGCAGTTTTTAGCAGCGCATCCTATGACCGATGTATCCGCCCACATCATCTGTTACAAATGCCATTCGACATTTTAAGTGTATTTTAAAGTGCGTTTTAGCAAGGAAAAAGGCAGAGTTTGAACGTTAAAACGTACATTCATGAAGTGGCCCACTTCTTTGCCGGCCTTTGGCGGTGCACAATAGTTGAAATTTTCCACCTCGTTATACCACATCCCTATAGCTTTCGCCCAGTCCACCGATGATCCCGATGTCCAAGCCATATTTTGGCTGCATGTCGCAACTCCTGAAGATGTATGGATTGCACGATAATCCATAGTTTTCATAATTGGTAAAGGTACCGGGGATTTTTTTCGTGTTGCCGTGCCCCGACGGACATGCATCCACCCACCTCTGCGCATTTCTGGCGGCATCCGCATTCCACTGCAGAGTTTTCATATTACTAGCTTTTACAGTACCGCGCAGGCTGTTGTGCAGATTTACTATTTCACTAGAAGAAGCGTGTACATAATGACCACTGCCGACAAAAACTGCAAATAGAGCAATCAGGATTACGCAGCCTACTCGCGCCATTTTGCCCACAGTTAAAAGGTCAGTTTAAATTATCGCACAATGAAAGAGGAGCGATTACAAATTATGAAATTTTTTATTTGACTTCCTTATATACTAAAATAAACAGAATGATTACGATGGATCACCTAAGCAAGTCCGTTTATAGGTAATGAGCAATATCCTTTGTCCGGTTCTCTACGGAACTCTTCGTTATAATGGTCAGCAATACCAGTCCTGTCGATGCCGTTCCCATGGGTTGCTTTCCTTGTTCCATTTTTGTCTCGTGACCATTCTTCGTAATTGTGGAGGATTTCTAACCATATCAGTATAGAAGATCCAATCATGTTTCCGTCTGTGCTTATCGCCATCCGCCAACTCATCGAACACAAAGCACACAATGCACACGCCAAAGAAAAAGATAAGAGTATGCATAAACTAGATGGCAAATGTTGCTGTCGAGTTTATAATCATAATAATATGTATCTGCTGTGACGGTAATAGGTTATACTGTGTTGTGTAGGCGTATCTATCTGTAGGTCGATTATCCGTGCATCTCACCAGTTTTCTATTCCTGGACCTTTATGATTTATTAGCCTTTTAAGAAATAATACATCCGAAATTCTGAAAGGAACACAGTTGTTCAAACAATTTATCGAGTGGAAGGACGAGTGGTCACAGTGCAACCCGCGACAACATGCAAGGATTACAAGAGGATTACAATGCAATTCGAAATTTTGCTGTTAACAAAACAACAAAAAGCAGGACGAACATTAAAAACAAATGTGTTGCGTTTGTTCTATTTTCCTGCAAAAATAATTACGCTTTCAGACACAATGGCAAGCAGTTTTTGCACTAAAAGTGATTTAAAACTTTTTACACTAAAAGCGATTTAAAATTGAATGCCGGCACTAGCCATCAGTGCTCTCATTTCGTCAGTCGTCGTTAGCGACAACATGTTCCATTGCACATCGCGGGCATCAGGAAGCCCCGGCGACCAAGCTGGACAGTTCGCACCGCGGGGACCGTTGCACTGAAACGTCTCAAATAGTGTATCTCGGATCTTGCTGAGCTTTTGCTGGGCTTCCTGGTCGCAGTTATCCGCCACTTCATTTCCGCTGCATTCCAAGAAAGCTTTAGCATTGCTAGAATAAAAATAAGCCCGTCTGGTAGTACAGTATATCCGCGTGCAAAGAATCACCGTAACTGTAATTCGTTTACCAGCAGAAAGTTTTGATAATATCAGTATCCCCGTCGTCCCCTTTCGTCGAATTTGTCAGGAACTGATTAGTTGCTTTATGGGCACATGCTAGTGTCTTGATTCCTTCAGTCTGATTGAGTTTACTGACACAACGAAGCAGAGTGCGTAGGTTATTGCCAAAATCAGGCCTTTTGCACGTATCTTCTAACAGCGGTTGCCCTTTGACCATGGCTTCCTGAAGATCTGCCATCGATCCTTTCGTGCAGGGTCCTGATACCTCCTTGATACAGGCAACAATCTCTCGTGAAACTCTGCAAAATTGTTTATGTATTGATTCAGTTTGTACGTACACGCCGTTTACTCATTAGTCTCAAAGGAAGTTTACTGGCATAAGGAAGCGAGTGTGGCGTCCGTAACTTGGGAAATATCTGGGATGTTTGCCTGGGCCTCTGGAGAAAAGGACCAATGATTTAAAGCGATGGTGCACGATGCAACACCGTATACATTGGCAAGAGTGCAATTTTCCGCCGCCGGGACCGCATTAATACCCGTCAACAGCAGAACCGCAGCATAATTTACTAGTAAATGCATTCCTCAACGCAACAAACAATTAAAAATTATACAAAACGACTGTAAAGGGCCAAAAGGACCTAAGGTTTCGAAAATGATTGCAGCTACTACTGTTGTTCGGTTATATATCAAAAGAAGCTAAATTTTATTTCTGGACCGTAGGGATTTTCCGTTTCAAGTAGGGTGATCTGTTCTCGGAATCAAGTGTCCCGACGGTAGTTCAAGCTCAACGATTGTGAGATAACTGTTCCATTTTGTTCTACTTCATTTTTACTAGCGTTTAGTACTAGTACCAGATCATAGATACGGTACTGCTGCCGACATCAAGTTATATTCGGGACAGACTTTCCCATTACTTACTGCACGTTATGTACATGCCCACGTTTAGGAAATAAACTAAGCTAAGAAAGTAATTGTATAGGGCGTGTTAAAATGGTAATATAAAATTTATTGTGGCATTTTGTTTTTCTCTCTTCGAAAACAGGTGCTAAAAAGCTAAATCTAATGACAGGAGTTGCTGCTGTATCAAATTAACAGCATGAAGCCGGCACACCCCGTCATTGAGCTTGTAATTTTCGTCATCAATAAAGACAAATCCCGTTCCAGATTTCGGGCTGTCAGAAGCCTCGGCGGTCAAGCTGGACAATTGGATGTGGACCGTTGGATTAAAACGTCACGAAAAGCGTGTCTCGGAAGCGGTCGAACGTTTGCTCTGCTTCCAGATCGCAGTTAGCTGCCACTTTGTTTCCGCTGCGTTCCACGTACGCTTTTGCGTTACTACCTACAAGAAAAACAAAATTTTCTTTTACGTCCGTTCCGTGCGAAAACGATCGTCTTAAACTATGAGCAGCTGGCAGCTGCCTTACCAACCGAAACTTTGATCTCGTTGTTCTAATTTAAGGGAGAGTTTGTATTTTATTAGCCTTTAGTAGAACGTGATATACATTAATAATAAAGAACAACACGATTTTTGCCCGTACAGATGGATTTACTGCTGGTGTCGAGCTTCAGCTGCCTGCTAGGAGAAGTCAGCACGATCGCCAGATAAAGCATAATCTTTAATTCGATTATTAAAGGAAATTTACCAACGAAAAAGTCTAATCAAATTAACTGAAATGAGACATTCCGTAGTCAGATTGGGATTGGCCTAATCAGCTCCCGATAAATATACTCAGTCTCAAATACACTCAATTTTAATCATTATTACACTTATGCGCCGCAGACTCGCAATTGCAGCAAAATACAGAATACTACATATCTGTACTCACTGAGTACATTTTTGGTCGCCTACCGAAAGAGAGAAATCTGTACTATAGTTTATAAGGATACAGTATCTGTACGCGTAGAAAACCATACAACGCACCTTTTTACACAGATTTGGTGACAGGTAAGCTGCTAGTCAACAACCAGCCTATCCATCCTGCGGCTTCGTGCCACCAGTGAAACATGACCTCTCGCCTCTACCCGATAAATGCTTTTCTGTACACTCAAATTGTTACCGCCTAATTTAAACATTTACATCTTGTGTAGTAATCTGCGTATTGAATAGCAATCTTCTTACTGTCAAGTAGCGATTGGCGTGGAAAACCGTGCAAACGTGATGGTTAAATTGGTGAAACGCTGATCTAATAATCGAAGCCTGTAGGCATAGTGGCCAGAATGCATAAAAGGGCTTCGCTAGTCTTCAATTCGTGTTTTGTACAACGTGAAAGTTAAAGTGACCCGGTTAAGCATAATTATCTCTCCAGCACACCATCGAGCCAGGCGCTACTCAACTTTGTTTGTGATTTGTTAGCAAAAAAACCCTCACTGAGTACAAAAAAGGGGCCACGGGCAGACTGTATGTAAGCAATAAAATTGTCTGATGTTCGGACGATAGTGATTTGACGTAAACCATCTTATCGATGGAACATTCAACTCTTACACTAGAATATCCAAGGTTAACTGTATTAGCCTGGCAAGAGAGGCTTCTGCTAGTTTCTGTTGTATGGCTCGGGGTTCAGATAACAGATAAGACTGCTATCTGCATGGAATTTCGGAAAATTTTGTCACGTAAGAATAACTGCCCGAAGGATTACACTAAACCGGGAAGTGCATCCGGAAGTTGTTGTTTTCTTCTAGTACGACTGGGAAAATGATTATCGTGTTTACCAGTGCGGCCAGCAAAAATATTGCATATATAATATAAGCAAGGAATGCCGTCAAGCTTAGGCATACGACCATTCTTAACAATTTTTGCACTGCGCTCTTTATCTAGCTTCAACTTACTACAGTACACTGAGCACAGATTATTTTCTTTTCATTGTGCACACCGAATACTGTTAGCGGTATGTAAAATATGTACATTTCATTGAACTGTACCCACAACTTGTATGACCTTCGCTTTATTGTACAGAAAATATGGAGTTGTTACGCAAGGCCGTCGGAGACAAATGGCAGGTGGATAGCACGGCATCCATGAAGAACATGACCCGGCAAGTGGATACTGAAGAATGGAACAAGTTCGACGAAGACTTCTGTAACAAGATGGACGGCTTCGTTCTGGTGGAGACTCCACAGGAGACCTGGACAAAATTGAGCAGTTGCTGGGTGCCAAAGGCGTCTTCAAATCGCCGCCGGTGATTAAGACATCGCAACAACACTGCGAAAAATGCGGGCGAGAGAACAACTTTCTGGATGTCGTTGCCACCGGACTGAAAGTGCACACGGCGCAGTTTTTTGTGGATGTGTTCACCGGTAAGTATGGACACATTCTAAACACGCAGCAGAGCCAGCGTTGTTTGTGCTACAACTGCGGTCATCTGCTGCCCAAGACGGCAGCCAAGTACTCCAAACCGAAGACAGACGACGGCCACTTCTACAAATGGAGCTGGCCTTTTTAATTACTGCGTACTCAGCTGACTTCTATCCGGTTAACTTGGCGATATTATATTAGAGACCTGCGATATTACCACATCGGAGATTTAATGTCATGCAGTACGGATACAACTGACCCGATCAAGATATTAATTTGTCGTATAAGTGCGTTTCAGTGATTTAAAAAATTGTGCTTTTGCCGTGGAAATTGTCGTTGTGCCGATTTTTGCAGTGTTGTTTAAGTGGCCATGCAATTTCATTCCTTCATGAACATCTTCATTGTTACTGCTTTTCGCTTTCGATGAAATGAACAAGACACTGGTATTCCGTAATTGTGTACTGTAATCCCATCTGACCTTTTATAGCAGTTTTGGTGTCCGCTAGCTTTAATTTGCAAATTCCGTATAATCCATGCTTAGTTACGAGATCCGGTCAGTTGTACTGATTCATATCTTGCATATCTGGGATCTGGTTGTAGAAACAGCGCTATATCAGAAACTGTCCTTAACTTTCTCACCTCGTACTTCAACTATAATAACGGATTTTAATACCTTTTAGAATTTTTTTTAACCGTTTTCCTGAACATTACGGTAAAATAGAAATAGCACTACCTAAGTAGAGGATGACCGAAAGGCCACGTTTTCCTGCACAAGGCATGTACATCATTTAAACGGCGCCCCCTGCCAGTATCATGTGGACAGATACATGTAGAGTACTCGTACTGAACTTTTAAGTGGCACTACCTTGTGTGTGTCACTAGCTTGATCTTCGAGATCTTTTTACCAGGGTAATCGTTAATTTGTGCTGTGTATTTGTCGAAATGTCTGCGCGCGAAGTACCGCGCATCTAATAGCTGATACCCACAATTTTTCAGCTGAGAAATTTATGAAAGGCTTGTTAAAATTCTTACACAAAAATATAATGGGTGCAGGTTGTTTGTTTCTCTTTCCTTGGGAACAGATACGTTTACAAGTGATGACAAGAGTTTCTGCCATATACAGGTATTAATCGGAAGTCGACTGAAGCCATCATTTATCTCATCAGTTTTTGTCCTCCGTCATCAACGATGACAAATCCCACTTCAGATCCCGGGCCCTGGGAAGGCCCGGTGGCCAAGCTGGACAATTTGCACCGCGTACACCATTGCACTGAAACGTCGCAAAGAGTGTATCGCGGATGCTGATGAGCTTTTGCTGTGGTGTTTGATCACAGTATAACCCAATTTCATTTCCGCTGCATTCCATGAACGCTTTGGCGTTGCTATAATAAAAACAAATAGAACAGTAGAAGTACTAGTATAGCACATCCGTATAAAAACGATCACTGTACCCAAATGTTCCTTACCAGCAGAAACTCTTGATGATGTCATTATCGCCGTCTTCTCCCTTGGCTGGGTTCGTGAACGCTAGGTTAGTCGCTTTATAAGCACATGCCAGCGATTTCGTTCCTTCGGTTTGATTGAGTGTTTTGACACAGCCAAGCAGAGTGCGTACAGTGTTGCCAAAAGTAGACCTATTGCACGCCCTGTCCAGCAGCGGTAGGCCTTTGACCATGGCTTCGTGCAGTACCGCCATTGCTCCTTCCTTGCAGGGTCGTGATACTTCTTTAACACAAGTAACAACCTCCCGTGCGATTCTAAAATTGGACTCATTATGCACACGAGTACATATAAATTTCATTTTATGCGAGGCATCTTTACTCAGATTGCAAAGGAAACTTACTGGCATAGGCTGCTGAGTGCGGTGTCCGTAACTAGGGAAACATCTGTCAGCTCCTGGCCGTCCGACGTGAATGACCGTAGTGCCAAAGGAAAAGAGCACGCTGCGACTCCGCGTACATTGGCAAGAGTGCACTTTTCCGTCGCTCTGGCCGCACAAATGCCCGTCATCAGCAGGACAGCAGCACACTTTGCCAGTAGATACATTTTTCGGTTTAACTAACAAGTGACAAATTAAACAGACATGAACTTGGATGACGAGTGTATCCTGCAATACTATTCTTAGATATTGTAGATATATGCGAAGCCGTTGAATTTTTTTATTCACTTGTCAGGACTGTAGCGTAAAAAAATAGCAGAAAAAATTATCCTTTTCCAGGTAGCGATAATCTTATTCTTGGCATCAAAAGTGCTACGATAGCCGATCAGGTTGAACGATTGTTTTGTAAGATAATGTTTTCTCTTATACCTTCAAGCTGTTTCTAGCAACTCGTACCGTTTGTTAACACCGGATCGTAAATGCACAGTCGGTATTTGCTGCCGACAACAGGTTTTATTTCGGACATACAAGACTCATCCTAGTTCGAGAAATTCTTATGCAGTGCTAAGCAGAAAATCTAAGACACACGTATTTACTGCATATTCCGAGTGCCAAAGTTTAAGCTTTAGGAGAAAATGCGTCCACCTTTTTTGCAAATAAACCAGTGAGTCAATGACAGTTCAAGCTGCATTTGATTCAACAATCAAGTCAATCCCGAGCTAACAATAAGGCACTGCCTAAAATGGCTATACATGTACATACATTGATAACCGATGTACAGATTTACGAGACTCCTCGTATTCAGAGTGATATATAGCAATAAAATTGAACAGCGATACGAGTTGAAAAAAAAGTACAGAAATACAGTGATAGAAAACCGTACAGCAGAGCAACAACATTTGAATTATGCTTTTTTTCACAGTGATGGGCGACCGGACAGTTAGTCTATCCATCATGCGGCTTCGAGTAGCAGCTAGGGCTCAGATGCGGTTTGGCTTTGATGGTAAAATTGCTGTTCTATGCAATCAAAGGTTGGCACCAAATTTATTAACATTTGTACTTAAGTTTTTAGCATAATAATCTTTGTACTTGGGTAATAATTTTCCTTCTGTCGTGAAAATCACTCACGTCGAGCCAACTTGAAGAATATATTAATTGGCAAAGCGAAACCCCCTAATCAAAACTTGTTGACTGTAAGTAATAAATTAATTCTCCGATATTCGTATTGGCTTATGTGTGATTTGACGTAAAACCTCTTATCGATGAAACATTCAGCACAATGAAACCGGCTTACTGTGAACAACATATTGCCGGATCGTCAAATACTCGTACGTCATTCATTCCTTAAACCTCCAAACTTTACTGTATGGCAGGAGCGTTTTCTGCTGATTTCCATATAATTATAACGTATTCGAAATGCCTACATATACAAGCATCCGGGTAAATTTCTGGATCCTTTGTAATGATAATATCGTTGTATACAAGCAATAAAGAGCTACCCGAGCAATTACCGGCAAACTTATGGCTCGAAGTTCAGATAACAGATAGCTACGCGGCTATTTGAATAAAAGTTTCGGAAAATTTTGTTGCTACACAGAATAACTGTTAGATTGATTATACTAAACCGGGAACTGTATCCGGAAGTGATTATTTACATCTCGTACGGTGATAAACTTAATTACTGTGTATATCAGTGCGGCCCGCAAAAACATTGTATATAAACATCAAATGCTGACAAGCTTCGATATAGAAACTTTTCTAATACTCTCTGTACCTAACCAAAATACAGTCAATCGTAGATACTTTCTTTCCTTTTGTACGCCCACAACCATTAGAAGGTATGTAGAAATAGTTATACAAGACTAGAATATATCCCACAACTTTCATAACCTTCCTTTTTCTGTTTTCGCACAGAAAATATGGAACTGTTACGCAAGGCCGTTGGAGACAAATGGCAGATGGATAGCACGGCATCCATGAAGAACATGACCCGGCAAGTGGACACTGCAGAATGGAACAAGTTTGACGAAGACTTCTGCAACAACATGGACGGCTTCGTTCTGGTGGAGACTCCACAGGAAGACCTGGATAAAATTGAGCAGTTGCTGGGTGCCAAAGGCGTCTTCAAATCGCCGCCGATGATTAAGACATCGCAACAACACTGCGAAAAATGCGGGCGAGAGAACAACTTTCTGGATGTCGTTGCCACCGGACTGAAAGTGCACACGGCGCAGTTTTTGGTGGATGTGTTCACCGGTAAGTATGGACACATTCTAAACACGCAGCAGAGCCAGCGTTGTTTGTGCTACAACTGCGGTCATCTGCTGCCCAAGACGGCAGCCAAGTACTCCAAACCGAAGACAGACGACGGCCACTTCTACAAATGGAGCTGGCCTTTTTAATTAACTCTGCTGACCTATACTCGCTAACATTGCTTCCGTCCGCGATATTTTTCTATGATAAATTTAATGCCATGCATTACAATTCGCCCAACCAAGATATTACTTTATACAAAGTACATATAAATGCTTTTTTAGTGATTTAAATGATAATGCTTTTGCCATGTTAAACTGTCGTTGTTCAAATATGGCCGTTAATGTGATTCCAACTCGTACACTTTCATTATCGCTACTTTTCGCTGTACTTGAATAGACTGAATAAAACATCGGTAATCCATAATTCTGGGACTAAGTTCCCATTGTCTCTTTGACAGTTACACTGTTACTGTGCAAACATGGTTTTGCATTACCGAATAGAACCAGCACTACTTAAAAAATTGTCTAAACTGCGCAAGTCTCGTACTATACTTCCACAAGAGTAAAGTTGTGCCAGGTACTATTAATCATCATAATATTATACTTTGACTTTCTGACGGTGAGTTCTTTTGACCAAGATGTGAGCAGCAGCAAGTATTGTGATGGCTTGGTTAAGCTAGATTACAAAGACAAAGGCTGAAAGAAAACATCGTTATTGCCACAAAACTGATACCACTATCTCCAGTTCAGCTACCAGGAGAAAGAATAAACAATATTTTTATCAATGCAAATGTACCCGGAACGGCTGAAATTCGATAAACATTCGGTATACTCCTACATGCATCATGCATGTAGAGTCTATGTAATACTGTGTATCAATTTATGTACAACGCTCGTCGTAAGGTTGTGTTTTATTATCTCTTTATTCGGGCAATAGCCTATTAACAGAACAGCAAGCCTGCGCTGGTAGATACTAATTAAAGATTCCGAATTTACACATTGAAGAAACAACCAAAATCATTACTGTCATTGTGTTTTTTTTTGGGTTGTGTTTTTCATTAGTAGTTTTATGGCCATCTGTTTGACTGGTTACTAGTTCCTGTGGCCATACAATCGAATCAGCATGGATGAAGATACAGACCAAACCGTCCCACCGCCATATCCTGGTGGTAGTACTAGTATCCCGTTGCCATCGCTGCCGGGGATGGGTGGGCTGGTGTCGGTGGATTTCATTCCGGGCTGCATAAAAGAGGGTGGAATGTTTTCGCTGGCGGAATACGAGCCCTTTTCGGCAGTTTTACGAAGGGCCAATGAGTGGTTGGGCAGCTGCCCTACATTACAGTTGAAAAGCTGTGAAACCGTGGAGTTCTTAGCAGCCCACAGCGGAGCACTGTTCAACTATGTGGAATCCGATTATCTGACCGGATCCCACAGCCACAGTGTCCGAGCGCTGCGTTTATGGTTGCAGCCAAGTAAGTCATAATATTTTAGCGTAGTTTATTTATTGAGTTTGTGAGACAACAACCAGTCAATAAGAAAATGCATCCGTCAATATCTGTACCAAATAACCAAATAAGAAAATCAACCATCGAAAACACCCACAACCACTGTCTCTCCGCGGATTAAAAGACCAATTTCGTTTTACTCGTTATCCATCTGTAGCAGCCAAACTCATTCAGATACTACGATGGTGCAGTTTTTCTCTTAAAAATACGTGATTTATGCGAGAATGACGACCGTGATTGCTGTAATTTAGGAACAGATGGCTCTTCCGTTACCCAACAAATTGGTTACTTTAACATCATTCCCGCCGCCAACCTTTTCAACATCAACACCGGCCTCCTCGCCACCGTACGCCAAGTCACCGCCGAACGCTTAGACACCCTGATCGAGCAGACCAACACCATGCTGGTCCGGGAACCCGTCCCCGGCCGCATCGTGACCATTGAAACCGTAGTCCTCCAAGTCAAACCCGACGGGGGAATCGATTCGGATAGCACATCCTGGTTCGGAGTGGGTAACGCTCGTGACACTTTCGTCTGCATGCTGCGCGTGTACTACGAAGCCGGACCACCGCAGTACGAAACCATCGGTGTGGCGGATTTTGTACCGGCTGTCTTGATGGAAGGTGTAGGACTTCTGGGACCGCCTCTACTGGAACCGTATCCACAGGTACTGGCGAAAACCCACCATTGGCTGATGAATCAATCGGATATCCGGGTGACCAACATCCAGACCATGCTGCACAAACAGAAACTGACGGCGCATCTGGATACACTGCGCATGGCCTACACCGAAGATATGCTATCATATTACGTTCGGTATTTACGCGTGGCATTTGTCAAAGTTAATCCACATGCCGTGCCGGGAAGCGGTATTCTGCGACCGGTCAACTTGAATTCGAAATTATTCGCCCCGGCACTGCTGCAGCCACCAAAGTGCTGCGTCAATATGGTTGGAGTTTTTGAAAGCCAGCTGCAGGTTTGTTAGCCTACGTCTTTTTGTGCTAAGCAATGAAGGCTTTATAATTTCCCTTGCAGGTTCGCGAACGAATGGCATACTGGGTGCGAGCGACTGGCGCCAGGGTCATCTCGGTAGAAACCTTTCCCATGCGATTCGTCACGGGCCAGGAAAGTAGGGAAGGTTTCGACACCATGCATACTTCAAACTTGGTCATCATTCGCAATGGGATCGCCTCAAAAGCTATCGAAAGATATTTGATTCTGTACCGGGTGTATCTGGATGGAGTGTATCCTGACCCGCCCGGATACACCGAAACTGGCATCGATGTGGCTACGTACAGACAGTATCAAGCAGATGCCTGCACGATCTTGTAAACTGAGAATATTTAATTTTTTGGCTAACTGGACTGTGCCCTTAACAGATATTCGATTTTTGGGCATTATATAACACAGCATAAGCGCCTGTTGCGTTGCAGTGTTGTATTACGGCAGTCAATAATCTGCGGTCTAATGAAATATTATTCTTTAAAAAAGAGGCAAAAGACAATATTTTCTACGAGAAACATGAAGACATATTAAACTGTTTTTAAACCATGACCGCTCGCAGTTCAGTTCATATACTTTTAATAGGCTGTAATTGACTTTTGATTGGAGGATATGCGCCTGCTCTTTGGGAGCATGCATGCACGGATGCACCCGAAAAATTTTCGGATAACAGTAACAGTGACGATTATCGTTATTTTTATCTTTTAAATTTTATACTTTTAGTTAGCAGACTTTTAAGAATGGGAACTGGTTACTGTTCATCAGTAAGCACGATATTGGCAGAAACCGATTTCGTCTCCTCCCGATGCATCAGCGACATTAAATCCCACTTCAGGCCTCCGCTAGGCAGTCCCGGTGGCCAGGCCGGGCAGTCTGCACCGCGTGGGCCGTTGCATTTATAAACGTCGAAGAGCGCATCTCTGACCATACCGAACACCTGCTGTGCTTCTTGATCGCAGTGATCAGCCATCTCGCTCCCGCTGCACGCAATGTACGCTTTTGCATTACTGGAAAAATATAAAGAGCATGCAGAAATAAGTGAAATTTGTTACGGACAAAGTTCAGTAAAAATAGCAACTTCGTGAAATACAAATTTATACTACTACAGTGCAAGATCTGTAACTCCAACAAGTTTATAGCTAGTTCGCTTACCAGCAGAAACTTTTGATAATGTCATTGTCACCGTTGCTCCCTTTCGGCATGTTTGTCAAGGCCTGATTGGCAGCTTTATGAGCACATGCCAGTGCTTTGGTTTCTTCCGTCTGATTGAGCTTTCTGACACAGCGGAGCAGAGTGCGTACATTTTTCCCGAAATCAGAGGAATCGCACGCCCCCAACAACGCTTCAGCAGGGGTCATGGCTTCATGCAAAACCGCCATGGCACCTTCGGTACAGGGTCGGGACACTTCCTTCTGACACGTTACAACGTCGCGTACAACTCTGCAATAAAACCAAACTGAACATCAAATAGATTTAACTTATTGGAAACTGCAATACACGAAAATTAGATGAGTTTACTGGCAGAATGCGGTAAGCTGAGCGTCTGTGACGTCTTCGTAGTTTGCCGATGGAACGGACCACTGCAGCAAGGGAAACGCGCACGCTGCAACACCGCGCGCGTTTTTTGCTGTGCAGTTGCGATTTGCCGCGGTTACCGGAAGGGGACCTAGTACTGCAACTGCGATGGCAGTGAAAACTAATAACAAAAGCATTTTTAGGTTTAGAGAAATTAAAGTGGTTAACTGAAGACGTGCAGAACTTTCAAGACGGTTGCATGCGCAGTAGCCACTAGCCAGTGCTCTTGCTCACTATGCGTTAAATAACACTGGAACTGTTTGCTAATTCTAACTTGTATATACGTGGAACTTTTTAACTGACGATCTGATAATGCGCTCGAAGCATAAAAATTGCAGTTCAAGTTTAATGATTGGTTATGAGATAAAACGGCTGCACGTACTGGCCGCTCTGAGTGTTGCTGTTTCTGGTTAATTTTTCCGGACATTAGTAGGTCGTTGGTAGTAAATTACCTGCCAGTGCCCACAACGAGGTCAGTTCTTGGCAAACTTACGCCAGTCCGCATTAGTTAATGGGCGCAGTATCAAGTAATCTTGTACAAATCAAAAAGTATTGAAAATTTACGAGAAAAGGAGCGGTAAGGAAGTGTGCAGTACTTGCCAACAATACATGAAGCCACCGGCGATGAGTTGCGCTGCATCGATAGAAGTACTAGTGCACGTTCTTATTCAGTAAATTGACAACTCAGTTTATTCGCTGCAAAAGCGGGATCATTAACATGTAAATATTAAATTTACAGCGACCTAAGTCTACCTGCGGAAATCAGAATAGAAAAGTCAAAAGAAGTAAGCTGCATGTTGCTTGCATTAAAAACAGCCGTTTTATATGGAGGGGCGACAGTTTATCATTAGAATCCTTTCTTGGTCATCAACGCCCTAGTTTCCTCATCAATCAGAAGCGATGTCACATCCCAGTCTAGGCGTCCACTGGGTAATCCTGGCGTCCAAGCCTGACAATTCGCACCGCGGGGGCCGTTGCACTGAAAGGCCTTAAAGAGCTTGTCTCGGATGTTGCCGAATATTTCCTCTGCTTCTTGGTCACAGTTATCAGCCAATTCGCTCCCGCTGCATACCTCATATTCCTTAGCATTACTAAAATGAAAAAGAATTTCAATAATGCGCAGTCACACAACCGTTCAACTGTCAGCGAATAGCTTACCAGCAGAAACCTTTGCTGACGTCATCGTTTTCCATATTCGTCATTATCCGATTTGCGGCTTTATAGGCACACGGCAGCGTCTTGGTTCCTGCTGTCTGGTTCAGCTTTTTGACGCAGCGAAGCAGAGTGCGTACATTATTGCCGAAGTCAGGCCGAGCACATGCATTCTCCAGTAGTGGTGCGCCAGTGGTCATCGCTTCGTGCAAGCTAGCCATAGCTCCTTCCGTGCAGGGTTGTGATGTTTCCTTAACACATCTGACAACGCCCCGTGCGATTCTGCAATTGGATTGTAAAATCATGAGTAACATTGTGAGCTGCACATTCAAAGAAGAATTACTGGCACAGGGAGGCGAGCTGACTGTCCGTAATCAACGCAACATCCGCCAGTGGCTGTCCGTGATTAATGGAGAAGGACCATTGTACCAATGGAAACGTGCACTCTGCAATACCCCGCACGTGGGCTATCGTACATTCGCCGGACGCCATGGCCGCCAATGCACCGGTTACGGCGACGAAGACGACAAAAATATTTGAGGAAGGGCGCATGTTCGAATATCGATGGTTACTGCAGTAATACAGACTCTGTATTTACAGCAACTTGGCGTAGCGGCCAACGTGTGTGTAAACTGTGTAATGGAGAAAGTTGAAATCTGCTTAAGGATTGTACAACATGTTCAAAATTATAACCAGATTGGCTTTTTCGGCTTCGAGTTAATTCGCTCCAGGCATGAGGAGCGCCACGATGAAAGTCAAAGTTTAACGATGTGTTTCGAGATAAAGCGTATATATTGTACTATATACTGTATATATGCAGCTCAACATTTACTGCGATTCAGACTGGTAATACTTAGGATTGATTAGTTTTTGATACGGGTGCTAACTGTTGCTTGCTGACAGAAAGTCCAAAAATCATTCGGGCGAATGATTGCTGTAATATGTTAATTAATCTGTATATGTGCCCCAATATTATAGCCAATTAGCGTATCATTTGTGTGCACGATAAGTAATAATCTTGTAAAACGTGTCCTGTTTGGCACAAATTAGCTATAGTCTATAGAGACCAGCCAGCCTGTTAAAACTGGTCATCGGAAAAAGGAAAGCTGATTCTTTCTTTTCGAATGTTCGGATAATTTTAATAATTCCTCGGCTTACTGCGGCCGTAGCGTCGTACTCGTAGGCCTTGATACTCTGAGCCTGCTCTGTTGTCCGCATCTGTTCGTGTAAAATGTACTGTATAAATGCAAGTTTGTTACCTTTTCAGTCTTAAATAAATGCTGACTAATTTCAGTCTTACATGGTGTCGCGACTACAGTTGCAATTTTACGGCAGGTCAATGTTTTAGTACCGGTGTTTCTGGCTCGTTCTCTTGCTGAATATATCTGTACAGTACCGCACCCACCAAAACGCGGTGTAGGTGGTAAAGTAAAAGGAAGATCGCAGTTGCACGAACAGCGATGTTATGTTCTGTAATTCCGTATCTGTAGTCCCATGCATTCAAGCGTTTGGCGTAGGTCAGTGAGCAAATGGTTTATGCATTTGTTCTTCTTTAATTTGCTGCCTCGTTACCAGTTGTCGTACATTTTTTCCACATAACTGATGCCCGATAAACAGCCAAACAAATCTAATTTAAAAGCAAAGCCTTCATCAACGGGTTTCTGAATTTAAAAAATTTAACTGTTTTCTGTTTCCTAAGACTGTTTAAACGGTTAAAATAGGTTGGTTTTTCTGTACCTGACCCTGGCTGAATAAAAAGTAAGGTCTGATCACCTTTTCGGCACCCGCTACCTTACCGTGCAACCTGCAAGCACTACTTGACCTTCGTTATGGACTTACAGTACTAGCTCATACCCGCTCATACGCACAGCGCTGTCGGCTGTGGGTGCTACTGTAATAATTGCGCTATTACTGAAGTCAATTGTAATTCAGCTTCTCTGTTGCAAAAGCGGGATTTTTTTTTACTAGCCAATGAGTAAGCCAACATCAACTTCGCGACAGCAACTAGTAAGTTGATTTTTATAATACTACGTAAATTTCCATAAAATGATTATAAGCAATCAGCGGGATTGTCTCTAGACATCAGAAACAGGCATTCTCATGGTCTCATCATTAACGACGTTAGATCCCACTTGAGATGGCCGCTGGGCAATCCCGCTTGCCAAACCGGACAGTTCGCACCACGTGGGCCGTTACACTGGAAAGCCAGGAATAGTGCGCCCCAGATGTTGCCAAATATCTGCTGCGCTTCCTGGTCGCAGTTATTAGCCAATTGGTTCCGAATGCAGGTCTGGTATGCTTTAGCATTGCTAAAAATGCAAAACGCTTTTGGCTACACATTCACGAAACCGTGTTAACGCCAGGTCCAATAAATTACCAGCAAAAGCTTTTAATAAAATCCGCGTCTTTCTTTTTCGACATGATTAGGTTAGCGGCTTTAAAGGCACAAGGCAGTGTCTTGGTCCCTGTTGTCTCATTCAGCTTTTTAGCACAGGACAGCAGAGTGCGTATTTTATTGCCCAAATCAGATCAGGTCTAGCGCACGGCCTTTTTCCAAACGCGGTTCACCAATGGTCATCGCTTCGTGGAAGCTAACCATATATGATGGTGGATCTAGGAAGAATCCACGGACAGAGACAGAAACGGAATCTATCCTGCAGAGTGAGCAGTGTTGTATATATACTACGAGCTATGCGGAAACGCAAGACACCCGACAATCAACTGCACACTTTATATCCCATTCACATGACACAGCAGAATGCTGCGGGGCTAAAAGAACAGCAAGTTACTCAGACGACGATGGCTAGCAACTGAAGAATCTACCAGATCGAAGAGCTGGTAGATGGAGAAAATCACTAGCAAAAACAGCAAAACAACTTAGCACCCGCACCAGTGCGGGTGTGCGGGGAGGCCACTCCTCCTCTCACATATTTCCGTACAGGGTTGCGCTGCTTCCTTGATACATTTACAGCTTAGGACGAAATGGTCGTCTAATGCTAGATCCAGAATGGATCCAGGGACGGAGACAGAAACGGAATCTATCCCGTGGAGTGAGCAATACGATCTGGATTGCGAGCTATGCGGAAACACAAAACGTCGCACCGTAATCGCTGACTTTAATAATATTGAAAGTCTGGATAACAGAAAATCAACACTGATCGGCACAGCTCGATCGTAAAACGTGGAGCCAATTCCACACTGTGCAATACTGTGCAGCACGTGCTAAGCCGCACCCACTAGCCAATCAGAGACGAGACACAACACAGACACGTAATCCATGGCGAGTAGCGTCACGGACGTGAACGCTAGTGAACCCCCGCTCACATGCCTCTGGGGGGATGCCGAGCTCCGTTGAGGCTGGACACACTCCCGAATCCACGAAAAGACGGCGGTCGCCGGTGTCTGTGCGTGCTCAAAAACATCAAATTCTCTTATTCCTTTTTATCACATCAATTCCATAAGGCACAATTCCATTTAACAAGATGTGAATAAAGAGATCCATTTAGAAAAATACTATCATTTAACAGATCAACAGTTATAAGATCAACAGAAGTATTAATCAAAATGTAGACTAGGATCCTCCATTTCTGACTCATAAAGGTCACAGGTCCTGTCCACCGTTTCCGCACTTTGGCCCATTTCGCTCTATTGAGCAATTCCGCGCATCCATAGTGCGACTTTCATCACAATCCGCTTGAGAATCAGGTGCGTATCAAGTACGACTTAGGAATACTGCTTCTTCTTTGGAATAAGGTGCGTATCAATTGTACGACTCCAAAATGAGATCCAATAAAGGTCATGGAGGGACGTCATGTAGACAAGCGTAGTTCGCTTCCTCCCTGATTGGTCATCTTCTGTCGAGATGATCCGTTGAGATGTGCGACTCGTTTTGGGTTAGTGGTCCCAAAAAGGTCATGCGACTTGAATTCCAATGCGGTGACTCTGTTGGGCGGTAATGATCCCAAAGGTCATCCAACTTCTCTTCAAACTTCAATTAAAGGTCATGGAGGAACTCAGCCAGTTTTCTGCGGCTTCAAGCACTTCTTTGCTTGCCTCCCTGGTAAAACTTTTGGTTTGACCTTTCCGTCGCACATCCAACTTTAATATGCCTCGAGCGGCCAGAGTGCCGGCAAAGTTTACCGTAACATCTCTGATGGGGCCGGCTAACTACCGCATTAAATTTACCTCACGACGCTTCCACTTTTAATCTTTGACTTTTGTTCGCCGCTTGTGGCCCAACTTCGGTACGAGAGATCCGGCTTGGTTGCCGCTATTTCTCTCGTTGATTTTTAACACTGGGTCGCTCGGAGAGATTGCCGGCATAGTTTACCGTAGCAACTCTAATGAGGCCGGCTGACTGCCGCATCAAGTTTACCTCATTAATATTTCCACCTGTTGTCTTTCTCTTTTTCGCCGCTTGTGGCCCACTTTCGTATTCAAGAGATCCGGCTTGATTACCGTAGTTTCTCTTGCCAATTTATAACATTGAATCGCTTAAGGAGGAGAGCCGGCTAACTGCCGTAGCAACTCCCTTGGGGCCGGCTTTATAGACCGAATCAATTTCAACCCCAATCGCTGCTCCACATGATTTCTTTATCCTTTGCGGTTCTGTGCTATAAATGCTGAAAACAACAAATACACAAATACAGTTTATAGTAATATGTCATGTCGCCCTTATATACCACACCATGTTTCATTTTTGTGACGTACCGACATATGCCGTAGACGCCCTTTTAATAGTGTGATCCTAACGATCAACACTATTCCGTTTCATTTGAGTCGCCGTCGCCATCGCTTGGCGGGCGCCTCTTAGCGTTTTCCGGTTGATTACGGTCGGACGTTCGGTCAACTGGTTCCGTGGAATCAACTGCCATGACCTTTTCCGGGTCAACTTCTCGCTGACCGCGACCTTTCCCTTGGCGACTGCGTTTAACCGCCTCTACCCGATGGCGTGCGTCATTTTCTTCCAACCGCAGTCTTCGATTGTTGGGGTCATCTGCTAGTCGACGCTGTACATCGGCGAGATTCTCCGGAGCTGCTGGTTTCGTAGACCACGTCGTCCAATCTGGTTAGGAGCGCGTTCTGGGCGCCGATCACTTTTCTTCACAAGGAATTCATCAATGTACGTTTCAACTCCGTCCACTGGTTCGACGTAGTCACTTCCCATGGTGTCTTTGATCTTGTTGATCCTCTCTTCAACTTGGGAGGCATGTCGTTGTGTAAGATTGCCCTTTTCCATTCGTATTTTGCACTTTTTCAGCGCCTTTCTTGCCGTATGGGCTATCCCGACATGTTCCATGGGTTCTCCCAATTTCGCCACATGCGGTCGAAAGAGCGGTGGGATATCATCTTTCATGGTATTAGATACCAACTGATTCTGTGTCTTATAATGTGCCAATCTCGCAGCGAAAACCTTTTGCCCCATCCTTCTTGCGGCATGGTCTTTAGGATCCACTTGTAATCCGATCGATGCTCTTGCTGCGAGCAACTTGAAGGCTGGATTCACGTGTCGTAAAACAAACTGAGCCACATATTCTTGTCGTTCGGGATAGTCTCTATAATAGAATTGTGTCATCCCGACTGGGTCAGTCGTATCCAGTGGCACGTCCAACAAATTCAAATCCAGCAGACTATGTAATCCGTTTCGTCGGACAGGGAGGTAACAATCCCTTACTGAATCGCGGGGGATGTATAATCGACGGAAACTTCCTTGTTCCACTCCCTCTCTAATTTCTTTCGCGTAGCCCGAATCGAATAAGAATTGGCGAAGCTGATTCAGGATCGTGTGAATCTTATTCGCATCCGCCGAATCGTCTTCAATCCCCATGTATCGGCAAATTTCCATCTTCTGTTCATCGGTATCTCTCATATCATATTCCATATCGATTGTGTCGGGGTGTCGATTATTGAATCGTGAAGTCGTTCGCCGGTCGCGTTCCTCCGGTTCGCGCTGACCTTCTTGTTCACGTCGTCCGCTCTGCGGCGTTTCGTTACCCGTCGATGTGGACGGTTGAAGGTCACTGTCAAGGACCACGTTTCTTCGGTGTATCACGTTCTCTTGGGACGCTTCTGCGACTGAACTGGCTCCTTCCATCGGGTCATCTTCTTGAGCAGCGCTAATGATTGGATTCACCACATGGACCGTTGACTCCATTCTCTGATACTTCGGGGGTGAATCTTCCCTTTCTGCGCTCGATGACCTTTTACTTGCGCCAGATTCAAAACCCGCATAATACTTGGCTCTTTCCTGCCATCGTTTATCCTGTGGGTCTGGCGTTCTAATTCGCGTGTGTTCGCGTCTTTTATCCCATGACCTTTCAGGTGTTGACATTCTAACATTGCGGTTGCGGAATCCAACTTCCAACGGCACCTGATGACCTTTCTTGTCAGGCTCTGTACGGTACGTCTCCGCACGCCATTGCTCTTCACGTCCTCTTGTCGCGGCCAAAATCTTTGCCGTATCGATTTTCCGCTGAATACTCGTCTCGGTAATCTCGTTTCCATGGCGTACCCAGCCTCTTCCGCCACGATAATCGCGATCACGGGAACGTTCGCGTGACCTTTCGCTGCGGTAATCACGTGTCCTTTAACGGGAGTATTCACGTGACCTTTCATTTCGTCGTTCAGAAGTTCGTTCGTGTTCGCGTGAATGTCCGCGTGACCTTTCTCTATGCGGAGGCGAACGAGGTCGTGTAAACCCATCATCTCGTCTGAATCCTCTAAGCGCCTGTAGGACATTGCTCTCGTTCTGACGGGATTTGCGCAGCTCCTCCATACGTTCTTCAACTGCCTTCTTTATGTATGGTGCTGGAGCGAAACCCTTCTGCAGTCTCAACTTTTCCCGTAACAGCGCATCAAATAAGTCCTGTTGCATGGCCGCCGGATCGCTTGTCAGCGTATCGATCTGAATGATGAGCGACTGGCGTATCAGCTGTGCTTCGTCTTCGTTGAGGCTGGCTGTCGCTACAGTCGAACTCGACGGACTGGGCAGCGCCTCTCGTGCGGCCTGTTCGCTCGCCTTTTGATTCGCCGCATTGATCTTCGCCCGGAGTTCATCCTCCAGCTGTTGCCGCCGCATCTTCTCTTGATCTTCCTCGAACTTCTTCCGGTATGCGTCCGTCTGTGGGCATTTCAATGGCTCCAAAGTCTCGTCCCAACCACTTTCGTTATTCTGGATCGCTTCTCGGTAACGATCCTCGAGGAGCATTCGCTCTTCTACTGGGATGCTGCCATAATTCCTCGCGTTGATGAGGTTTCTAAAAACGTCCAAGTTCCCTCGTTTAGCTTCCATGATCCCAACGAGTGAAACAATGTGGCGGTCCCCCAAGTTGTGAACGCATGTGTAGCACGGGAACTTCTTATCAACCTTTCTGTTATTCCGTAAACAGTCCGGACACTTTGGGTTGTAGCCCGTAGATCTGTTTATCTCTGATGCGGGTCCTGAGCTTTTAGGAGTGGCTTGACCTTTCTGTGCCATCTTCTCCGTTTTAAATCTGCAATCAAAAACAATCCATCATAGTAACCTTTCCACGTTAATCTTTTCCATCTTATCCATTATCTAGGCTTCTCTAGCATTTTTACGCCTATTCCGTTACTGAGCTGAGACTTTCCTAGCTCCTGCTGCCCTTTCTATCACTGTAACGTGGTGACCTTTCTCACGTTATCAGCACTTTCTGACTACTGTGACCTTTTTTATTAGTCTTATCGCCGCTACTTCTCGAGTTGACCTTTTCGCTTTCAATTTCCCGTAAAACTTTTCTCTTTCGTTTTTAACTATTTTATGCTTTTTCTGTAATATGCAGGGTTCATTACTCGCTGCATATTACACTCGTCCCCTTCATTCAGACTCTTTCGCCGGCGGGTTATACGGTTTGAAGTCCACTCGGCCGTCCTTGTTAATATGCAGTGCATTCTCCGCGATCAGAGCTTCAACAGCGTTTTTGATCCACTCTTTATCATTTTCAATGTTCAACTCTCCCAGTTCGTAATGGACGGCCATGAAGTTCGAGAGGTCATTCCATGACGCTCCATTGGTACCGCCAATGGCGTCCAAAGCCACATCTGTGATGGCTATCTTCCAGGCCTCCAGCTCCATTTTAAGTCTGGGTGTGCGGTCCGTGCCCTGTTTCGGAAGGTAGTAAATAACTTTGTTGTCCTTGTTATATTTGCATCCCAACTTTCCGTCCTTATACGCTCGTTTCAGGACCCGCTCACTCATGCTGAGTGACGATCTTCCTTTCGAATTTTCGGCGACTTGTCTCTTCAATTCCGTCCCGAGCCTCTCGTGTTCTCTGGTGATCTGAATCGCCGCCTGGACTTCGTTCCATGTTCGGTTATTCACGTCCAACGGTGCTCCTAACGTGTAATCTGTCGCTTCCTTTATACTGGTGGTTTCTGTTTTCTGGGGGGATAATGCCGAGTCCGTTGGGTCAGTTGTCTCCTTTTCATCAATCCTCAATTTTGCCAGCGAGCCAGATGATGACTGCGCCGATTTCGGTTCATCAGCTTTCTCCTTCTGTGGTAAAGTCTCGTGACCTCCCACGTCGCCTGTCGACTTCGAGCGTTCTTTCTCAAAGACCTCCTTCAATGGTGCGAACAATGATTTCTGATACACTTGTCGCGCGGAGGCTGCTTCTGCTTCTGCCGCTGCCTTGTCCATCGGGAGCATGACCTTTTCTTTCTCCCGTTTTTCTGAAGCCCCGTGACCTTTCGGTTGAATTTCTTCCGTCGCAGTTCCAGATGTCTCTTGACCTTTAGATTGTTTATCTTGCGCTGTCGCTGGTGTCGTGGTATCATCGCCACTTTCTTCCGATTCGGAATCCATGGGTCCCTTCTTTTTCGACACTTTCGGTGCTTGTGCTTTAACCCGTACGGTTCCTTCCTCAGCTGTTAACTGCGCGATCCGATTCAATATGGGAGTTGTCGGGTCTCCACTCGATGGCACCCTTTCCATCTCCTGACTGTCGGACATGTTACAACGGTTTTGTTTTTCCGGCGGTATCAGGCCTACTCTCGTATATCGGATCGGATATCCTTGATGTGCGTTCGTTGTAGCAAGGATGTTCTGTTTTATCATCCTCGGCAACGCGCGTTCAGTGGCCGTATCGATTTCCTTTATCATCCCTTTTCCGTCATTCCAAACAGCGTTGATATATTGGCTGATCCGGTGACTCGTTGACCCTAACGGGCTTGTCATTCCCGCGATTGCCCTTTCCACTCGCATTGAGCTATCTTCATTTGGAGTCGTCAGCGACTTGTCCAAACTTGACGGTCTGAACAGTTTAGCCTTATACGCGAAATTCGGATGTTTCTGGAGAAGTTTTCCCGCGTTCCGAGCGTATTCCAGTACCACATCGAACTTCTGTTTGGTGAAGCTGCGGTGCATTTCTTTTCTCAGGTATTTCTTTAAGCCCGTTCTGAATTTTGACGTTACTGATGTGGTTCTTATTCGTGTAAAGTTCTTCTCCGCTCCATTGAACGCATCAATAATTTCGTCAATCGTGGTCATATTATCACTGTCCGGGTCTTCAAATTCTGCTTCATCTCCTGAATAATCAAGTTCACTGTCACCGTCCGGTTCGATGTAAGTGGCCATTGCCAATGCGTCGATTTTCATGGCCTCTTTTCCTTTCTTTTTCAGCTTTGCGGGTTCGCTCTTTGCTTTTTTCCCTTTTTCCAGAACCTCCGCTAGGCTTCTTGGTTCTGTAGTTCTCGATCGAGTCGTTTTCGGGTCCGTGTGTGACCTCGCGCTAACCGTCGAAGTACTTGGAAGGCTCACTTCCGATGCTTCTGATTCACGGGACGTCTCCCGTTTCGCTTTCTCCCGCATTCCTTTCTCCCTGCGTTTTTTCGTAGTGGATGCCAAGATGACGACTGGAACAATCTGTTTCACAGCTATGACCTTTCCTTTGGATGTTGACGGCTCGGGCTCGGTGACCTTTGACTTCGATGTAGCCGGTTCAATGACAAATTTCTTTGGGATTATAGGTGTCGGTGACCTTTCCCCAACTTCGGCGACTGATTCCTCCAGTATTTCGACATCGTGAGAGGGCGGTTCGTCTTTTTCCTTCCTCTCTCCTTTTTCCTCCGGGTGCTTGTGCTCTCGCTTTCATCACCGCTCTTTTTTTTCTTATCTTCATCTTCCTTTCGTTTCTTTATAAAGTCACCTTTCTTAGCCCTTTCACGGTTCATGGCTTCATCCAGTTTAGCCGTTTTCCTCGGTTTAACGACCACTTTCGGAGGCTGATTATCTTCCTCGGCCATGTCGTCGTCTTCATCGGCCTGTTCCTCTGCCGAATCATCGTTAGCTTCCTCCTCTTCTGATTCGTCCTGTTTCGATGGTCTCTGGGTACTCTCCGTTCCTGCCTCTTCGGCTACGGAGGCCTCTGCCATTTCTCCGGCTCCACTTTCTTGTGCCGGGTGTTGGGCCTGACTTTCCAAATGTGGTGTTTCTTTAGCCGGTGCCTGTGTAACGATCTCCCACAGGGGATTTTTCTTCGCGTCATAAAACACCGTTTTATACGCTCCGTTTTCCATCTTTCTTGTGAGTCGAAAATGGGCTTCGTCTATCTCCGCTCGATGTCGCATCATGCTGATCAGCGTGTTCGCTTGAATCAAAGGATCTTGACGTTCACTTACTGGTATCAGGTTCCACAGCTGTTCTAGTGCTGCCCGATTGGCGTGTTCGGCGCTCTCTTCCGACACATCCCATGGAGCGTATGGAATCGGATCCCCTGTGATCGGGTCGACGATTACTGCGGTCAAACAATCCGTTGTTCCATCGCCGAAGTGGAGTGTCAGCGTCACTTTTCTGCACGTTCCATCGGTATATTTCAGGGTCGACTCATAATCGTCTAATGTTCGCTTGCTCGGGTCTGGGTCTGCTGTTGATTTCGGCCGAATTCTCTCTTTCGTCAGCAATTTCCCGTCCACTGTGTATGTGTATGCCAGGTGGTCGTCATTTGTACCCACTTTAATGCGGATCCATGCGTTTTCTTCGACCGCAACTTTGGACACCACGTGCTTCATCATCTGAATGAGGACTCTCGGATTATGACGTTCCTCCGGAGGAATGAACTGTAGCGCCTCATTGACTTCTGTCTTTGACCTTTCCCCAATCTCGGTTTTAACTGATTTATCCGCTAAAGGGTTGTACGATTCGATCTCTTTATTCGTTGCTTTATCGACTATCCGAGCGGTGACCTTTCGTTCGTTATGATCCGTTCCAGTGTATTTAACTGTAAAAGTCCGGCACTTCGGAAATCGAACTGAAGCAGCTTCTGGGTCCAACGGCGTGGGTGGTGCACTCTTTCTACCCACTGGGATCGGTGCTTTACTCGTCGTGACCTTTTTCATCCGCTGCTCCTTCTTGTCACTTTCTTTTGGACTTGTCGTCGGTGACCTTATTTTTTTTCTGCTTTTTACGGTCCCGCTAGACGGCTCTATAACCGAACTGGTGCGTCCACGTACTGATCCTGCGGTTGAGCTTGCCCGTGATCTTTCTGCTCGTTCGGTTAATTCTGTCTCAATCTTTCTCTTTGTTTCCAGGAGAGCACTGTCCGACATCTCCTCTACTGGTGCTTCAACTAATGCCCGTGATGGCCCCGCTGTGCTGCTTGTCGAGGGTCCCCTTTCTTTAGGAATCGTCTTAAGGAATAGTTGTATCTTCTCAATCATCGGTGGCCATTTTCTGTTAGTTAAGGCCGGGTGGTACTGTTTCATCGAGGCGATTCTGATCGCCAACTCTTTACGTTTAACTTCGATGACTTTAGTTTTTTCTTTCATCGCGATATGGACTGCTTCAATAATCGCGTCCAGACTCATTAATCTTCCATAGAATGCATGTTCGTCCTCGACTCGCATGTGGATTCTATAGAGATCCCGACACATTCGGTTAAAATCCTGGATGGCCGCTGTATCAGCCGCTGTCAGTCTTTCTTCGTTGCCCACTATCATGTTCAGTCGCGCATCATCTTCTTTCATGTCTAGCGGGAGTTTCGGTGAATAATCATGTACGGTTGGTTCACCCGGGGGCGTTGCCCGTAGACCATCTGGTCCGACCTGCTCCAAATTTGGGCCCAGCGACGGCAGTACTCCTCGCGGTCGTGGTGAATCAAACCGATTTCCGCCTCGCTTCCCTCCTTTTTGTGGCGAGTTCCTGTGAAATCGTTGCGCTCCAAGTTGCTGCGGTGTTCTCATACGAGGCGTTCCGATATCTAACAATGATAGGCCTCCCGATTCTGGGAAAGGTGGAAATATCGGAGATGACCTTTGCGACTGGGTCGCTAACATTCCGCCGAATCCTCCATGGCCCATAAATCTACTCGGTGTAGTCTGTTGCGGTGGCGGCATTAACATTCTTGCCGGTCCCATAACTTGCGGTGGTCCCATCGGTGGGGTATACGATCCCGGATGCGGTTGGTAGGGGGCATTCGTTAATTGTCCCGAATACTGGGTTCCGGCGAGTGAGCCATGGTGCACCCAGCTAACCGTATCTTGATAATTCGTCGGCTGTCCCGGATCGTGATACGCATAATACTCCGGCCTGCTGTAGTAACCTCCTTGGCCTGGTTCGTTCTGTGCCGTTCCGATTGACGATGTCGACCCTTCGCCATATGAAGTATCATATCCATATTCACCTTCCATTCTCTTTGGGGTCGATATCTTTAATGGATTTCCAATACTTTCCGAATCCGAATTCTCTGAATTCTGTCGTTCCAATCTATCCATTAACTGAGCTTACCTTCTGTAACAATGAAACAATATTGATTAGCTCTCATAACGGTGATGACCTTTTTACAGCTTCCCAACTCCTATTTTTAGTGAAGTGAACCCCTTATTCATCTTTATGTGGGTTATTTGTCTTTGCTTCCTTTAGTTATCCGATCAAGGAGTTCTTTGTCGGCCGCATCTTCCACTTCACCTTTCTGGGTCAGCAATTCTGTAGGAGTTATTTTCTTTTTCTTCTGTTTGCCCTTTCGCTCATCGATTGCTTTCGCTATATCGCGGCCCAATTGTTCCGCTTTTGATTTGACCGCTTCTATCTCCTCTTTTCTCTTCCTTATGAGGTCATTCTCATTGTCGGTAGCAGTGCGTGGTTCGAAAAAAGGATCTTGGTTCGATTCAAGTTCTTTTTGCGAAGCGCGTTCGGCTACTTCATCTTCAGTTCCTGGTGACCTTTCTGCCAAATTTCCAGCTTCTGTATTCAGTTTTATTGTGACTGCTGTTTCGAAGTCCTTGTCCTCTTTCCTTTTTCTTCCTCTCTTCTGTTTCCGTTTATTCCCGCTTGTATCCGGTAGCAGGGAGCGTGGTTCGAAAAATGGTTTCTGTTGTGTCACTGAGTCATTTTTCGGACTCCGCTCTGATTCATCTTCTTTTCCGTTAGCTTTCTCCGTTTCGGGGAGCAAAGGTGGTTCGAAAAAAGATTCTGCCGAGTCTTTTTGAGTACGTTCTCGTTCTACTGTTCCTTGTTCCACTTCAGGTAGCAGAGGTGGTTGGAAAAAATGCGAGGTACGCTCTGATACTTTTTGCGAATCTTTCTTCTCAGGTAATGGCGGATGCCACAGTTTTAATCGGTCGATCGAGACCACCTTTAAGTCTGCTTCCTTCTTCGGGTTCTGCTCAATGACCTCAGCTTCGTTTGTTCGCGGGAAACTCAGAATCTTCCACACTTAATCGTATTTCGACTTAAAGCCTGATTGATTTTCTTTCTTCCCTTGTTTCGTGTCCTTTGGTAATCGGTCGCCCACTTTGAAGTTCGGCTCCGATTTCTTCTTGTTGTAAATTTCCGCATTCTTCTCGTAAGCATCTTTGATATTGCATTTTGCCACTTCTTCTGCAAAGGTCAAGTTCTTCTTCATGGTCTCTACCCATTCGTCTGGAGTCCCATAATCATCGGGTATATTCGTTTTTGTGACCACATCTTCCGGCATTGTCATTTCTCTGCCGTGTAGCATATAGTATGCTGAATATCCAGTTGTGGCGTGTACGACTCTGTTCATCGCCGAAATAACATATGGAAGGTACTTGTTAAACTTTCTTTCGTTTCCTGCTTTCAGGTACTGTGCCAAGCCGTCCGCAATCGTTTGCATCTGTCTCTCAACTTGGCCTTGACCTTCCGGATGATATGCTGTTCCAAATGTGTGTCTAATCTTAAACACATTGGTGACCTTTGCCAATACTTCAGCTGTAAAGTGCCGTCCGCGATCTGTATGCAGAATGTGCGGTGCTCCGTGTACTAGTATCACGTGCTTCACGAACACTTTTGCGAACTCTTTGGCCGTTGCCGTTTTCATCGGTACTGCTATCACGTATTTCGTCAGTTGATCGATGAACACTGCTATGTACTTATATCCGCGTTTCTTCGTTGGTAACAGCGGTCCTTTCAGGTCAGCATACACTCAAAAGAACGGATGTCCGACCTTTATCTCTTGCAATTTACCGGGTGGGCATTTCCTCGGTGTTTTACGGAACTGACATCCTTGGCAGGCAGTTATGTAATTCTTCACGTCTGTACTCATTCGATCCCAATAATATCGGAGTCGGATTGCTGTCAATGTCTTTTCAAATCCCAAATGTCTTGCCGCTTTCTCGTCGTGTAATGCGTGGATTATCGCTCTTCGCATCGACAACGGCACCACATATGACCTTTCAAGTTTGCCATTTTTATCCTTTACTCGGTATAGTATGCCGTTTTACAACTGGTAATGAACTTCAAATTTCGATCTCGTTTCAGCATCTGGTAGATGTTCCAATTCATCTATTATCATCGCCAGATGAGGATCTTTTAACTGTTTATTCCGTAGCTGCAGATTTGAGTCATCCTCTTCTTCTTCATCACCTTGCAGGTTAACGATGCGGACTGTCGCCGTACTGAGTTCATTCCAATCTTTGATGACCTTACAGCGTGGTAATGGCTTATACCTTTTTTTCATCTGTTTCGGGAATCGCAACAGCTTAATTGGGCATTCATTCAGCGCTTGAGTAACTTTGTCCGTTTCCCAAAGGTCATCTTTAATCTCCTTTGTTTCGTCAGGTCCCGTGACCTTTTCATTCTGCTTTTTAGATTCCGCATCAAGTCCAGTGACCTTTAAGTCACTAACGGTGGGCAACCAGCTTTTTACGCGGTTCACGTTTACGTTTACTTCTGGCTCAGCCGACTCATTCGCCGTAGCTGAGGTGACCTTTAACCGTTTTTCCCTCTGTTCCACCATCTGCAGGAACAACTGTCCAATTTCAATTGCTGGTTCTTTCGTGTCAAATTCCTTCTTGTAGTCCTCGAAATTTGGAATCTCATCAAATTCCTCCTCTTGGCACGTCGGACCTTCAATTGGTGCTCTTGATAACGCGTCTGCGTTGTCGCAGTATTTTCCGGGTTTATATTCAATTTTAAACTGGTGGCCTTGTAATGCCATTGCCCATCTTGTCAATCGCGGATTCATCCCAACTTTATTTGTCTCTGACCTCAGCAAGTTAGTCAGCGCCTGATGATCCGTCCTTACGGTAAATTCCGCATAATCAATATACGGCTTGAATTTCCTGACAGCGAACACTACTGCCAGACATTCCCATTCCGTTACGCCGTAATTTTTCTCGGCTCCATGCAGGACGCGGCTCGCATATGCGATTGGGTGTCCATCTTGTGACAGTACAGCTCCAATTCCCTCTTTGCTCGCGTCACATTCGATGACGGTCGGTTTTGCCGGGTCAAACTTTGCCAGTACTGGACCTTCACACAACAACTTTTTCAAGCTATTGAACTCTTCCTCGTGTACTGCTGTCCAGTCCTTTTTCACGTGTTTATCTTGTCTCAGCAACTCATACAAGTGGCAAGTCTTCTGTGCGTATCCCATTATGAACTTGCGATAATAATTTGCCAGTCCAAGGAATGACCTTAACTGCCTTTCTGTTTGAGGTCGTTTGAATTCTGAGACCGCGGTGACCTTTTCCGGATCCATGCGAATTCCGTCTTCACTGAGTATATGACCCAGGAATCCCATTTGTCTCATTCCGAATTCGCATTTGGTTGGTTTAATCGTGAATCCCGCTTCAACCAGACTCATTAAGACATTCCTCAAATTCTGCATGAAGATCGCCCAAGTCTTTCCGGCGAAAATTACGTCATCAATATATCCGAAAACACAACCCTTTCTTTTCGCTTTTGAAAGTACTTTATCCATACACAATTGAAATGTTGCCGGTCCGTTGCAGACTCCAAATGGCATTCTTTTAAATCGGTACATTCCGTCTTGCGTTACAAAGGTCGTCTTGTTGATTGACGCCGGATCCACTGGGATCTGCCAGAATCCACTTTGCAAGTCCATTTTCCCGTAATATTTGTTGCCTGCACACGCGTCGAGCAATTCATCTGGATTCGGTAGCGGGTAATTATTCTTTCTCGTCAGCTTGTTAAGCATGATGTAACTGACACAAAATCTCGTCCCCATTGTTCCGTCGCCATTTTTCTTTACTGCCAGTACGACTGGGAAACTCCACTCGGCGTCCGACGGCTCGATTACATCTTGTGCCAACATTTCTTCAATATGCTTTGTTATGAACTCGCGGCCTGTCCAACTCGTTCTGGCCGGGTTGCATTTAACTGGTTTCGCGTCTCCCGTATCGATTACATGAGTGACCCCTTTCACATCTCCATATGGTTTCTTTGATGTGGGTAAGACCTTCCAGAATTCCCAGAACGCGTTATACACGTCATTCTTTTGTTCCTCAGTTAGGTCGGGTCCTAATTTCAGGTTTCCAATTATCTTTGTCAGTTCAGCTTTCGTCGTATCGTCCACCTCTGGGTCCTCGAGCACGTTCTTTACTGTCCCAGCTGTCCCAGCGTTGACCTTTACATTTTCCATATGTTCATACGGTTCAACGTATCCGAGAAGCTGATTTTTCTTCACGACTCGGTATTTGCTACTGTGATTCGCGATGACGATTTCAAAGTATTTTCCCTGTGATCCGTCACTCCTGCCAACGGTTGCACTTCAGTTTCCACTTGTGGGACCGGTGTAAACATCAACTTGTTCTGAGCCGGTGCATATTTTCCCATCTTGACCTTTACCCGTGTGCAGTTTGACGGTTTCAATTTAATTCTTTGGTCACTGTAGACTTTTAATCACATCTTTCGACATTCTAGCCTTTTCCACTTTCAATCTTCTGACTTTAATTTCTTTTTCTTCGTCCACTTCGTCATCTTCATCCAGATCCATTAAGTCCTCTTGTTCTGAAAGGTCACTTACACCTGAATCTTCCGAAGTCGTTGAGTTATCACTTGAACTCGTCCACTCGGAGTCCGAGTTACTGCTCTCATATTCCTGTGCAGTAGCTTGACCTTTATCAGCCTTTTCGAGTGGGCGCTCATCAACTCCTTCATCTTCTGATGAAAGGTCACTTTCGTTTTCCCGCGAATCACTAAGTTTTTTCACTTTTGAATTTTTGAGCAGGGGTTTGTCCCCTTCTTTTGCCTTTCGCCCATTTCGTGCAGCGACTCTTGGGTGACTCCTTGCTACCCGGATTCTCGTTGGTGACCTTTCTGATTGATCGGAGTTTGACCTTTCTTCGTCCGATTTTGACTTTTCTATTTTCTCAAGGTTCGTTAATGGCTTTTCGGTCAACTCGACCGGCGGACATTCCTCACCGTTATCGAGTGACCTTTCCCCGTTTTTTGCCTCAGTTACTGGGTTTTGTTGTTCATTCGATATCCTTTCGACTTCCTCTTTGAACTTCTTCCACATTTCACCTCTATCTGTTAACATCCGTGCGATGTCGAAAGCCGACTTTGAACTTTCTTCCGTTTCGTTCGATCCTCCTTCAACTATCTCTTCAACTGGTTCCTCTTTGTCTGCTTCTTTTACTGTCCCCTTATCAGCTTCATCCTGTTGGACCGTCTCGTAGCCTTTAGGTCGTTTGGGACCAACGAAAACACAATTTGCCATCAGCTCTTCAGTAACCCAGTCATCACTCGGAATCGTTTCATACATGCACCACGTGTCACCACCTCGTTCTGGGTATTCCACTCCATCTGGATCTGGTGCAAAGGTCACCTTTTTCTTTTCTATCAACCCCGGTAAACTTCTTTTCCGGGTTACTTGCAACTCTCGCATTTCCTTTATGTCGAATATAGGAATCTCCGCTTCAAATTTCGTCCAATATCTAGCAAATATGTTCCAGTCGTTTTCTTTTAGTGCTTTACAGAACACCACTACTGACTCATATACCGGTGTACCGAGTCCTGTTGGGAATATAACTGTTCTCCCTTGACCTTTGTACATGTGGTTTATGCGGAAGTCCCAGAACAATTCTATTCTAGCTTCTTCCCATAGCTGTACTTCCTCGTTCATTGAGTCTATCTCTCTTTCAAGTTTCCGCTCAGTTAATACCGGGTCAAGGGGATCTTGGATTCCGTTATCCACACGTTGCTGCCAATGGTTCAGCCATTTTCCTCTCCCCGTAATGAAGTTTTTCACACATGACAACCAAGTCCGATATCTGTTCCAATGATACCGCTCGATGTGTGGCTTCCACATTTCGTTTGTCCGCATGATGCTTTTCGTTTTCTTTTGACTTGACCTTTAAGATCTGATGATGCAGCGTTACACCTCGGCCATTCTGAAGGGTCATCTTGGGAGGCGTTTTGGCAACATTCAGTGCATTCCCATTGTGGTTGCACTCTACACTGGTCCTCGTAGTAACCGTGTCCGCAACTCCCCATTCGTTCTTCTGGAGTTAATATCCTTCGGTTCGTTTGCGGGTTGGCGACCTCCTTCTCCTGTGTCGTGGCTTTCTGCTCACATTCGATTTCTGTCACACTCGCATCGTCGGAGGATATTTCAATAATCTTTGTTTCGTTGTTCAGTTGGTGACCTTTTAACCGTTCAAGCGCTTTGTCGCGGATTTCGCTCGCGAACATCTGTTCTTCTTCAGCTATGCGTTTCAATATCCGCAACCTTTCACTCTTTTTATCCTTCCCCACTTTGGCCGACTTTACCCCCAGTGCCTCTGGTACTGGGATAGGCTTTGCCCACTCCATGCCAGGCACGAGTGATTGTTTCGCTGCAGCTGTCGCTTCTTTCTGTGTGGCCACTATCTTTTCAAGTGTTGGTGACCTTTCGTCGTTGATAGCAGAGTGTGGTTCGAAAAAGGGTTCCTTCTGAGGGTCACGTTCTGTTACTTCTTCTTTGGATTTATCTGGTGACCTTTCATTTTGGGTAACAGATCGAGGTCCGAAGAAATTCGGAGTACGCTCTGGTACTTTTATCGCCGGTGACCTTTCATCTTTCTTTCCCAGTGCCTCTGGTACTGGGATAACTTTTTCAACACATTCTTTTTCTGTGGCTCCTTGCTCACAGTTATCTGCGATCATACTTCTCCCATCCGGGAGAAATATGATCGCCTCATCCGTGTCTGGCGCAAGCGGTTCCTTTTTCCTCTCGTTCACTTTTTTGACATTTCCACTTTCACTTTTCTTCTCCGGTGCCTCTGGTACCGGGATTGTCCGTTGGCTAATCTCGTGCTGCTGCACTCTCGTCATTCCCGGTGCCTCTGGTACTGGGATGACCTTTTCTCTTCCCTTTTGTTTCAGCATTATCCGGTTTAGTGTGTTTTCAATCTCCTGTTGAATCATTTGCAGCTGCTCAAATGGTGACAATTCTTTTTTCGCCCTCATTTCCTTTGCCTTTCCCGGTGCCTCTGGTACTGGGATTAGCGTTTTATTAACCGTTTGTGCATTTCCCGTCTGTTTTGCAAGTTCGGTGACCTTTCCGACTTGAACTTTGGCGATCGGTTTCGGGTCATCTTCTTTCTCTTCTTCGCCTTTATTATCCATTAGTACGAACTTCTTCTCTAAGAAGTCGAATCCCAGTAGCACCTGTACATCGTCGCACTTCGGTCGGACGTAGAATGAATGTTCGCTAGTCTTTTTCCTTAAGGTCACTGGTGCTACACAGTAATGCGTTACCAGGAATCCTGACGTTCCACTAATTCCGTTTATCTTCACCAATCTGTCTGGTGGCAATGGGAGCATGTGCAGTCCATTCTTTTCGCAAAACGGTTTGCTGATCAGCGACGTCTCAGCGCCGGTGTCCAACATTGCGTTGACCTTTATGTCTCCCACTTTCACTTCATGTGTGTACGCTTCAATTCTTTTGGGCAGTTTTCCGTTTTGAATCTTCAACGTGTGAATCTTGCATTTCACAGGAATCAACGATACTGGTCCCGGATCCATATCGGGAAGCACTTGCCCTTTAGCTGGAGTGCCATGACCTTTCAGTATCTCGCTCAACTTATCAATCCTGTGTGGAACGTCAGTTCGAACGTCGTAAAATTGTCGCGGTTTTGTCTTGTCAACTTGCTTTTCTGTAGCCGTTTTACCACTGGTGATCTTTTCAGCCTTCTGCACTTGCTCATTCGCTTTTGTGCTGTCCGCGTGACCTTTAGTCGCTTCATTTATCGTCTGATGAATCAGTTCCTCTTTACGGTTTTCATTTCGTTTGTCTCGCAACTTCTCAATGACTTCAATTGTTATTTGATCAACTCGCTTCAATTCGTCTTCTTCGCTATCTTTCGTCTCATCTGGTGACCTTTCATATGTAACCATATCATATCCCTTTTCGGTCATCCATTCAATCACCTTTGCTGACACTTCATTATTCGTTTTCGTCGGATTAGTCTGCGAAGACATTCCGTCCGTTCGGGCTGGTGATTTGTCGTTGGCATCCTTTTGTAATGCTTGCGATAAGTCCCGTGACCTTTTAGCTGCGCTACTCTGTTGCGTTTGCGCCATCTCATTTGACCGTCCTTTTTGTTCATTTTGCGCTAAGTCCTGTGACCTTTCATTGCGCTTCATGACAAATCCGCCGCCCGTCAACTTTTGTATGGGAACTTTTTCTCCATAATTCGGCGGTTTATCCTGTGGCGGAACGTTGCGTGAGTAGTTCCAGTCGGCGAATATCTTCTTATATTCCTCTGCATTGAATACTGGAACTGGGTTGGATTGCGCTGGTTTCCCGGTAACCAACTCTTCTAATCGCTTTCTTTCACATTGCGTTCGCAACTGTTGCATATCCCAGTAATCCTCTTGTGACATTCTCGCTTTCTGCTTCGCTTTTGGCGTTACGGGTACCCACATCCCGTGATTCCCATTCGGTCTGTAGGCTACTTTTTGCCATATTTCCTTCCGTTGCAGCGTTACTGCATCCACAAGTGAGTCATCGGAGTTTTGTTGTGCCAGTTCGCTATTCTTCTGCTGCGCTGTTCGCAGTGTCAAGTCTGTTTCTTGACCTTTTAGCACGGCGCTTTCACCGTGACCTTTAGCGTTCGCACTTGCTCCTTTACTTTTCACCTGGACTTTTCCTACGGAAGGTGACCTCTGGTGATTCAGTATGCCGTGTTCTTCCATATATTCTCGGAATTTCGAATGGTGCACTTCTTCATCCTCTTCTGTAGTGCTATTCTGCGGCTTCTTCTGATTCAGCATCGCTTGTTGAATCTTCGCATTGCGTAATGCACGGCGTTCAGCTAACACCTTTTCGCTGCAATACGGTAACCTTTCATTTTGCTGCGCTGTTCGCAGTGTCGCGCTACCGTCACGACGATTTCCACTCGCAGTACCATTCTGCGGTGACCTTTGGTCCCGTTGCGCGTTTCCACTCGCAGTACCATTCTGCGGTGACCTTCGGTCCCGTTGCGCGTTTCCACTCGCAGTACCATTCTGCGGTGACCTTTTATCCACTTGTACTGGTTTCCCGATAACCAGTTCGTTTTGCTGCTGTGACGGCATCCTTATAGCCGTTTCAATTTCCTTTTGCAATGTCGACATCCATTTAGCCGTTTCAATTTGCTGTGGCGGCATCCATATAGCCGTTTGCTGTGGTTGCGGCATCCATATAGCCGGTCCACTTTCTTTCTTTGTCGACGGCATCCTTATAGCCGTTGCACTCTTCACGTTCACTGCAGTACCATTCTGCAGTGACCTTTCCGTTCTCCGTTTATCCGGTGGTTTCGGGTCGGGTCGATCAGTAGGCTCACCGGTGCCTACTGATCTTGCCCGTTTCCCTGAACCGGCGCACCTCCTTGTTGAGCGCCTTGCACATTCCCTTGTTGCTGTCCAAAATTATTTGCCGGGTTCGGGTTCTGTCCGCCGCCGCCATTATTATATTGGCCACCACCCTGTTGGTAGTTTCCTTGGCCACCACCCTGTTGGTAGTTTCCTTGGCCACCTCCATTTCCGCCGTTTCGGTTGCCACCATTCCAGTTTCCACGACCGAAGCCTCTGTTTCTTCCTCTGAAGCCGCCGCGGCTGAAGCCACGATTGCCGCCGCCTTGACCACCATTTCCATTTCCATTTCCGTAATTTCCGTTTCCATTTTGATTTTGAAAGTTGGCTTTTTGCTGATACCATTGGGCGATTAGGTCGTATCCATTTGCCACCGCCTGACGCCAGCCGCCCGAATTGCGCAGCCGTTGCCACTCTCTGAAGGCAAACAAGTTCGGGTTCTGATCCGGCGGTGTGGTAGCGAACTTACATCCCTGGGTCTGGTGGTTGCCATACATACAGTATTGGCACATCTGCACACCATTTGCAACCCATCCATCAATCATTTGAAACTTGAATTCCGTCCGTGACCCTTGATTCTGCTGGAAATTATTCTGATTCCCTCTGTTTGGTTGGAAGTTACCTTGACCTTGACCTTGGTTTTGGAAGTTCCCTTGACCTCCATTCCAGTTTCCATTTCCATATCCGTTTCCACCAAAATTTCCGTTACCCATTCCTTGTTGTGGTAACCCAGTATTCAAAGGGGCCACGTTCTGTGGTACCGGTGGAGCTACATTCTGGGGTGCCGGTCTCACTTGAGCCGCTGCTTGTATTGCCGCTACCATTGCGTACGTTATCGGTTGTCCCGTCTGACCGTCGATAAAGGTCACTCTTTCGGTGACTTCTCTAACAGGGGTTTCCGCACGATATTCCATTTGCTGCTGGGCTGGTGCAGCTGCCATTCTCTGTTGCGGTACATTTTCAACCTGGCCTTGGCGGATGGTCGCGTATTCTTGATTACGTTGACCTTTTGGTGCTTTATATTTTTCTTCTCCCGCCGACCAATGCCGGAAGAAATCTTTGATCTCGGTTGGTGTTCTGCACTGTTGCGTTCGCAGTGCCTTATAGAGGTCACTGTCTATTCTGCATCCTTCAATCAGGAAACCGACTGCTTGTTTTTCAGTGATAATTCGCTTCGCTTTGTATTTCATTATCGCCTGGTAAAACTGGTGAAGTGTTTCTTTTCCCAGGTCGAATTTCCTTGCCATGGCTTCCCGTAACCCAAGAACTTCTTCGTCACGGTCACCATATTCATCCTTGAATTTGGTCATCCATTCTGTAACCGTATATTCGATCTCTTCCTGGAGTGCGATTTCTCTCTCTCCTTCGAACCAGATTTTTGCCGGTCCCTTCACCGCGCTAGCTATTTCGATTAAAATTTGATCATCAGTAAGTCGGTAGGTTCGCTGCGTATCCCTGACCAGTTGTGTCCAGCCATTAACTGTATCGCGACTTCCATCAAAGGTCACTAACGTCGTTTTCCGAGCCATCGAGTTGAGTGCTTTTGTCAATTGTGCCGCTGTCGATTCTGCTGTCAGGTCATCCTCCTCTTCGCTACTTTCATCGTCATTTTGGTTTCGTTTCGCCTTTCCGTAACGGGACTTCCGTGGGCGCTCTTGACGGCTGGAGGGTCTGTCCCGTCGGCCTTCGTCGATGTACACGTTCGTTTCGATATGCGAGGGATCGCCATGACTCGTGTGCGGATAGCCTCCTGATGGTGGCTCCTTGTCGTCTTTGACCTTTTCGCCGTCTCTTTCCGCTTTGATGCTTCCTTTACCGGTGCCAGTTCGTAGTGGCATTTCAAAGTGGAAGCTTCTACCCGTGCCCGTCTCATGTGCCTTACTGTAACTGGGCGGGGCGACTCCACCGTTGTCGTTCGAACTCCATATTGCAGGAGCTGTTCGTCTTTATGTTTGTTGGACATATTAAGCGCCTTATTTTCGCTCATTTTTCAACTTCGTTAAAAGGTCACTTTTTGGGTCAGCTTAATCGGTTCCAACTTTTTGGTAAAGGTCACCTCCAAACCCGACTCGGCTCAAAGGTCACTTTCCAGCTCAATTTCAAGTCAAAGGTCACTTTCCAACTCAATTTCAGTTAAAGGTCACTTTCCAGCTCAATTTCAATTAAAGGTCACTTTCCAGCTCAATTCAAGTCAAAGGTCACTTTTCCTTTGTCCCAACTCAAAGGGTCACTTTCCCTTTCAAATATCTCGTCTCAATTCAAATTTCCCATTACAGCTCGAGTTCAACAGAAAATCCCCATTTACGTTGTTTACTTCGTTCCTATTGGTCCGCTAACTCAATTTACTCAGTTCAAATTTTGACCAATCGCAGCTCAGATAACTGACCAATAGCATTAGTCCACTTAGATTTTATATCAGCCTGACGTCACGGTCAATGACCAGACGTGCGCACCGTGTGCAAAACTACGCCTACGTCTATGCTCAGCTCAGAACGGACCAATAGAAATTACCAATTTTACCAACTAGCCAATCCCGTAATTAATAACGGTTTTCTACCTGTTAACCGTCCGTTCCACGGGGAAGTGATCCAAATGATCCAATTTCTTCTTCCACAGTCCGCTCCCGCGTCGCCGCTGTTCCGTAGCGTGCCTCGCGCTATCAGTCTGCTACCGTGCCGGCCGTAGCAACAGTAGTAGTGCTCTACACCCAGTTTCGAGGAGTCTGATCTATCTTTTCCCGTGCGCCCCTTTCGGCGCTTCGCCTCTTGTGGCCCACGGCTTAGGCTTCGCTGAAGCCTTGCCGAGTATCAGTGACACCAGTGTAGGTCTTCGCTGAAGACTCTACACCGAGGAACACTGACGACTGAACTCTTGCACTCTTGCACAGCTAAGGAAACAGCACGGTTCTTCGCTGAAGATACCGTACCGAAAACCGAAGCTGGGAATCCGCGTCCGATGGGGGAAAATTGCACCGCTTGTGGTGTGCGCTTTGCTTTTGAACAGACCTGTGCCTTACTGGTCACAGAAAACACGTCAGATAACAGGCCAAATATGCCTGACACAAATCAAATCAAATCAAATCAATTCAGAGAACCGCTGTCGGCTCTGCTACCATCTAATGCTAGATCCAGAATGGATCCAGGGACGGAGACAGAAACGGAATCTATCCCGTGGAGTGAGCAATACGATCTGGATTGCGAGCTATGCGGAAACACAAAACGTCGCACCGTAATCGCTGACTTTAATAATATTGAAAGTCTGGATAACAGAAAATCAACACTGATCGGCACAGCTCGATCGTAAAACGTGGAGCCAATTCCACACTGTGCAATACTGTGCAGCACGTGCTAAGCCGCTCCCACTAGCCAATCAGAGACGAGACACAACACAGACACGTAATCCATGGCGAGTAGCGTCACGGACGTGAACGCTAGTGAACCCCCGCTCACAGTCGCATACCCAACATCTCCACATTCAGTACGAATGCAGCGCAGTGCACTGTACGACTGAGTTCAAAATATCCGTTTCGTACAAGTGCACTGCACCGGTTGCGTACAGAATGCTGGGTGTGGGGCTATGCGACCATTTAGTCCTACATTGTAACAACGCCCTTTGCAACCCTGCAATCAGATGAATTTTAATTGTCGTGTGCAATGTAGCATAAGCTGCGAACATCGAAGGCGAATTACTGGCATAGCGAGGTGAATTGAGCATCCGTAATCCGGGACACATCCGTCAGTTGCTGTGCACAGCAACTATCGCGCATCAGTGCTGGATCCTTGAGAAATGACCATTGTACCAAGGGAAGGGCACACTCGGTAACAGCGAATTGCTGAGGTATCGTACATGGGCCGGGCACGGTGGCCACCACTGCACCGATCATAACCACAAAAACAACGAAATTTGCCAATGGATGCATCTTAGATCCGTAATACAAAGTAGCTTCTGCAATATTATTAAGTAACCAAAACTCCGCTAGTATTTCAAGACGGCTGTAGCGGCCAACGTGTTTAGACTTTGTAACAGAGAACGTTGAAATTTGCTTGAGGATTATGCAGTACTTATACAGAGTATTATGTATAACCAGAGTTTTTCCTTTCCGACTTTGCGATAATTCGCTCCAGGCATAAGGAGCGCCACAACGAGAGCCACAGTCTAGCGATATGCTTAAAAATAAAACATCCACTTTTTACATAATGCGGTCGGACTTGATTCAGGTTGGTAACTTCATAGATTAAAGTGTCCTAATTGCTGACAGAAAGTCCAATAATTATTCAGGTAAACTAATGCAAAATGCCATAATTGTATGCACGGTATGACATACTGTAATTCTGCAGATGACTGTGCAGTTAACAGTTACTGTAAATCGAAGTACAGTAAGTACATCACAATCTTTTTAGAACCAGGTAATACAATCGCAATAATATTATACACATTGAAGAAACAAGCTTTGTCTGATTACGATATACAAAGCATTTAGAAGCTTAAAGAAGTGCTTAAAAACAGATTTAATATCGGCGTTATGCAACACAGAAACCAATGACTGAGCACCCATTCAGTTTTTAAGCACTGCATAGTGCATACTATTATGCAACACCCAATAACTGTCACATATGAATTTATCCTTGTTGTAATTATGAGATCAAGGCTGTAATAAAATAAGTGCTGCTACCACAAAATTTTGAGGACCAATTTCCGGTCTAGCTATCTGCACATGTAACTATTGTGACGCTTCCGGTGGGCCAGTGTCTGGTTTGCACAACACCGGCATCTGTTTAAGAAAATAGGTCGACGATTGTATAACGCCTTTGCAGGCAATTAAGGGAGGCTCATCAGTATAGATTACCGTTACTGGTTTTCATTTTTACAACATAACACTGAAGCGGATGACCGGAAGCGGAGGACGGAAAGAGAGAGCTAGGCGCAGCACATTCCCATTGGACTTATGACGCTAGCTATGACATAAATCGGCCATCGAGTAGCAAAGATTCGATTAAATTTATCGAGAAAGGGTAAGTTCCAATTATACAAAGGTGTACAATGATTCACTGATTAACAGACACCTGTGCATTGTGTACAAAGCTCATAATTTACGCGCAAGAGCACCACTGCTCATAACATGACTTGAAAGGACTCTGACACATGTTAAATCTTTCAAAAAAATAAAAAAATAATATGCTGCACCGACTTTTATACGTGCAGGAAAGGCGCAGGTAGGTGCACATTGTGTGCGGAGTATGGAAACAAAAGATCTTGAAATTAGAAAAAAATGGTCAGTGAAAGGTTGGCAGATTAATTTCGCAGATGTAAGTGTAACACTCAGTTAGCTTGAATAAAACCGCGGCCGGGACGGACAACATGAAGCTTTGGCTTCGGATGATCTACAGTGCCGTTATAGGTTTGTGCGAGTCAGGATCGTCTTGGTTACCTTTGCTCACCGTACCAAAACACCATAACTTCTCCATCAAACACTGCCGATAGCGTTCATTCATAATGAACAAAATCACCTGCAATAAAAACGGTTGCTGTTTTATAATTATTCGTCGAAGGCGACTAAACAGACTGGATCATTACTACAGCGAAGTATAGGTGATAATATCAAATGTCAAGCACAAGAATTGAAATTTTCTCAGTCGTATGTGAGGAATAAAAATAAATAAAAAATAATTTTCCGGGAGAAAAATATTCAATTTAAGTCAAGAGAAATTTAATTGACTGCCTGGCAAGAAGGTACAAATAATTCATACCGGATTAAAAGCGTATCCGCAGAAGAAAATGGTCCTTATCCAGAGATGCACAAGAGGGTCCCGGTAGAATATCGGTGCGTACTCGACCATGATAGGAAGCGGGACAAAGCACAAGCAGTGCCATATGGCGGAGATACACAGCATTTTAGCCGTTCGGTACCTGACCATCAGCAGGCGTTCAATCGTGGATTCCCGACGGGAGAAATTTATCACGCTGGCTTGACTGGTTCGTCTCTCAGCAACTTTTACAACCATCTTCAAATAAATAAGCCCATAGAAAATACCGATTAAAAACATCGGAACCGGTGTTCCAAATTGAACTGAAAAGTGGTATCGCCAACCTGCAAACACAAGAACTTTTCTAAAACAGCTATGACAAATACTGCGGCCGTTGTAAATACACGCGTCGTAAAAGAAAGCTGAACAATATTACTTAAGCTGATACACTCTTTTACTGGCTCCCCTTTACATATAAGTGTACGATTTATTAACTCATGGAAATTTTAAAAGAAATTTCCGAAATTAAATATGGTTTTAAAAATGTAAAGCGTTTAACTTGTTAAAAATTACAATGTTTATATATACTTTTGGTTTCTAAACTATTGTTGCCATCCGCCTACTTACCAGGAAATGGATAAACACCGCACGTCCCCAGTGGAGGTATCGCTGCTAATACTCCACCAATCCCCATAAATATCGGCACATAACACGCGAACGCAATAAACCAGCACAATCCCACCGCCCAACTCCACAGCGGACTATCCAACCACACTTTATACCACAACGGAAAAACAATGGCCACAAACCGGTTAACAGCCATCACGACCGCCACCCAGTTGCCGGCGACCACCGTGGACAGAAACAGCAGCTGACCAATAGCGCAGGCCGTATGATTAAGCCGGACACCGCTCTGTGCGACATAAGTCGTCACGGTAAAGAACGACAGATATCCCAGACTATTGATTAACTCCAAGATAACCAAATGGACCATTAGCAATCCTCCGGCACCTTTACAGCCGTTGTGTCGACGGAAGAGAATGGCCAACAAAATGAGATAGGACAGGGTGCCGAAGGTGCAGAGAGCGGTGCAAAACGCCAGCCAGACTGACAAGGACGACGGACTGATGTAGGCGACATCGGAGGGGGAGAAGGTCAGGGTCAGGTTGGTTGTTGGATCAGTGATTGTCAGGTCTTCCATTCGAATACAGTGATTTAATCCAGGGATTATGGGGGCGTTCAGGCGGGCGATAAATCCTATTATTTAGCGGTTAAAAATGGAAAACTCCTTTGCAAAACGTCCATAGATTCTGGAATTGTGCCACTCAAATTCCGATAAAATTCCTGATAAAGAGACGTTGAAATGTGACTGAATAGTAATTTAATACAGCAAGCATCACAGCATACAATTTTGTGGATGTTGATTAATTTCATAACAATAATAATGGAACCGATCTGCATCAGCAGCTTCTCATAGATACGCTCATGAAGTGCACTGTACACTTACACTTCCATATTTTTATAGACTGGAATTCTGTACTTATTACTTGTGTAATACAAATTGTGTAATATAAATAAAAAAAATTTTCCAAATTTATTTATAATAATTACAAAATATTTCGTTGGTCCGCGGTTTCGGAAAATTAAAGTTGGTTCTACTGGGTAGCTATTGCACGGGTACATATGATGCAATAATAATCTGGATGCTTGCTAACATTTGTTTACAAATTATTTACGCACGCTTGCGTGATATAACTAATTTTTGGTAATTACTCCGGTAATTTACAGGAACGGTTATAACCTACACAATTCATTTCTAGACCAATCCGCTCCTCGATTCAGCAATTAATTAACTACAGAAAACGATAGGGAATCGACTGGCACACTTCTGGACATGAAGTGCGTCAACCGGAAAACCGTCACATCAGACACAGTGACAGACAAGCCGAAATGGAAAATGTACTGTAGTCCGTATCAGACACGATCACACGATGCTACTTGATAGCAAACATTACTATTACGTATTTACGGGCAACATTTCCCACAGTGGAGATTAAATTGCAGCATATATAGGAAAGCAGAGAAACCATCTCTTACTTACCATCAACAATTGCCGATGACACAGCAGCCGAAAAAGCCGGGTGTAAGGGAGCTGGCGTGGATGTCAAGGGAAGTCAGCCGATTGAAGTGTGCACATTAGTGCCATTAAGGCGGAGGGAGAAAAGAAGGAACTGATCCCGGTGATGTGAATGGGCACTGCAGTAAATGTACGGAAGCTGGGTCATAAATAATGCATCATGATGTCTGCTGCTTTACAAAAGCAAAACAAACCATCACTACCAAGAAACGGCATATACATACTACACAAAGAGACCAAGGAAAGAACCGGCTTATATTTCTGCTTACACGGGAATCATTCAGCGTTACTTCATTATAATTACACAACAACAACAGAACCACATGCTCATATTTTATGAGTGTAAATATCTTAGAAGGTAATCAATTTACGGCTGCGAATTTAAAACCCGTTAACATGGCATTTACCGGGGAATAAACAAATGCGTTAAACAGATGACATACGAGTACATCATAAGGCAGAAGTAAGGCAAAGCGAATTAAAAATCATTCAAACTACAACAGCGATGAAAGCCGGCGTTCTATATGTATAAAGCACATTCTTGTTGCCACAATACATTCTCAGCAATCATGGCAGCACTTATACCTTGAAAAATTGTAAGTGTATAATCCGCAGTCTCTGTTCCCATTAAACCGGAAAGCACTTACCAAGAAAAAGCTCAATTCCACCTTGTCACCACCACCGCAAAAACCCATCCCCAGCTAATCCCGCATCAAGATCAAATATTGTTCCTAGCCGGTACACGGCCGTTTAATTCCAATATACCCGCTGTACTCTGACTCAGCGACTGTTTTCTCTCATCCGGAAGATAAACACTTTATCCACTGTAAATGTGGATTTAATCGCAAAAACTCACTTCCTCCGGAGTGGCCACGGGAGCACTAGGACTAATTGATACAGCAGCTGTGCCGGTTCCTGTAACTGTTCGATCCTGCTATACATAAGATGCATAAAAGTTGTGCCGGAAGATCGAGTGTAAGGACGAGAGGGCGGAGCCGCCGGCACTGCAACGGATGTAATCGGCGTAAAAACTTTCCCCTTCACTGAACCTGTTATCGCCCAATTATCCCATTGTCCCCGTTTCACGAATGTGACAGTCGTGGTTGGGTACGCTTCAGATCGTCCATTGTGACGGTAAACGGTAACAAATAGGTTTATATGACTTCATGTACTGTATTCGCTCGCACATCTTGAACCACAGAGTGTGTGTACGGGAAAAACACGCATTCAGTATACACACTCTAACCGGGCAAAATGCACGACTACGAAATATTGCTCATTTGGTTTCAAGATGAACAGTTCTTCTTGTGAATTTATCCAATAAATCAAGACTTTTCATTTAAATGGCAGTTCACTCTGGAAAAAAAGGTTCTCTAGCTGAAAGCTCGAATTGTCTGTGGTTCATCGCCATCAAGAATGTTGACGCTGAACGTACCCCTCCCCCTCCAGGGGCACCCCAAAAACCACAACAAATCAGTTTGTAACTCGTGCTTACGGCAAAGCTGTATGTGCTTTCGAGCATAAGCATGATTAAAAATTCTTAGAGCTCTAATTTTTTTTAATATTCAAGAAGTTCTCCAGAGCAGATGTTGCAAAGACATCAGAAATTTATCAAATCGCGAATCGCGCATTTGGCCCGGTTAGAGTGTGTATATTGAATGCGCGTTTTTCCCGTACACAGACTCTGTGGTTCAAGATGTGCGAGCGAATACAGTACAGGAGCGTGTCTTGTAGATCGGAGAACTTGCAGTTAGAAATGTTGATTGAATAAACAGCACCGGTCGATGTTCCTCTCCAGCGGGAGTCGGGTATATGATGACATTTGGATACGCTGTGGGACATGTGTCTCTGTGACTATAATATATGTCCCGGCCTTCAAGTGCTATACGTACAGATACAACCGAGCCCGCATATTCGCGGAATCGCGTACAAACTAGGGAATAAATAAAACTTGCAAATTAGGTTCTATTAAACAGATAGGTTGAACGCAGCACAATTAAACGGTTATCTTAATGGTGAAACATACACATATATTGTATACCCGTGCACTGCAAATATTTTCTTTATTCTGACAGTATGTTCCTGTCTTTTCAAAGTTCAGTTTACCGGATTTTAGGACTAGTTTGCTATAAACTTAATTAATTATTACTGCCCTGGAACGAAGGATTATTCCGTAAAATCTGCGTCAGGTTTTCAAGAAATCGAAATCACACTTATTAATTTAAGCTGAACGTTCTGCTGCAATCTGCTGTATCTGGACAGACAAATGCAGTATAAAGTAAACTTTACGAACATTATAAAAACGCTGAAGCTTGGACATGCACCGAAAGCCAAGGCTGTGTGCACCACTTCAAAATTGGCGACAAGTTTATTCTACAAGATATTGGTTTATACGGGTGCACCTTGCAGGAGTATATTATGATTAGTGTCCTAAATAGTTGTTATTGAAACACAATTTGTAATTTTATTGTCGGCAGAACGCAAATGCATATCTCATGTACAGCTATCGACAGGCGTTTGTCTCCAACCAGTGCCGCTCTACAGTAGTATAGGCTTCTGGCGAGAAGCCTATACTACTGTAGAGCGGCACTGGTCCAACGGAAGTGATAGTTGAATACCCTAAATTTACACAGCTCTTAAGTAGACCACCGTGCAGCCACTTGCACCTGGTAAAAAATCTGTAATAACTGTGAGCATGTGCCGGAACACTATCACTACTTTAAGTACTCGTAGCGCTTAAGCTCTTGGAGTGACATGGGGAATCCAAAGAAAAGGAAACTGGAATTACCACTGATGTAATTACAAAATTCAAAGCATATCATATGTGCAAATACCGGGGCATTTTGATTTAATACTTCAGATATTAGAATGGTTGAAACAGACTTACAGTTAACAGTACATTCAAGTAATACTAAATTTGCTTTCATCAGTCGCTTCCCCACCAATATCAACACAGAGTTGCTCGATATTTTTGAGCGCATATTTTGCACAAAACAGAGCTAATATACAGAATTTGATAGTTTTCTGCGGCCTCAAAAAAGTTAAGCGGTTGCAACTGGAATCTACGCAGCCGCTGCTTCCGGTGCAGCTTCAACAGCCGCCGCCACCGGCGCAGCGGCAGCAGCAGCACTGCCTTCCACCAATACCCAGTTGCCGTTGGGACCGGTTGCGCTGCCCTGGTTGCCTCCTTTGCCGGGGGTATCGAAGAGGACTTCGCTGGTAAACAGGCGATGGTTGCCGAAGTTTTCATCCTTGATGAAACTGTCAAACAGTGGTCCGGTCAGATCATTTTGGTAAAAAATTTTGCTTTAATACTTACGCATCACAGTCAACGTTAAACCAGTAGTTGCAGATGAGGGTGATCGGGTTGAAGAGCGTGCGGTTGACACAGATGTAGCTGGTGATGTTGCCGTTGGGGGTCGCAGCGATGGAAGGTCGCGGTATACTGCACAAATGCACAAATTGCGGTGTGTAAGCGAAATTTAGAACTGAATGGTGAATGATGTGGCACTGAACGGTAAGGTCGACATTCAAAATTAATTAAGCATTAACGTAACAAATTTAGCTTCCAGTCAGTGAAATGCTTTCCCTCGTGAAAATAAAAGTTACTAAAAACATCCAGTTACCAAAAGAAGTACTTGTAAAGTTACGCTAAACTTACAAAAAAGTTTTCATGACAGCCGATTATAACTTGGACCTTTCACATAACTTACGGAATACTTCAAGTTGGTCAAAAGTTACTTACTCGTATTACAGCACTGACGCACAGTCACGCACTGTTTGAAAATTTATTTTTTGTAATCTTAAGCATAATAAGCAGTCACCAATGGACGTAAGTTGCTACTTTATACAGCGCAACTGCACAAAAACATTTTATGCGATGTAGTTTTAAAATATTAAAATAATAAACATATGATTAATCTTTTAGTTAGTAATTGCATATGTACATATGTATACAATACATATTTCACTTCAGTTTATGTTTCTGTGGTTCATACAGATAATAAACAATGAATTAAGTAACTCGGTGGCGTCGTAAAACAAAATAACCAATGTGGCTTTTAATTACTAGCAAACTAGTAAATAAATAAGACTCCGTACTGCAATAAAATTTTATTGAAACACATTACAAAAAAATAAAGCAATCATTTTTGTGGCAGTATACGAAGCAGCTATGTGAAAGGTATGCATGTTACCCCACGAGGTGGCAGCCGCAATAAGAACGCACGGTCGAGCACGTAAACATAGCTCAGCTCGCTAATAACGCAGTCGAGCCGTTGAAATTCAACACACTTGTGACTTGTAGGAAATTATGAATCAGTTTGTTTCACTTTTTAGTTTATTTTATTACACTTTGCTTTGATGTTAAGGGTTTAACAGAAAATGATAAGGTCTGATACCAGACGTGATTTGTAGCTTTCTGTATGGAATTTTGAAACATTGAGTCAGAAAGCAGTACCAGGTGTAGACTGCTTCTTCACGGGTCTACGAGCAGAATCGCCGTTGAGAGCGTCTCTGCTGAATGACGAACCTGCAGCTGGGTTGTTGGACGAACCTGCCTTGATTCTCAGTCATTCTTTCTGTTACAACAGGTATGATGACTGGTTTTAAAACGTTATATAAACGTAGCCATATGATTTTGGAGTCGACTTCGTTCTAGTAAGCGTAGAAGAATTGAAAATTTAAATTTTTTGTCTTTGTTTTACGCTGGACGGAGTCGATTCTCTCAAATTTGCTCACATCCATATGAAGATCCCTTCACACGTTATAGTTTTAAAAATTTACGCTTCTACTTGTCAGTCTTAAAGGCAGTCAAGCTAATTTTGTTGTATTTCGTCACAGGTTCTTCGGTTATTTTTGGAGTCGACTCCATGGAACGATCTCTCTTCCCCTTCGTTAAGCATGAATTACTGGCACCTTCGCTGCGAACGCACACGAGCGTACACTGGGCCTTTGGATGGAGGTGTGAAGCACACTGCCAGTCTCAGCAAAGGTGAGCTCCACAAACTGGATTCAGACGTTAGTAATTTGAGTAAGTTGGTGTGGAGTTAATTGTTAAGTTACTTAAGTAACTGAGTTTGTGTACGTGCAGACCACAATTTTTAATTTGTGGTAAATGTTTTCCCGTTCCTTAGGAAACTAACGGATTTCATTGCCCATTTGATGGACTGGAGTCGACTCCGGAACCGACACAGACTTTTTGTGGTTTAATTTCTGGCTTTTGCATTATATTCTTCCTATTTAAATTTCTGTATTTTAAAACAGCAAGTGCAGCACTCAGACGATAGTTTGATGTTTATTTGTGGGTTTTTTTCTGTAATTTCAGTGTTATTTTTTGTGCGTTGAATAGAAGTATGTGCAAAATTACGAGTAATGTGCGGCAAAAGTTGCAATAAAGCTTCTGACAACGATAAAGCAAAAGTTCTTAATACAGTGCAATAAAACTTCTAAAAACGACTGCCAAATTAAGTTGGGAATTATAAGTTCTACACTAACTTTTACAGCACAAAAAGGTATAGCCGCTGTTCAAAGATTGTTACAAAAAAACTTATACATTTTCACGGGGGTTTAGACCTGTTTCCTCGTTAGAGCGAGGTGCCGTTAATCGCCGTAGAAACTATTCGGGCTAAGTACTACATTCTCACGCCGTTAGAGGATTAATTTTCCTTTATTGATTGTAAGCTACGTTTAACATGTTACGTACAGTAGTTTGAAATTACTGCACCTGTAACTATTTCTGGGTTCAGTCTGCAGACTCTGCACGGAAATTTATCGGTGCATTTGACAATACTAGGCGTTAAGCTGATTAAACAAACAAATACTATGTGATTGCTCTATAAAGGTACCTTTGGTTACTGCGTTTTTTTCACCAGCTCCTGCTCATTGATGAGAATTCTGATCGGCAAATTGCCAGATCCTAATGGCCAGCATGGATACTTTTGCACATTTGGTTGTATGATGCCAGTTTCTGGACAGAACGTACGAGTATCCGCCACGCGTGCGGCGTGAAACGCAGCCTGCCTATGCTAAGTTTGCTCCCTGTGATTATTATGTATACCTACATGCTTGAACTAAAAATACCAATACAGACCGTACGCTTACGGCATTGCTTTTGCCGCCTTTACTTTTCTTTTTTATACTGTATAAATTATAATTGTTCACAAAGGTGTTGAAGGATATACCACTGACTTACAGAATACATGTATAATGTATTTGCATATTATAATTAACGCGTGTCAAAGCCTCACGTGTCGGATCCGGAGAAGTACCGTGTACAAGAGTCAGCAAAGTGAACAACAAGTGCTAATAGATTGACTGGCTGCTGGCTACAAGTTGGTTTTACAGTCATGCAGTATACAAAACTGCTGTGCAATAGCTCGTCAACTCGATTCATAAAACCGTAATTGCAATACAAAAAGCCTTGCGGGGTTCAAATTGTGAAGATTTAGACACGTGCCGAAATACAAGCGGTCCGGTTGTCGCTTAATACAGACAATAAGTTGACTAATACAACGAATAAAACGGCCTCCTTTGTCTTTTCCTGTTCCGTGCACTCCTTGGCAAAGAAATGACGTGACTTGCACATCAGTGACGTGGCAAGGCTTTCAAACCAAAGGGTCCTGCCGCCGGATGGTCCGCACCTATGGCAAAAGCTTTTCGCACTCTGGTTATATAAAAATAAGAACTAGACAGTCAAACAGCCATCAGCTTCATCCACGTACTATCTCTTCTGTCGATAGTGTCAGCTGCATTTTGTTCCACGACTTTCTTGTATCGGTGCAAATTAATTCAACTGCACAATGGGATCCAGATTTAGCGTACTGTGTCTACTCTTCTTGACCACCCTGATACTCCGTGACCTCCCGGTAGTCAGCAGCGGGCTGGTGTGGAGTCGAACATATTCCTATCGGATTCCCTTCAGTATTGACCAGGGCGGCAGTCAGAACACCGATGCGGGAACTAGCAGCGATGGATCCGATTCATCTGACGACAGTTCGGACGAGAGCAGTGAAGAAACTCCTGGAGAAAACAGCAGCGATGAAAGCAGTTCAGGAACTGATAGCGAAACTGGCGATACCGGGTCACCCAGCGAGGGCTCCTCCGAACAGGGACCGTCCAGTTCTGGGAATGAGATCGCCGATATTCATAACAACTACCGCCGCACGGTGGGCGCCAGCAATATGAAGATTCTGACATGGAGTGATGATGCGGCGCGCCGGGCACAGGAATGGGCCAACACGTGCCCCAGCACGGTGAACCCACATAACGATGCTTCGGACAGAACTATTTCAGGTATGCTTTCACGGAGGTCTGCTGAAAAAGAATTTCACCAAAAACAATTAGCCGTTTTTTGTGCGTTGTAGGTTTTGATTCGTGTGGTCAAAATGTGGCCTGGCGACAAGGAAGTGCATTCTCGTGGCCGGACGCTCTTCAGCAGTGGTACGATGAGAAACAGGACTTCCGCTACTGCGAGCAACCGACCGGCACGGTTGGCCATTACACACAGGTATATACAAATACTGGCAAGCGTTTCGATTATAAAAAGTGGGAACTCGGGCGGAAATCGGTTTTAAATGCAATTCTAATATGTTGTGGGATGTGCAGTCAAAACGGATTGTGATACACTAGGCCCGAATACTGTCGTATACGTGTGCAACTACTGCAAGGCGTAAGTTGCTTCTAGCTCTACGACACTACGGCAGCATTGGTCACTTGTAATTTTTAATGAGCTAAACATCTTTTTTGTTGCAGTGGGAATATTGTTACCGACAGACCTAATTCGCAATATTGCCCGTGGTAATCAGAAGGAGAGCACATCGTGCCAAAACAATTTTACCATTTTTACACACGCATCCACAATCTTCGGTGTATTTGTAAATAGGATTGATAATGAGTAAGATTTAATTATGAGTTTTTCTTGAGAAAGATTTTGTTTCAGTTGAGTACAAATCGGTTACACTTTGCGCACAACGTACAGGGACATTTGCATCACGGAACCTTGTTGCTCTAATTTACCCATGTCTTATGTGAGAGGCTAATGACAATGCACGCACAAACCATAAATAAAAATTATTAAATGTAGAATTGTAGATGGTATTTTTTCTGGCTAACAACATGCATTGTGAAATTTGCTAATGCATTTGAAACCTTTTTCCGTTATTTGTATCTGTACGCTTGATACATACTCGTATAATATGATACTTAGCCGAACCGTTGATATCTGAAGTCAGTAATGATAGAAGTTCCAGAAAATACATATTGCTTCTCGAATCACATTCTGTAAAATGCTGCTGCTAATCCAGATGATATTATAATCACGGCAAGACGTATGAATATTATTAATATCTTTATGTACTTAAATGTACTTATGCGAATCACCGGAGCCTTAAATTAACAACGCCAAAATTGTCGTTAATTTTGCCGTTAATCGTCCGGCCGTGCAAAACGCAACCTACTTATTGTCTCCACGGGCAATACTGTGAGTTTGGCTTCCGAACATCATGATATTGCCTCTAAAAAACCAAAACCGTTAGAAAAAATAGTTTTGCCAGCTGTTCTTAAGTTCAAAAATGGATATAATTACTTACGCATTGCAATAGTTACAGACAAACACGAACGTATTTGGCCCTAGGTTGTTGCATCCCGTTTTCATGGCACACCCCACGACCGACGTATCCGCCCACATTAACTACAACATTCAGTGCGCCATAATTATAAACTAAAGCACAAACGCTAATACTGACCAAGAAATCGGCACTAACGAGAATTACCTGGGTATAATGCCCAACCACTCCTGTTGGACGCCGGCAGTATCGGAAATGCTTAACCTCATCATACCACTGCATAATCGCTTTCTTCCACGATGCGTCACCTCGACGCCAAGAAATATTTTGACCACATGATGGAAAGCCTGTAACAAGATTATCAGCGCTTTTATGTGAAGTTTTGCTTTTGTGCATATAAACCTCGCTAATTTCCCTGCATACCAGGAATTTTTCTTGCGGAGTTTGTGTCGTGTCCCGACGGGCACGTGTCCGCCCAGCGCTGCGCTACCCGGGCTGCGTCATTACTCCACTGGAGCGTCCGCATATTGCGAGCAGATACCGTTTTCCTAAGGTGGTTGTGCAGGTTCAGGATAGCGCTGACGTCGACGACGGCATTATTGCTGCTAGTTCTGGCGATATAGAAAACGGCGGCAAAGGTCAGAACACAAGCCGCTATCTGCACAAAACGAACAGGAGGGAGGATCATTGCTAACGAATGCTGCAGGTATCAATGAGCAACTACGCTACAAAGCCTACAATAAAGGTTCATGTAAAATGCCCCCTCGGCTACAACTCAACGACGCATTAACTGAGCGAGATAGAACAAACCGACGTAGACAAATTCCTAACTAATGCATAAGCTTATGGAGAAATAATAGAATTAGGGAAAGAAGAAAATTTTTCTAATTGTCGACAAGAATTATTCTGCCACTCGTTTGTGGGTATTGACGGTTTAAAGCATCAGGACAAATAACCAGAGAAATCACTGTTCAGATTACTCACTCGTCAGTTTATATACGTACATAGTTATTACCAACAAGTGATAGTCCACCGTTTCCTAAAACGTTTATGCAACTGGTCATATCTGTTTTCTGTTGTGTTAGTTTTAACACATTGACACAGTTGAGAAAGTAATGGCTGCCATAAAGCAAATTGAAGAACGGGCCGCGGAAATGGGTTTAGAATTAAACCTCAGCAAGTGCGAATTCTTTCCCATCGTGACATGTGATGCAGATGAGTCCGTGATCCGTGCAACATTATTAAGCACTTGGCCGGATATGATACAGCTCAGTCCTGAAAACTTCACTCTGTTGGGAGCACCGATGACCTTCCCAGCGTGCGCGAGATTTTTAACTGGGAAAACGGCAGAACTAAAGAATTTCGTTCAACGATTGAAGAAATTACCGACACACTACAGTTTGTTTCTCCTTAAAAATTGCCTCAGCGTTCCTAAGGTTTTGTACGGACTGCGCAGTTCGCGTGGTTTTGAACACCCAGACTTGCTGAAAGAATACGATAGCTGTCTACGGGTGGGGGTGGAGCAGTTGCTCAACGTGAAGATTTCTGAAGCGCAGTGGACTCAGATACCTCTTCCAGTACGGCGTGGTGGTTTGGGGACACGACGCATAGAGACATTAGCTGTTTGTGCCTACTTGGCATCGGTGTACTCTGTGCTCCCTATGGTTTCCAAATTCTACCAGCCTTCTGAAGAGTGCCTGACGAAAACCGCTGTGGAATCTTGGATCCAACAGACGCAGTGCGAAATTCCACCGGAATGTGTTCGGAAGTTTCAGTACGCCTGGGACACGCCAGTGATCGAACGGGACATATCCACGTTAATGTCGTCTACCGAAGGTAATGAGCGCGCCAGGGCGGTTTGCTGTCAGTTTTAAACAGAGATTCGGGAGCCTGGCTGAATGCGTTACCCGCACCTTGTTTGGGGGCATTCCTGAAGGATGAAGATGTACGTATCGGTGTTGGTTTGCGATTTGGTTTACCAGTAGTGGTGGCGCACAACTGCAACGCATGTGGCAAACAAGTCGAAAGCAACGGCCATCATGGACTATCCTGCAACAAAACGACTAAAGGACGATGGGCGAGACATAAAGAAATGAACAGCATCGCGAAAAACTGTTGTGAAAGCGCTGGTTTTTCTTGTGAGATGGAACCAAACGGCTTGTCATCAACCACCGCACAAAGACCGGATGGGATGACGCTGATACCAGTAAGACAAGGAAAACCGATCGTTTGGGATGTAGCCAGCTGGTGTACGGTTGCTGACTCTCATGTCACTGGAAGCTCCAAGAAATGTGGCAGCGTGGCCCAGCTGGCTGAAAATGCGAAGCGTGGAAAGTATTCGTTTTTGGAATACGGATACCTTTTTTACCCTCTAGTAATGGAAACCCTTTGAGTTTTTGGTCCGGCTTTAAGTGAATTTTTACATTTTATGGGTCGTAAAATTCGGGATTTGACTGGAGAAGCACGTTCTACTGCTTTTCTTAAGCAGCGATTCAGCCTTGCTGTTGTTAAGGGAAATGCTACGGCTGTTTTGAGCACGTTACCTTTTAACCCGAGGGAGGACCGGGAATTTGGTTGTTTTTTTAATGTTTAAATTTAACGATTACGTAGGGTGTCAGCGCGTGCATTTTTTATTATTTGTGCGGCTATTGCCAATAAATCGGATTTGTTTTAACTATTGACTAAAATCCGGGCTTTCTCTTTCTGTTCTCAGAACGCACTATGTTCTCTTCCGGATACGATGCTAACCTGTCGAAGTGCAGCATATTTCTCCATTAACGCAGTAGCAAAGTCTTATCAGTTATCACATCGTTTTACTGTGTTTTGTTTGCGAAAATTTCCCCCATTCAAAATCTTCAGCAGCTTATTCACGTACAGATCTGTGTAGTGTAGCTTAGCTCATTCAAGCAAAATAATACGAGTAATACGAGTATGCAAAGTATGGTACTGAACACTAATGAATTTCCCATGCAATGAAAAATTGAATTTTCACTGCTACAAATTCTGATACAGTTTGAAAGAATACTAAAATGCTGCTATGCACGATTATTGTAGTCTATGAAAATGTGGTCGCGCGTGTTTGTGAGTAGTGCGTAATATCAGTTGTACTCGTAAGTTGTAACTCCCAGCTAGCTCATTGTCTCCATGGGCAGTACTGCGAGTTTGGATTCCCCGACATCATGATATTACCTCTACACAAACCGAAATCGTCAGCGAAAATGCTTCTATTTGTAGGCTAGGATGTTGATTATTTGAATTTGGGTACAATTACTTACGCATCGCAGTAGTTGCACACAAACACGACCGTATTGGGTCCTAAGGTGTTGCATCCCGTTTTAATGGCGCATCCCACGACCGACGTATCCGCCCACATTAACTGCAACAGTTAATGTTAAGCTGGCACGCATCGAAAAAACTGGTATCCTTATTTGATGTAATTACCTGTGTATAATGCCCCACTACCCCCGTTGGACGCCGGCAGTATCGGAAATCCTTGACCTCATCATACCACTGCATAATGGCTTTCTTCCACGACGTGTCGCCTCGTGGACGCCACGAAATATTCTGACCGCATGATGAAAAACCTGATACAGAAATAATAAATAGTCGGTAAAATTTGTCGTTACTCTGTGATTTCAGGTTTTTACCGGGAATTCCCCTTGCAGAGTTTCTATCGTGCCCCGACGGACACGTGTCCGCCCAGCGTTGCGCTACCCTGGCCGCGTCGTTACTCCACCGGAGGGTCCGCATATTACGAGCGGATACAGTTTTTCTAAGATAGTTGTGCAGATTCAGAATAGCGTTGGCATCGACGCCGGCATCGTAGCTGCTGGTCCTTCTCCTGGCGCTATGGGAAGTGACTGCAAAGGTTAGAAAGCAAGCTGCTATCCACAGAAAACGAGTAGGTGTCATTGCTAGAAAATGCTACCCCGGTGTTAACTGTCCTAACCCGTTTGAAACGTAATAGCTGCTTACAGTAGTTAACTGGAAATTTACGGAGGCTTTTAAATAGGCATTTCTTTTGGCTGAGTTTTTTTAAAGAGTGCCCCCTTGGCGAAAACTGACTGACGCATCAACCAGGTGAGTTATAGCAAACCGGCGTAGAATAAATTCATAACTGACGCATAGGCTGCTACATACAATTGAATTTACCGGAAAAAAATTTTAATTGCCGACAACGATATTCTGCCATTGTCGGTACTGACGATTTTATCACACCCTAATAGCAAAACAATAAGCAGTGACATAGTCATTATCTCGGTGATTCAAACTCAATCTAAAAATTAAAGATATCAATATAGCCACCCTTTTTCACCCTCGTTTTTAATAGGCACCAGTTTTGCTGTTAATTAAATATGCGTATACACCTTGTTCATTGTTGTTCGTTTTTACACGCACCCATTTTACCGTAGTTTGTTTTAAATCTTATTTGGTAAAAACAACAGTTTATTTCATACCTTATTTAAAACAATATACAATAATTATGACATTTCACAGATGATGCCTGTTAAGCTTTTCATGTCTGCAAATTCTGAAAAGTTTTCGCCTGGTATTTTTCGAAAGCATGGCGGAAAGCAAAATTCCAAAAACATTGATACGCGAAAAAACAGCTACATACGATCTAAATTATTGTAGGCAGTACATTGGCAGAGCCAGCTGTACGCGCCCGTACAACTGATAAAACGCCCGTTATGTCGGCATTTGCATACGTATAAATAATCTCTATATGTACAGTAATGGGAATTTTAATATTTTTGATTTTTTACTTTATTTTTATGAAATCCGATTTCATAAAAATATATATGCATTGCATCATATCTGTCTTTCCTGCAGGAAAAACATTTTAATTTTTAATTTAAGCGTAAAAACGTGAGGCTAAACATATGAGTGAAGCTGGGACTGGTTACATGCGAAATTCGATAGTTATATTCCATGAAATTCGTGAAATTTGAAGCGTCGCTATTATTCGTCAGTTAATTATCGCAGATTGTTATAACGATATTGTGGCAATATAAGCGTAAACTTGTAACGGAATGCTTTTTTAAGTTTTTATTCTCGTTGCAGATGCAGAATAGTATGCACTGTATATTACCGCAGAAAAGCCGCAGCACCGGCAGCTTCAACGCAGCGCTGCCGGCTGGATTACTGCTGAAAGTGTTTCTCCTAACTGGACGCAATCGCAGTTAACCGGAAAAGGTTTTGTAAAAACCTTTGGCTGTGATCACTTGGTCGCTAAAAAGTGGGCAAAGGCCTGGTTTGAACGTTCATTTGTTCACTCAGTTTGACATTTTGAATTGCGACCTCGCGAGAGCGGAGAATTTTTCCTGCGACTTTATAATACGGTTCGACGCATCAAACTTGGTGACGCAGAACAGCGCCGAATTCAACCGCGTTCCATTCCGCATTCCAAGTAACCGCTTTCCATTGTGTCGTGTTATGGCTAAAACTAAAATTATTGGACGACGAGGATCACTGTTTTTGTCTAAAGCACCAATGCGAATCTAAATCGACTAGGCAAAACTTCTATAGGATAGTGACCTTCATGGAACATAATATCAGCTATATGCGACCGCGATAATTCGTGGCTCTAATAGGGAATAGTCTCATAACTCTCATTATTCATCGCGCTGACACTGTAAGCTTTAAAGTCGTAAGGAATTCAGCACACCTGCACTCCTAACTAACTGCTCTTGGGTTTTTGTAAGGTGTAAAATTTACCATTTCGTATCACGATGAATTGTAGAATGCCATTAACCAAGTAACGGTGCAAGCAAAAATTTTGCTTATCGGTGTGTAGGACTTTATCTACTTACCGCATATCGCAGTTTCCAAGATTTATGTAAAGCTTAATACGAAGTAGGGGCTTCGAAGAACAATTTGAAATATTTAATTACTGGAAAGAAACTTCGAAAAGCATAAATTCGTCAAGGTGGCTGGAAATCGGTGTGCGTATGAAGAGCAATAAATGCTAAATAACATTCTTCCGTATGAAGCTTTTTTGCATCATCGTCCATAGTGATAAAAATAACAGCAAAATCAGCTATTGTAAATTGCATCACACTACAGTTTCAGTAGCCACTGGAAGTTGACCGCTTCCTTCCAGGGAAAATGCATCGAAACCCACACTGGCGCAACGCTGCACGAAATCGCGGACTCAGCACATTATACAGAACCGGATTGGACGCACAGTTCAAATACACCAGTGTCGCAGCACAGTACAAGTACCAATCGTCCGCTGATGTGCCGGTATGGTAGTACGATTTGTACACTGGAATAAGCCGAAACGGCAGCCACGCCACCGCGAACCACACCGCGATGACCACCAACAACCACAACGTCTACATAGGCAGTATAACTATAAAGTACACAATATGGACCAACCAATAAAAATGGTAACGCCAACGATCCTTACCGAAGTGCGGGTTATTCTATGCCGCGGCTGCATGCAGGTAATGCGGATCTGCGAGGACATCCTTCGCACTGACGCCGATCTGACCCGTCCCGATCTGACGGGATCGTGGGACTCCATAGATGGCAACCGCGAACCGATCTGGACCCGGACACTGCAGCACGTCTGCGAGCAGGTGTTCTTGACTGCTTTGAAGATCTTCAGGTACGCCAGCACGCACACCAGGAGAGGGAGTACGTAAAACAGAAACAGGTCCACGGCGAAGAAAGCGGTATACGCGCCGGCGGGCATTACCAGATGGCACACCTGGACCGATACTCCGGTGTCACTAGAGCTGAAGACGGAGAGAAGATTGGTGGAGAGGAGCCAGCCGCCGGCGTACACCAGCACCAGGAACCATATTAGACGGATGATGTGGCGAGTACGTGAGACAGTGCAAAAGCGGTAGGCGTACAACGGCTGACAGATGGCGACGTAGCGCTCAGCGGTGAACGCCAAGATACTGTAAAAAACACGCGTGACAGATTAGAAAGTAATCTGAGCACTACGAATGCGGAACCGAATACGAACACGGATAGAAATCGTGTTCGTAAGCGCATCCGAGATCTGATTATGCATTCGGACCGAACCAGATGTCGAAACGGTTAGGTACCGATGATTTCGGCCATCTACACTTCGGTTACGCTGATTATTTCGGCAACCATTCCCATTCGACCACATTACATTTAAGTTGAGTTTTACCAATTTAATTATTAATAATTAAAAATTTGCAGACATGCAATCTAGTAAGAAGATTACATGAATGCGTCGACGCATTGTTGCCAACTTTTATCTGTTTACATAAAATCTCATCAATACTTACTTTTATTAGAAAAGAAGCCAACAAATAAAGCTAATATCTATAACCTAAGTGTATTGACGCGTTGCGTAATGACGCGGTGCGTTGCGGTGTGTCTACCTGATACTGTAACAGATCATGTATCAGTTCAGATTCAGAAAAAGTAACAAACTTTGTTGGACAGAACACAAATTACCTCACGTTCACTTGCAGCTTCAGCTCACCATCACCCTCTCATAATTCAAAAAATTAATGTAACAGAAGAAAACGTATGATCGAAGAAACCAAAGATACTTTAAAAAACCTAAAAAAACTGACAAAAACAAATGGTTTCTTTTCTTCAAAAAACTGGAAAGTCTCAGGTCAAGCTGTGCATGTATGGTCCGTATTGTTGTGGCGTCCTCGGGGACCCGGGTTTTCTTGTAAATTGTAAGTAAGCAGCTTACAATTTACAACAAACACTAAGTAACAACTTGACACAAGAAAAATAGAAGCCAGAATGTCATGTAGCCAAAATAACCGTGGCCGAAAAGAGTGCGGACCGAAGTGAGCAAAGCGAATTGTATGTTGCCGAAGTGATAACAAGTGCCCGAAACGTAGCGCGGCCGAAGTGGTCAGGTAAAAACTGCTTCAGACCGGAAGCGATCAACCGCCCAAGTCGGCGACTGCAAGCTAACTAGCTGCACTCGATCCAACTGCTTTTAAAATTTTCCGATTGGTCGGTAGAGCTCGATGCGTATGCCTGTACGACTCGTACAAGTTGCATTTTTAAACGTAATTTCAGTTGTGATACCTCATGTCAATTAAAAATTTGTTTTTAAATTGTGAAAAGAGTTTTCAAAAACTTTTTAAGCTCATAAAAAAGAGGAATGTTTTCTCTACTTAAAATCCAAAGCAAACGGAATTCCATCAAGACAGGCAGAATCGACAGCTATCCGGAGACATGCTACGATTCAAAGCTTAAATTTCGTGCTTTACGGAAGGTTTACGAAACGAATAGGGCTATGACGTAGGCAAAAGAGGCGGGGATTCGTATTCGGAACCGCATTCGTAGTCTTCAGATTGCTTTCTATTATGTAGCGAGCTGCGGTACTTGGATATTTCATGCACTTTTGGTGTGATGTTTACTAGAACTCATTGCGTACTTTCAAATTAGAAATCATTAATGATTTGTTTCGCGAAGTGGTTCTTAAAGCGCACTGAACAACAGATGAGCTTAGAAAATGCCTTAGGAACGAAAAGGTTTTGAAGTTTGTACCGAGTGGATGGTACTCAAAAATGAGCGCAAAGGGTTTTGGACGGAGTAAAAGGCAACTAAAAAATATGCGCGGAGTGCCCCCTAAAATTGAATACTATGTTTCTTTCCCTCAACTCGTATGCTGAATTCAAATACCTACTTGCGCTTTGCACACACACATCGGAACTAAAACCATACAGCCGCTATTCCAAGAGAATGAAAAATTGCAGGATGGCTGGTGCCAACGGTAACAAATATGTCTACGAAAATTGAGAGAAGTTGGAACCTTTAAGTTTGTCGTAGACAAATCATAATTAAGATGTCTGTATGTGAAACTTTGAACGGCTCAAACTCGATCTAGGTATGTACTCGTAGTTCTCGTGGACAACGACTTGTTGGGTATAAAAAACCTTGTAATTTTTTTCCGTAGCAATTTTGTAATTTTTTTTAACCAGTGCAATATTGCAGCTACTGTAGT